AATCCTTTTCTGCATCAACCGGTAACAGTTGATGTTGTCCCTTCAAGGCACACTATGGCTTATGGCTGTTTACTTTCCTTCTGTCTTCCTACCATTGGTAGTACCAATCACTTTTTGGGAATACAATTCTTTCCACGGTATTGCAGTATTTGCGAGAAATAGGCGTTTTCAAACAAACTTTGAATTAAAGGGATCATTCCGATTTGACAGAGTCTCAGAAATAAAAGTCCTTGTACGTATAAACGTCAAATGCCAACATCTAGATTAATGGTTAATTTACCTTGTCTCCAAATTTAGGCTCAAAATATTGAGTCGTTTGGACGTGAACGTGAAAACCGTACAAGTAACCCTTTTAAGATTTCGGGGGTCACTGTGGCTAAGTGGGTAAGACGCTGGCTCGCTAGACTGGAGGTCGGGTGTTCGATCCCTGCATTGGCCGAGAAAGTTCATCCAGATTTTCCGGCGTGGTTCCCCCTTGTCAGTGATGCAGGGCGGAGGGCGGGAACACAATACAGCAGTAAATTTGTGCCAACTCCGTATGCTTATTATAGAGCCCAGTGAGCGTGTTGAACCAACTATGTCACTTCCGGGTTAATGAAAATTAATTTCTCGCTTACAAAAACGTTTTTGCTAGTGTTACCGAGGGGATTATGTATCAATCTATATTTAAGATTTATGCAAACCTTTGTTTAAAATCGTTGGTCTTTCCCTTTAAACAGAAAAAATAAAATAATATCACATCACTTTGTGATTATCCGGACATTGTTGCATTACCTATTTAAACTGTTTTCAAACAAGGCACCCTGATGCCACCGCCCCATCCCAGTCCTTGTCCTATAAACAAAGGGTCAAATCGGCAACAGTTCCCACCACCTCGTTCTTTCGAAGCCCCTAATTATCCGCGCCCTGACACACCGGAGCCCGTGTAACATTTGCTGGCCATAACCGCATAAGCGGCTAGACTCTTCACTCCACAGCCTTCAGTTGGGAGAGAGGTTTGTAATCTGGGCCAGTCAACACTTGTTTCTATACCCGCGTTCATAGTTAGACTGTAATGTAATGTAATGCAAAATGACAGAGGGGATTTTACATTAGGCTGTACTGTTACTGGCAACTGTCGCTAACGTTAACATTAACAATAATCAGGGAAATCTTGATATGTCTGAATGCTTTTTTTGAAATGGCTGGGCCGCCAATGGCGAAGATATATTAAAATAAGTATTTCAGAACGCCCGAATATAGCCTTATCACGTGTCTAATGTTGATCGAAAAAGTGGGTCAATAGTAAAACTGGGTCAGTGAGTGGCAGTATTGGGTCAATGAAAGGAAAAATAATATGAATAGTAGTCGAATAACATCAGTTGCTTGTACAGTGTCTATAGTGTGTTACATTCTATAAACAGGAAACAGTCATCTATGTATTTAAAGCCTGTAGACTCGCTTTACCTCTATTAACCTCTAAACTACTAGAGTGAGTGCTTATGTTATCTAATGACTTACATTGTACGTGTTTTGTCCCTGCTTTGCGTTTAGTATGCCCGTAGTATCGGTATTATAGGTGGTGCAGTCCACCTTCATTTAATATTATAAAGTGGCTGTTTGTGTTGGAGAGGGATCTGTTTTGAGATTAGGAGAGCGCGAAATGAACATAATATGCAATTAATAATTGTAGCATACACCTTTCGATAATTAACTAAATATATGCATATATGCTAATTAATTTGATGTTCCATGTTCTCGGGCCCATGATCCAGATCACTTTAAAAGCGTCACAGGAACATATGACAATAGTTGTGAATGTGAAGTGTACTCCGCGGAGAAAACGATTTTTATGGTTCTTAATATATTTATCATAGTTTTCATTATGAAACACTCGAGTTGATTGTATTGCAGAGTGAATCTTTCTCCTGTAAGGTAAATTGCTAGAAAAGGGTATAAATTGACGGGTGGCACCAATATAGGCCACCTTAGAAATATGGAAATATGAACACCACGTAATAGTAATCACCTATAGATTAATAACTTGACCTATATAGTCACGATTAAAGTACATTATTAAGATATAAATAGGTAAAGGTCATGTGTAAACTGCGCAAGACTAGTAGTCGAACATATAATATATAGATCTATTTAAAACCATGTAGTGTTAAATGAGTATATAAGGAGCATCAAAATTAGTTCCGTTAATAAGTAATGACTGATTATATTAACGAATATTAACGACGGTCTTACATTGACAGCAACAGACGCTAAAATTATACTGTGTTATCACATCAGCATTTCTCAAATTCTAGTTTAATTCTAATTGTGAAGTCCGTCTCTTGTGTGTTCTTGAAATTGGAGAGTTTTTATTTCATCTTTTTAAGTTGTATTTGCGATAAAAATGTCCACACTTTGCACACAAGAAAATGTTTTGGATTGGATTTATAGCAGTGTTTTATTTGAAAGACTTTGTGTTCAAGATAGAGCTGTTATACTCAAATTCCTCGAGACTTATATCAAATCAAAGGATAACCACAAGACTTTCCTACACCAATGTTTGAAATCAAAAGCACTAAAGGAAAATGATCGAGTCTCTTGTATTGAAATGTGTATAGAATTAGGAGTATATATTAATTGTACGGATCAAGATGGCAAAACGCCACTTATTATAGCTGTTATTACGCGATCTTTAGATTGCGTCAAAACTCTTTTATCCGCACCTTGTGCCATACACAAAGTGGATAATAATGGGAATACTGCTCTCCATTATTGCTTTATGGGACCTTATGAGGCTAATATTACTTTAATAAATGTTCTAATTCAACATGGTGCTAATGTAAATATACCAGATAGTCTGGGAATTACCCCATCATTCTATGCGTTACTATCTAACACCACAATATTAAAACTTCTAATATTAGCTAATGGCGACGTGACGTCATTTCGACAACGTCATTTCTATACGCTTAACCACGTGTGTGGATGGAAAGTTCGTGCCATGGATATTCAAGTCTTCCTAAAACGTCTGTACTACCTCGGATGTCCAGTGACATGCTGTAAGAATATAGCGGAAATGTATCCCAAAGACATTCGTATAGTGAAATGGAAAAACGGATTAACCAATAACTGTAAAAATTTACAGGAATGTTGTCGGACAAGTATCAGACGTTGCATGGGTAGCATTATAGAAAAACGTACTGGGGAACTACCAATTCCCCACGCAATACGACAATATATATCGATGATGGACGCCTTAATGAATATAGAATAATTTGTTTGGGGTATTTAAATAGATAATTTATTGATTTTTAACGATTTCCGTAAATTACCTCCGATGTTACAACGAACCTTATCAACATTCCGAGTATAGAATAATATGTCATTCACAACTATTTCTGTAGAATATATGTATTAAAATAACTTATATATAGCTAAATATGTACCTATTGTGATATCGCATATGACTTGCTGATGTGAGTAATCTTGTATGTGTCTAGTCGCTTGGGTAGAACGTGTTAATATGTAAATTTTTGTACTATGCACGTAAAAGATACCTTGGCAGTACGAAAAAGATTAAGCATTAACTTAAATAAGAGAGAGAGAGAGAGAGGGAGAGAGAGAGAGAGAGGGGGGTAACGTCAACGCGACACAAACTAGGTCATTTCGGGACTAACATATGGTTTAATTTTATTTTCAATAATTCGCGTGCGCGTAGGGGTCTTTAGCAGTGGGAGGAAACCGGAGGACCCGGAGAAAACCCATGACGTTGGACAGGCAACCCTACTCCTTGTCACGTACAACCGGGGATTCGAAACCACGCCAGTTGACTCAATGACAGGCAAAACCCAGCTTATGCATGGGCCTGGGAGTGGGGGCAGGCCCAGGGCCCCGCGGTTCATGGCAAAAAGTGAAAAATATTCAAATTCCAGATGGAAGTTTCACGGTAATCGATCTTGCGCCGCAAGGGCGGAGAATGAGCTATCCCTCAACCTTCTCTATGAAGTTCCACTCGGTGGTCGGTCTAGGCTTCTAGTGGCGCGATGGGCGGAGACTGGGTGAGTCTGCAATCCCTCAACATTCTCTGTGATTGGTCGAAACCCGTGACGAGAGATCTTTCAGTGTACTTGCGAATTTGAAAACTGAGAAAATATCAACCCTCACCCAAGAGAAACTCCAAGCTTTAGCCATATATACTGGCTATTGAAAATGAACTTCTCCGAACACTGGATGATGAAATGATAATCGATGAGCTCAGTAGTCGTAAACAAAGTCGCAAATTATTCTGAACTCTGTAACAACCCAATCCGTTGATTTCACTTGTTATAACAGTTCCCCGCCGTTATATGTCATTTCCGCGCATTGTATGCCATTCGGAACTGAATAGATTTCGTATGTGATCAGATGTTATGTAATTATTCTTGTATTACAGACCGTTTAATTGTGTGTCACGCATGCGTGCCATTCAAAAGGATATGAAATAATCTTTTCGTCGCGTTAGGGGCCCCGCGATTCTAGTCAGGCCCAGGGCCCCGCTCTGGTTAAGCTGGGCTTTGATGACAGGCCTTATGATACAGCGCGCACGTGCTAACCATTCCCCAACTTAAATAAGACCAATAAACACTTCTAAAAACACACACGCTTTATTTGGTTTACGACGTGATATTAAAACATATAATTTAATGATTTCATAAATTATATCACAGGTTGCTTAACAAATATCCATCAAATTTATATTTTAAAATAAAAAAGGAACCCGTCGGCTTTCCTTAGCTCAGTTAATATATAACTAAATAATTTTAAAAAGCCTCATAATATGGTAAAGTAATACTGGTTTGCATAAGAGCATAGGCCCTCTATTTATCAGAACTTTACAGAAACAATTTGACTGGACCCGACACTAGATATACTCTTCCGTGAAACCTATAATAATACTGTATGGTACAGGACGAGTCCCAATTCCCCCCCCCCCCCATGTCTTATGCTCTGCACCAACGACCCCCCCCCCCCCATCCCCCCAAAAAACTTTTTATAGCACAGTACGGTTCAACAGCAGTACCCAGTAATTTTTATTCTATAATATAGTACAACAACATTGTTTGGGGTAATCAGGGCAGTACACTTTCCTCTCTTTACCGTATACCCAGTATCTATAGTTACCATCATCCCAGGTATAGTGTACCTCCGTTACCGGCACGGCTCGTAGCTGCTGACGCTGGAAAATATGAAATAAACCCATGAAAATACTTTTAAATACCGTATACAGATATGTTATTTGTCGCAGATTGTGTGGCCAGTAATATAATACGCTCTAAGTACACCCCTATCTCTTAGTGGAATAACGGAGCCACGGTGGCTAAGTGAGTAAGACGCTGGCCCGCTAGCCTGGAGGTCGCGTGTTCGATCCTTGCATTGGCCAAGAAAGTTCATCGGGATTTTCCAGCGTGGTTTTCCATTTCCAGTAGTGCTGGACAGAGGGCCTGACAAGGACAGCTGTCTAGTCATTTGGGTGGTATAGAAAATCCGAGGTCCCGTGTATACATTGGCTTGCACGTAATAAGAGTATAGGCCATGTTCCAACTGCCTGGACAAAATTTCCCTCATATCACACTGCTTGGCGTATGCCCGTTGTCATTAACCCAGTTAGGACGTTAAACCCAATTTCGTTTAGTGGCCTAACGTCCGCTTCCACTGTAGTTAGTCGTGCCACACAAATGCCCCCAAACCTTGCCATAGATGCGATGTATGTGAATCGGTTAATGTAAGTACAGTAGACTATTCACGTCTCGAACACCTGCGTTAACAGGCATATGTGTAAATGGTGAAAGGTCGAGTGATAGTACTAACTTACCTGATTAATATATTTCTCTTTTGGAAAACCCGTTCTGTGTTGATTACATAGATTGATAGAGCACTGGTTAATTTCGTCTAGAGGATAACACGATATTGGCCACACCTATTAATAAGAGGGTTGTAAAAAAAAGGTTAAATTAACTATAAATAGACAGTATGCCGGATGTGTAATTATACGATCAGACGCCACTCAGTACGTAAGATTTGTCATAGGCGTAGGAAACCAATCTCATTTGGGTGTGGGGGAGGGGGCTTAGGCTATTCGCCCCAAAATTTTCTTTGTCACCCGAATTTTCAGAATAAATCAATCATTAATAAAACGAGTTTTCAACAAATCTTATTGCGCGAGGTCTTCCGTATTATAGTATTCAAAACGTAAACCGAATTCTCTGATGTTTGTGCCCGAAAAACGGAAATACAATGCCCGAAGAATGGACGGTTCACTTCAGGGTTATATTAAAGTACTTTTGCCTCTTTCTGCAAATTCTCTGTTAAAGTCAATCAGTATTGTATAATATGAAGGACAGCTGTTGTGACCCCTATTATTTAGTTGTCACATTTCAGCAGTGAGCGTTATATATTCCAGTATTAATATTATTTATGAATGTACAATTATATAATTCCTACAAAACATATAGAATTAAATCTCAGTAATATAAACACACTTATGGATATACTACTTCTGAATTGTATTTGCTTGATAATGATACCTGTATGTGTATTGAAACGTAGCATGTTAATAAAATTCAGAGGTAGTATATCCATATAATTGTGTTAATTTTTGTATAATTATAGTTAATTTTTCGTCTTGAAATTAACGAGACACAATCAAAATATCTGAATTAATTTTCTGCGTATATACTCACCGGTAACATGACTTGTTCAAACACTAGAGATCCCTGAACTTCTCTAATTAACTCATCAGGTAAATCTGTCTTCTCTATAATATGATCACCTTTATGATTCGTGCTGTAACACAATATAACAAAATATATAAAGTATTTATTATATATTTATTATGAAGTATTTATTATATATTTATTATAAAGTATTTTTTATAAAGGAAATTAGTTTGATGCCAATTCAACAATTTGAGAGTAATTTATTGTATTTTTTTATTTTATATTTATTGGTGTCTGCACTGTGAAAGGGATTGTCTGGAAAGCGGCGTTTGACTAATTTGGCCAACACATCTAGATTTTTCATGTCACCCCAACGAATAGACGGACTTTCATTGTCAGCCAAGGCGTTATCCCCCCCTGACACGGTTCTTCAATCACTGTTAAATGTTCTAAACTCTACTTTAAAAACATGGACATATAAAACATACTATACAACTTTCATCTGTATGAAACATTTTAAGTTTGAGAAACCATCACACGTCTTGCAAGTTATTCTTCCATCACCACCACACGTATTACACCTAAAGAAATATATACACTCTATAGACAATTTACCGTTTTATGTGAGAATATATCACCGAGTAGTTAATGGAAACTTAAGGCTGAACGTACTAAAATGATATAAAATTATAAAAAAAAGTAGAGGATATTCAGAAACAATACAAAACTGCGGAAATGCGCTGCTGTTTTTATTAGAGGTAACCAGTGTATGTTAATAACAGGCCTATTGCGTACACATGAACATAAACAGTTCATATGGGCGGCGGCTTATCTGACGGTCCCATTTTACTCGCAAAGAGATACACCGTCAAAAGTGAAAATGGACGTTTTTGATTTTTGTCTTAATAATGAGTAATTGCTCCACCAATCCTCAGACATTCAGCAATTCGTCGTGGTATGCTCCTAATCAACCGTCCAATCACGATTTGGGGCAATCTGACCCACTCCTCTTGCAGTGCCACGGCCAATTCTTGCAGTGTTGTCGGTTGACGTCGACGTCGACGAACACGTCTCCCGATCAAATTAAACGTAACACACTAAAGCAAAGATACGCTAAACAGTAAATCTTATGCAAGAACCGATAGGAAAGCAAACATAGATAGATAAACCAACACGCGGCAGTTTTCACCAACCCTTCCTTGAAGTGTCAAATTTGACAATGAACCCCTCCCACGTGTATGGCGCTATTGCGTGTCGCACGTGCAGCTCAGTGGTTCTGTTGGGGCGATAAGTTCTTCATCTGTGAACAGTTCTCTCAAAGCATATCAAATGTCCATGATTATTTATCATATCACAACCTGCATAGGTAATTGCATTTCAATATCCCCAACTTTTTTTAAGGGTATATAATTACATGTATAAACAATAATACAAAGTTTTACAGATTATAATAACATTCTACAGATATTTTTATGACAATATATTGTTATGAAAATAATAACCAGAACCCTCTCGCTTACCTGACATTGCCGTCACCATGACAAACAAAACACATGTCACTAACAGGACCGTGTTCAGGGTCATGTCGTGTCACGTGACCGTCACCACCACAATGGTGGCATCTTGTTTGACCCCAGCCGTGACATCGATGACATCTCAAATAACCCCTAGCGTCACAAACATTACATGGCTGAAATACAGGAAGGTTGGATTATAAGACGAAAGCCTCCGACTAGTGATTAAAATTAACCAACTAGTTAATCTAGGTTAATAAAATGACCTGCCTAGTTAATAAATATGTCTGACGACTGAATAAAATTCGCCGATAGAGCCGTGTGACTAGTTGAAGAAGAAATAAAATGGGGTTTAACGTCCTACTTGTCTGCTCCGAACTAGGCTAATAAAGACGGTATACGCCATACAGCCCGGACAGCGGCACTACGGCCTACTCTTATATCAAATTCCAACTGTGAAGGGATCTTTTACGTGCACGCCAATGTGTAGACACGAGCTCGGATTTTTTCCTGTCCGAACGACTAGACAGCTGTCCTTGCCAGGCCCTCCATCACTGACAAGGGGGAACCACGCTGGAAAATCTGGATGAACTTTCTCGGCCAATGCAGGGAAATAACACACGACGCCCAGGCTAGCGACCAAGAATCTTACACACTTACCCATCGTGACCCCCCTGGTTAATACATGTGTTTGACTTGCTGATAAGGTGTTATTCTAGTTGATACAGGATTGTGACTAGCTGAAAAAGTTTTATTGTAGTTGATACATGCGTCTGGCTAATTGATACATGTATCTGACAACATAATGTTTTCAATACGGCTTACCCTGACAGTAGCTGTATGGGGCACTTCTACCAATTTGACATGGTCATGGAAAACATTGTCAGGATTGCACGGTATGGCGAATGGTGGTGGTGGTATACCGTTTTCCGGGCCGTCAATCATCCCACCGCGATATGGTACAGATACAAAACCTGTTTGTCTTTCTTCACAAAATGTCTCCAGTGTGTACTGTAATAAAAATAAATTAAATACATCAGCAGCAGATCCAGTCGTTTAAGCGTTGATGACCCCTCCAGTTATGCTTGGACCCGGGTTCGCTTAGTTTTGTGGGATAATCTGTTTCGTTGAAAGTTATACCTATAAGCTTATAGACAAAGTCAATGTTGATCTACAACTGTTGACACTGTAAGCCAAAAATTACACTAAGACAAAACTTCAAGGACCCAAATCGCGTTCTTTGACACCTAGAAATAAACACAAATGGGTCGCAACGCATGTAATAATGTAATATGAATGTATAAACTGATTTGCATTCGATCGTTTCTGTTTTTACTGTAATTTCTAATACGCGAAGTGAGTCGCTTCATTACAAATCGTTTGGCACGTGAATCGTGTGTCAATTTCAAAATTTTCATTTTGTCTTAAATATTGAATATCAGAAACCTATCTTTTCATGTTAAGATAACAGCATCTATGGTGATTTAGATTAACCAATAGGTCGTGTTTGCAATATCGAAGATTGTGGTTGACTTGCCTCCTTTAATCGTATACAGCTTGCCTCGTCAGTAATCGAAAAAACAAATCTGATCCAATCAATCCAAGACTTTTAATTCGACCTAAATCAGAGGTTTGGTTCCTTCAAGATCTAACTAATACAACGCCATAGACCCAAGGATGTATGGAGTATAGTCGGACCGTCCTATTAAGCGAACGTCTCAAATAACTAAACAGACTGATATTCTGACAACTTACATGCAGGGCATTAGGGGGTATAAGTTCTTAAAATTTGCATTTCTTGAGCTGATCAAAGGACGTATGAAGTTGAGCCGTGCTAGTATTATTAAGCGTACGTTCCAAATGGCAAAACAAACTGACATTGTGGTGTTGGTTTACGACCGTGTGCAATCACGTTTTGACAACTTACATGCAGCGCATTATGAGGTATAATTTCTTTAATTTGCATTTCTTGAGCTGGACCTTTACTGTAGCAACAATTTTCACTGACGAACTGAAACATGGCTTCACGACATTGCTGCTCATCCAAGTTAGCTACACTGAAAAATGTATGGTTAAATGACAGGTATAAGAAATAAAACGAAATGAAATGGGTTTTAACGGGCTGCGGAAGACGGGCAAAAGCCTAAGAAAACTTGCCCTGACAGTGACATTACGGCATTATTTCTATTTCGAACTGTCAGGGAATCTTGAAGGTGCTCTCATCATGGGACCTTGGGGTTTTCTCCCACCCGAAAAGAGAAAAATAGAAAAAAGATCAAAGGTCTCATGCTAAGAATTATAAAACTAAAACTACTAACAGTATCGCAATACAAATTTAAAACAATTTTTGTTGTTTTAGTTTCAAACCAAAAAATGAACTGTAGCGTAATTTTATGTCATAAAAGCGGTCGGCTGAAGAGGTGAAAAGGTTTATACAAATAAACACGACAAGGCTGTTTATATGCAACTGTCATTAAAAAAGTTGTAGCTGAGCAAAAACCATCCCAAACATTAAAGTCAATTGGAAAATTAATAGTGGTCTGCTCCCAAAGAATATTTTCGTTAAGTGGAGTTCCTTCCCTTGAACAATCTTTTTTAGACGGCAAAACTCCCACACTAAATAATCTAAAAAATAAGGCAGATTCTTATAACTATGCTATATGACATAACAGAATTTCATTGAAATAAACTTACTCGTCAAACTGCATGTGTGGTGGATCTCCTTGTGGAGGAGGTGGTGGTGGCGGAGGTGGCATTGGGGCCACTAAAAGAAAACAAATCAAATTATAATGAACATAAATAACAATGAGCCCAAACCACAAAAATGTTTTGTTATAAAATACATAATTTTTTTTCAGAAAGTTGCTACATGCTTAGAATCTTCACCCAGAGGTTTAATTTACTGTCTAAATGTAATAAATTTGAACTCACTCATTCCAAATCCTCCAACACCCTGGTACCCCTGGAATGCTGGCATACCCGGCATTGGGGGTGGCGGACCCATCCCAGGGGGTGGCATATTTGGGTCTCCTCCCATTGGGGGACCCTGCCCTTGCCTAAAGTCAGGAGGTGGTCCTCCCATTCCAGGATTCCATTCTGTAATGAAAAGAGAAACACCAAGTTATGAACATATTTATATAAATTATATAAATTTATAGTCGATGTCGATTTTAATAGCAGTAAATTAATGTCGCATAGTCCTCGCGTTTCTGCAAAAAAATCATAAATTATAATGTTTTGTTTTTTTAAAAGGTTTAGATGAAAGATATTCAATGGACATAACAACAAAAAATACCTGCAGGACGGATTAAATTCATAGATAATAGTTTTTATTAAATTAAATCTTTAGAATTATAATGAAGTTTTATAAAGACAGTAATGTGACGTAGATATTCTATGACTTATATATAGTAAATCTTATTTTGATGGCTGTCGTGATGCAATGGAGAAAGTATACCAATTTAATTTAAAGATACATTATGGGAGATAAGATAAAGAGATGGCAGTTCTCGCTATAATACTTAAAAACTAGATAGTGTAAAGGTAATTTGTTGCAAATTTCAGTCAAATTGATCCACTATTGAGCCGAGAAAGAAGCGGGTGAAATTTTTGCATAGCCTCGGTCATCATTACTAAAATCATTAATATAAACAGAATAGTCTCGATTATCCACTTTTTAAAATTTAATTATCAATGGCCGTTAGCGGCATATAGGAATCTAATCCAGCCAACATCGAAGGCTAGCCTTGACATCGAGAGTTTATTATGGTCTGGATAAGTTAATTAATGTCTAATTGATAATTTAGATAACATTTCAGGCCTAAAGAAAGACTTGTAATAATCAGATTTTGCTCTTGCATAGGCCTAATGCATGTTTAAGTAATTAGAAGGACCATATGGAAATAAACTGGGTGTTCGTGATTAACATATAATATATAGGAATATTGTATTTCAATAATTCACTTGCGCACGTTTCTTCAGCAGTGGTAAGAAACCAGAGAAATTAGTAGTTTGGATATTAATGGACTAAACCAGGGGCGTCCTTGAACTAATTCTAAAAACAAAGCCAAACGTCCCTGAAACAGGTAATTTTTTAGAATGGTTTCCAAATTGCCAAGATAATAAATATTGAACACAGCGCTCACTTTAAGACATCTATGACATACAGTACACAAGTCAGTTTTTCTGAAACTGGACAACAATAATGAATTATTTCCACCGCTAATTTCTAAGAATTATCGACACGTCAGTATGTTGAAATTTGTTCAACGGGTCACATTTAAACCCTTGGCAGGCCGGATCTGGCCCGCGGGCCTCATGTTTGACACCTCTGGTCTAAACATTTATGTTTACTGTGCCTCTAAATACATAACTGCCCATCGGTGAATTCAATCTACCAGAGCCGAGGTTGGATTATTTATTTCCAACCGCACTATGAAAAATAACAATCAAAAACAATAAACTTAACACCTTTGATTAGGGGCCATTTACAACTAAACCAACACAGCGGAAGCTCTTACAGGCATTAAAAGGGGGAAATCCTATTATTTATAAAGATCAATAATGGGAAAACAATTAACCTGAGCTATAGATAAACAATCATTTAAAGAGAAGTGTGTGTGTGTGTGAGGGGGGGGGGGGTTATGAGTGAACAAGATGCAAGGGAAACAGTAAATATATTAATTCAATAAACTGAAAATCATGAAAGATATAAAACCTATTATTAGACTATAAGACTGGACGAAAGGAGCCGTAATTATATTAGTTCACTAATCTATGTATAAGGGAGACCAGAAATGTACTAAACACAATTTCATTTCGACAAAAGAATGCGATGTTAGTAGCTTATTTATCTATCTATAAGCTACAGAAAAGGTTGGAAATGTCCGACCATTTAGTTATTACATTCGGGTCCAAGCCGTGTGTCTCAGTGATTCCCGTGTTGAGAGGGAAGTGCATCGAAAGTTTCTGGTGTGTGATTCTCTCGGATCAGTGGGGCAGGACGAATACCCTGGCAAAGGATAATGTATAGTCCTTCGGATGGAACGAAAAAAAACGAGGTACCGTGTACACATTAGCGTGCACGTTGGAATTCGATATAAGAGTAGGTTATAGCGCCGTCGTCCGGGCACATTTTCCTCATACACTGTATGGCGTATGACCATCTTCATTATCCCAGTCGTCGGAGCAGAAAAGTAGGACGTTAACACCCATTTCATTTCTTTAACGTTCGGGTCCAAGTCGGATTGAATTCATCTAGTACGTAGTGTACCGTTACTGTCACTGCGGGTCGTATTTAGTTATATCATTATCTTATACCAGAACATATTTAACTTACGTTGGGGTGGTGGTCCTCCTGGTGCACCGGGCTGAAGCACTGAAAAAATGTAAATATTCAAATTAGTTTCCTATAGAGAATCAGTACCTAGATTTATTTCAGAAAGTTTTGAGGAATCTCTTAGTAAAGATTCTAGGCACCGTATAATTTCTAAAGTACGATTTTAACAATATAAAGCTGCGAGTAAAACTGTAATGGCGCCACAGGGCTTCTGTCGTACGTAACTAACGTACGAAAATTAAATGGTGGCTATAGCTTTTTCCACTTCTCTGCAGGTAGGATGGATCTGTTGTTCAGATTGGGCTTCTGTGTGAGCAAAATCATTCACATTTTAATCTGTATTCCAAGGGCCGTCTTTATTTTTAACATTGACCGCGCTTCAGTACAAATAATTTCCAACCTGACGCGATATGACTATAAACAGTTAAAATTAGATTTTACACAAAATGTCAAATCTGTTGTTTTAAGTTTCAATTGGTAAGTTTTCAGTGAGTTTAAAGAAGGTTCGTTCAAAGCACCCTTACTTGGATAATTTTCAATTATAATTAGGTTGACCGCGATAATGCCTTGAAAACGAAATATTTTCACCAGTATGGTGTTGTCATATCAACAACGCCATTAAGTTTATGATCCATTGATAACATTGACACTGTACATATATAACATCCAGTAATAATAAGGTTGAGATAATTTACAATTTACAATAATCCATATTATTATTATATTGTTTCAATAACGTTAGAGTCAACGTAGTTTTATGATTATAACATTGGAAACGCCCGGGTTACAGTATAATTAGTAAAACGAAAATCAACAAAAGATAATCGCGTGACCACAATCGGCATTCCTCGTTATTCCGATCATTGACGGTGTTTAATGCTGTTCTCTGAATATTGTACCGGGTATAGCTGGTCCTTTAATTTCGACCCAAGCCCCATCCCCACTCTCATCCCCATATTTCCAATATGTACAGATGTTTGACTTTTGTAAGTAAATCCGAAAGCCATTTTACTGTAGATATCGTGCACTACCCGTGGAATGTATTTGGAAGCTTGAAACCATCGCTCCGTTTTGCTTGTGGCGGGTGTCGTGCAATATTACTTTTCCTAAAACACTGGATGTCATATACCATGTGTAATTTGTACACCTACGCCCATTTTTATACGCCTGTCTTTCAGTGTGGGTGTATTATGGCTTAATCCGATCGGTCAACAATTGGCTCGTGAACCCGATAGAGGTTACACTTTTTATTATGCAGCATTGTGGTCTTGAGAGCACGAACCCTATCAATATTCGGTGTTCTACAATCTTCCGTTCCAACGTTATTCCCCCTTTTCCTGCAATTTTGTGAACGCGATAGAGGCGACAGTTTTAACAGATTTTTCAAGCTATGGAACAAGACTGAGATCAGTCTTTTTGAAGGCGTACGAGATCCTTATTAGATTTTGTTTCTACGAGACATAGATGATGTTGGGGCGTATTTCCAAGCTTTGCGTGGCTGTCGTTACTACAAGGTATTCTCAGATATCTGGAAATTTTGTCTTTAAGTCTAAGGTCCCTTTAATTTATTGACCATATTTGAGAGAACGTTGACAATAGTATCATTGTATGTAGTTAGCTATGGAATCTAATAGACTGATGACAGCATAGTGTGATATAGGCTTACCCATTTATAAATTATATGAACAATGATCATGACGTACATATCATGCTAATCAGAATAGATACCATTGATATTGGAAATCAGAAATAATGCTTGGTGTTGAGCTTGAATTAATCGATGCACGGACAAAAGAAAGTGTCGATAATGAAAACTAGTATTTTGTGTTATATTGGTTGAAATTACCGAGTAAATTTGAGCTTGTTTGATAAACAGTGTAACAATATCTATTATACAGCCATTAGGAACTAACAAGAAGAGTGTGTCGAGCTGTTCTAATAGGACAAACACAAAGTCATGTCAAAATATTTTGGTAGTATTGCCCACAAACAAAAATTGTCACTTTTACAAATGATTGATACTTTACATATGAAATATCAAATTACCGTTATAATTTTCCGGACAAAATTCGTCTTTCCTCGCTTTTCAGACTTTTACATAAATTAAAATTACCGAATGTTGACCACAAAAACGACGAACGCACTATTCGTTGCTATTATTCATCTGTATTTTCTATTTCACAGAGTTTCTCTGTGTCAGTGGTGAAGGACAGAGGACTTGGCAGGGAACCATGGTCTAATCGTTCGGAATGGTACAAAAAATCGAGGTCCCTTGACATTTGGAATTTACTACTTGTTGCCTGGGCAAAATTTCCCTCAAAGCACACTGCGTGGCGTAGGCCTATCTATTGGCCCGGTTAAATCAGAACTGTCGGGGTTAAACCCCAATTCATTCATCGAGTATGTGGTTATTTGATATTTTGAAGTCGACGATCTAAATAGAAGTGATTATGAAAGATTTGATATCTAAGATAATATTGACTGGTGTTAACCAAATATATTGACCCATTGATTATATTTCATAATATTTGAAGCCCTTGACATGCATACATGTATCTTCAAAGCCCATGGAATATAATACAGTTCGTTGATTGTAATGAATGGATTATAATACTTGACTTGGCTTTATTAATATGTATAAAAATATTTCTTGAATAGGGTTTTTAGAAAGTTGTTCAAAAATCCGCTTTGGTGTATTTAATAAATAGTATGTGTTGAATATGGCTTTATGATTTAGCATTGTAAGTATAAGATAATAATATAGCCCTTACTTTCACGTGATACGTCACATCACACAGCGTCGATTATTGGCAACTGGTCCGAGGCAGAATAGTGCCTTTTACTCATATTATATACCTATTTACACTAAACTTCAATATGAAATATTTTGCATCCATATATACTTCACGTGCAGAACCTGATATAATTTATTCACGCAAGGAAGCTAAATCAATTCTGCTCGATGCAAGATTTATTAACCTGGGAAATTCTCACGTTATATAGTTATCTGGGTGCGAACTCGATGGTAAAACTGAAAGATTCAGAATAATTCTTTCAAAGCAAATGGCTGTTTTCATGATTTTAATTATTGGGTCTTCTATCCTCCCAGAAAACCAAACGTTCAATTAAGCAGGCATATGGGAAGAGAAGTCTTGTCTAATGGATAAAACAATACAATTCATTCGAAATATTTAAATTTTCAGTCACAAGAAAAGGTCTCGACGGGACTTTGAAATAAACAAAAAGTTACTTACTCTTTTAATAGAACGGAAATATATCGTCGGACTTCAGCTTTTCAAAACGGTCTATTAAGCAATCGGCTGTTAATTGTTATTGTATACTGGTTGCCACGGACGCCGGAGAAAATAGCCATGTTGTATTTAGAATTATAACTATGGAGAACCAACGGGGACAAAATACCTTGCATTACTTGCCTGGCGTCAATATTTTCATGTTTTAAAGAGGGAGTGGAGGGTGGTTGGGGTTGAGAGTTGGTCGGCATGTTGTAAAATTATAACTATGGAACAAATTATAACAAATATCTTTTACATTGTTTGGGGGTTATTCAAAATGTAGGACGCACACAGAGTTGGTAAATTTCATATTGTTGACATTTACATTTTTTTCAAGTTTTGCTTACCATTCGATTTAGATACCATTACAAAACTATATTATACGATATAATACCAACAACCTTCTAAACAAACCACCGGAATTAAAACAGAAGGCCTTGTGACAAAGACACAATAATATATAATTATTCAGCTGTTAATCCATTGGGTGTCACATCGAGTACATATTAAATAAACTAAATAAACTGGAATAAGTAACTGTATTTATTAATATTATGATGTTTGATCTTAAAACCATGAATACAAATACTATCATATTTCCTCACTTGTTAACTATCAATTCGGGCAAAATTCGGCTTGATCGATAATAAAACCAAAATTTATAATACTTTCGAATTTAAGGTGTGTATTTTTTTTAATTTTTTTTTTTAAATAAAATCACTGGGGTATTGTCTGCCTGCATGTGGGAGTGTTTATTGAGTTACAGGAGCTAACTCTCTAACTCAATGTTATCCATAATATTCGAAATTAAAAACGCGAATTAGAATTAATTATTGATGAATTTCAATCAATATTGATGTTGTTATTTTGCCGTGAAAGTATAAGAACATAATATCCAATATTTAGGACACGAGTCGTGTACCCTATGATTTCGGGTACCATTTTGTAATGAACAAATATAAACATATCCTACAACTCAATGTGGTAGTAATTAGTAAAGGCTGATTCACAAACGACAAAATAATAATTTACAAATTGAATATAAATCACTTTACATACATTCATATTATATTAATATATGCTTTTAGAACCATTTCAAGGTTACCAAAAATAGAGCCATACGCCCTTTAATGTTTGACTGTGTTGCATGACGAACCTTGTTTGGTTTGATTAAACCGTAAACCAGCAATGCATTATGACAGAATAACGTTGATGCTAAATTCAACTCGGGGTAAGTTGACTGATAAGCAATTTCATTGATCAAAACTTTTGGGTTTGATAACTTTAAACATACATTATGCAAGAGCAAAATCTGATTATTGCAAGTTTTAATTTAGTCTTCAGATGTTATAGAAATTATAAATTAGATCTTTATTTAAACAACAAGCCCAAAATCGACTCTGTAGACCCACGGATGGCTCGGCTACAGCTCGGATTTAAATAGGATTTCACTTATCAATTAATTCAAATATGGCGCATCCTGATGAGAATACGACAGTTAGATCGAGGCTAAATGATAGAGTGTACTTAGCGAGGCCGCTGTAGAGCGTTTCCGCATGCCATTGAAAACTTTACTTGATAATCGAGATATTACGGTGAAGGCACATTTCACTACCATTTCTAGTCAAATATTACAACGATGATAACTATGATCAGAATAAAGTAATTTGACTGAAATTTTCAAAATATTCTTCTTTCATCATCATCATTTTGAACTGTTATAGCAAGAATGGCCAATTCTCTGTAAAAATCTCCCACAATGTATCTTTAAAGTAACGTGCGTCAATTTCAATTTTCACTAAAATATTTAAATTTTCTCACGGCTTAATCTACGCTAATATATGTACCCAGATCGATGATTATCATTTAGTTGAGAAAACAAAGCCGAAATACCAACACTAGATAATCTTCCGACTTGAATCCAATCGGATTTAAAACAAGCATGTTAACTCAATTATTCTGTTCGCCCACGGGACCTCGCTTATTGTTCCATCCGAACGACTAAATTCTAAATTAAAATAAAATAGACACAATTTAGTAAATGTAGAATGTACACAGCCAATCGATTTGGGGTAACTTAAAAAAAAGTAAGAACAAACCACTCAAACTCAAAGATAAATAGACGACAAATATTAATTAATTACATATGTATCGTTTTATAAAATATCAAGCAATCAAATTGCTTATCTATTCTTAGCATAAGCAGAGAATGTTCATGCTCGAGCTTAGTGAAGGTTCTGGTGTAGTAAAACTGTACCATTAGTTCAATCACTCAGTTTAAACACGCACACAATAAACTATAAACATTATGAACTCGGGGAATATTTGATAGGATCTCATTCGAGTCTAGACAAAAAATCTTATCTCTCGGCCCTGCCCTGCGTGTCTCGAGATAAGAGATGGTACTATATAGTTTTTTCTAGCAAAATACGATGCGAATCAGATAGTATAGGCCTACTTCAATAAGCAAAACTTTCAATATTTTTTTTTATATTCAAAACAACGTTTTACTTTCAAAATCTAACATTCAAACGACCATAAGGTCCCAATTCAATACTATTTATAAAACCGAATATATTTCTGGCAATTCAAAACTTATAGTTTGGAGGCTCAGCGCGGGAGGGAGGGGGGGGGGGTGTCCATCAAATGGGCACAAAACCAGACCCAACTTTCCTAGAGTAAAATTTTGCGTAGAATACGATGCCGAGTGGTAATCAGTCCGCCGTTGGGGCGTTTTCGAGATATTCGGGGTCAAAAGTCAAATGGGTTCATTTGCACTGAAAGTGAATGCGCGGTCATTCTTGTATCATGAAAATAAGCTGAAAATGATCGAAAGTAATCACACTTTCAATAAAAATTCACCTTTGTCAAAAGGTCACATTTTCCGTTTCAGCACTAGGAAGATTTAAAGCAATAAAATGTCAATGATGGACACCCCCCCCCCCCCCGCGCTGAGCCCCCGGTATATTAGAACTTATGGTACAGTAAACCTACTATAGACTATACAGCTAATTATTTGCTTCGTGTACACAATAAAAACTTCAAGTCTGCTATGGCAGCATTACGTTTGAGTTCCCATAAACTAGAAATAGAGAGGGGCCGGTACAAGAACGTGATGCAGGGTGGAGGGCCTGACAAGGACAGCTGTCTAGTCGTTCGGATGGGACGAAAAACCGAGGTCCCGTGTACACATTGGCGTGCACGTAAAAGATCCCTTGACAGTTGGAATTCGATATAAGAGTAGGCCGTAGCGCCGCTGCCCGGGCAAAATTTCACTCATAGCACACTGTATGGCGTATGCCCTTCTTCATTAGCCCAGGTTAGAACAGTAGGACGTTAAACTCCATTTCAATTCTGTATATGAATTGTATGCGGCCTGCAATGGGTGTTATGATAAAATCTTATCTTATCTTACAGGTACAATTCACCTCTTTTAAATCGAGAGAGAGAAATGGGGTTTAATGTCCACTCGATACAAACTAGGTCATTTCGGGACTAACATATGTTTTTTTTTTTTAAATTTTATTTCAATAATTTGCTTGCGCGTAGGGGTCTTTAGCAGTGGGAGGCAGCCGGAGGACCCGGAGAAAACCCACGAGGTTTGGAAAGGCGACCCTACTCCTTGTCACGTACAACCGGGGATTCGAAACCACGCCAGTTGACTCAATGATACAGCGCGCGCGCGTGCTAACCATTCGGCCATTCAATCCCCCTCTTTTAAATCGAAGAGAGCGATAATAGCTGGCTTTCCACGACATTTTAAAACGGAACAGGTTTGACGTCTTTACATCATAAAGGTGGTTGGGGTGCAGGGTAAATGTTTTGTCATGTACAACAACAAATCAAAATACGCGAGATGTACGAGTCGCGCATAACTAATGTACCGTAATTATGAATGTCCGTATCAATTTTGATCCCCCCCCCCACCCAAAAAAAAAAAAAACCAAAAAAAAAAAAAAAAAAAAAAAAATCCGCTTGATTAACTTTACTGAGAATATTTGCAGATAAACGAAACTTATTTCACAACATTGGGCTGTTTATGTTTAATTAGTCCTAATAGTATACAATTAACTTATTTTTCAGAAGTTTGTCCACACTGATGAACGGTGAATTTTCGCTAGGCCGCTACAATCACTGATAAGGATGACATCGATGCGACTTAATGAGTCCCAAATATTAACTTTTTACTTCCGTCAAATTAAATTCTAAAACATTTTTTTTCATTTATTAGAAAAATAAATAAAGACGTTTGAATTGTTTGTATGTAAAAATCATTTCATATTTAGTCTAAATGGGTATTAAAATAAGTAAAATTCACCATTTAGCCCGAATCAGTAACGTCTTATGTAAACAATGCACGCGCTATTGAGCCAATGATTGACGCCGCGTGATGTGACGTCACGTGTCGAAACAGCCATCTGTTACAGAGATATTAGAAGATCTCTGTGAAACAGATTAAGTTTGTCAGGCGAAACTAAAGGCATCCGATCGTAGCTAAAATTCATGGCATAATCCTCTGTGTTGTTTGGACCGAATAGAATTTGATCGGATAGAAAGTAAACAGAAGATATGGATTTGTTTCTTTCTAACACGGCCTAACACCAAAACGCACGCTAGAAAGTCATAACATTGTGATAGGTCAATCATTAGGGACTATGGGCGTACAAGTTCGATTAATGTTAGGGGGCACGGCGCTACAGCCTTACCCTAAAAAAAGAGCTTACCGTGTAGGGACCCCCCTACCTTGGGAAATTTTACGGCCGTAAACGCGCTTTCCTGCCATTCCAGCCCACGAATACATTGCAGCAATATTAAAGTGATCTAATATAGCCTAACTTAGGTGACTGACACGGGAGAAAATTTAACTGCCGCAAACTCGTTTTCCTGCTATTTCAGCCTTCAGCCTGTGAATACTGCAACTTTATTGTGGTCCAATATTGTCTACCTTAGGTGGCTGACCTGAATCCCAAACAAATAATCAATCGTCTCGGGGTGTGCCCCCAAAGAGAAAATTTAAAAAAAATTAACTGCAGCACTACAGCAACTTCATTGTGGTCCAATATTGCCTACCTTGGGTGGCTGACCTGTATCCTAAACAAATAATAATCAATCGTCTTGGCGTATGCCCCCCCCCCCCCACACCTGGAGAAAATTTTAAAAAATTAACTGGAGCAAAACAGCAAATATGCGTTTTTCTGCTATTCTGACTTTTGAGTTAAGCCATTTCAAAGTTGTCCAAACGTTCTGCAACCGAAATCCCCACTCTATGGCGACCTGAATTCCAATCCAATCAACCAATCAGACTGTTGCAACTGCATTCACAAATAACCGATGCCCGAAAAAGGTCGCACAACGTAGAGTGGCTCCAGACAAAATATTTTAATCCATAATCAATTCAGTACAAATTGTGGTATTCAATAAAAGAAAAGTAAACTTTGTGTTTATTAGATTTCGGACACTGACTTTATATTACAAACTTGATGAAATAATAATTTTTGCTTTTACTTCAGCCTCCTGTCCGAAAAGTCAGATTGCCTGAAAGTTAGAAACTATGTTAGTGGACCGCATTAACTTATCAGTTCGTGATGAAGATTAAATGTTTTCCAACAAAACATGGTTCCCCGGTCGTTATATAGAGGTTTCACTGTATTGAATTAACGACTGGATGATAAGAGAATAAACCTTTCCTGAATCAGAGTTATCTACCCTATGGCTTCAGGCGACAAGAGAGGACAGAGAAAACAATCTCGTTGATGGACGCCTCGTTTCGCACCTCGGTGGAAGCGGACGTAAAACACAACTAACAAGTAGTAGTAGGACGCCTCGTCACAATACACCTGAACGATTTAATACTTACAATACCGATCGTGTCATCATGAACATTTTCCTTGGAGGATTCTGGTTTTTGTGCATCTTGTGTGCTTTTCTGTATTTGTACACTAGATCGACATTATCCTCCGTCAACAATGTGAATTTCAACCAGTTTCAGCGATCATATTTGATGGTTTATTTACTTGCAATGGGTAAGTTTTACATCCTAGAATCCCGAGGCTGTGTGGCCATTTTCTGCAGGTGATCATTTATTACTGATTTATAGAGCAATATTACGTAATTATCTGCCCCATATTGATTGCTACGTCAGTATGTGTGTCATTAATTATTATATTTTTAGATCAAGATGTAATTTTATTAATGTTATAACTTCTAGTACTTCTACAATCTACAGGTAATTCGGGTAGGGTAATACAAATTTTAGCAATGTTAATGTACCGTTGCCATTTCACAATGTAAGGTTAGTGCTAGTGAATCTGTCGGGCTGTACGATAATTTTTACAAGCACTCATCTGTTACTCGTCGAATTTCCAATTTACTGATAACAAATTTGTGAAGCAAACTTATTTGTTACTACTATACTAGCGTATACATGGTGCATACTTTAAAAAGTAATTGAGATTTGTCAAGTGGTCTAACAATGTGCACTTTTAATTTTAACTTCTGTCACCCACAGCTATAGACACCGACTTGTAGAAAGCAAATTATTGAAATAAAATTGAACCATATAATGATAGTCCAAAAATGACATACTTTGTGTTCAGTGATTGCCCAACCTCACACAAGGGTAGACGAATTGTATAGCCTCTTATTATTAAGGCTGTAATGGTCCAAAATTTCTATTAGAATATTTGTTGGACCATAAGTCACAGGAGGACTTGGTGATACATGTTTAAATTATTAGTATATCTTGTAAGCTTAGTCTCATGCTTGGCAGTGGGTGCGAATAATGTATACAAAACTTTGAGCGGTCAGGTATGATATGAAAGCGAATATCAGTTAGTTATTTTTTTTAACTGGTTCACCAGGGCAACCAAACCTTGATTGGTTAACTGGTAGGCATTTCCATCCTTATTAATCATAGCTAAAAACCAATACATCCAATACATCAATGTTTTTATTGATCTTTATATGTAGTTATAACTTATAAGCTACAGAATGTTGATAAATGTGAATGAAATAGGGTTTAACTTAACCTCCTGCTTTTCTGCACCGGCTGGGCTAATGAAGATGTATGCACACCATAGAGTAGCTACATGTATGAGGGGACATTTCCGGGGTCAAATCCGTACCCCCTGGTTAATGAGGCCAGGGTTGCCTTTAGTTTCACCTTTTAATTAATCAAGTGTTGCTTTACACTGACTTATTTCATCCTCATTTAATTTTGAATAATATCGTATTAATACACAGACAGACTCCCCTTATTATTGAAAGTCCAAGTATTATTTGCTGCTTAAAATAGTAAGAGCAAGAGTATGGTACATGTATTTTAAAGATATTGTTAGGCCTACTGTAAATGAAAATTCCTTGCAATTTTAAACTACAGTACAAGATTCTTAATTCATTGGAAGCTAGAAGATTGTGGAAGTTGAATCATAATCATATGGAATATCAGTCCAAAAATTCATTTCAGTATTTACAAAGATATGATTTGCAGATAATATAAATGAATGGGATATGGTCAAATCAATTCTGCATCACCTATAATCCTTGCTAAAATTTTCTGATGGGCCTCTTTTTAATCTTTTGATTTTGTTTTCTAAACTGAATATTAATTAAATGATCAATTTTGAGTACATTCAGTTACATGTAGGTTTAAACTGTAAACATTAAATATTGTCTGTAAAAAGCAAATGATGATTGGGGGCTTTAAATAAACCACTGATCTAATTTGTTATGATGTAACCCTCTGCTTAAGGGTGTGCACCAAATTTTAATTACATAGCTAGATAAAGTATCCATAATTATATATAAGATAAAGTCATCATAAACTGCTTGTATTTAGCCTGCAGATACATACTGTATAAGAGGCAAGACATCATAGAAGAGATAAATTATTGATCCTGAGTGATCTGTGTTGAAATCAGATTTAGATAATGTTGTTGACATCGGTGACTCAATAATTCTCCACTGTTTGATAATACAAATAAAAAAATGAAATTAAAGATGATGTTCAATTTTTTTACTTTATTTATTAAGGTTAGAAGTCATAGCTTTAGTCACAGTAGGTGAAATCCTTCTCCTTCACATTGTCAATCACCACTAGGATCCATTTTGCTATGGCTAACTGCACAAACTTGACTACATGCATTTTTGTGGAATAATTTCTGTATTGAATGCAAAAATGATCTCTTGAGAATATTCATTATGCTTTTTACAAAATGAAAGTTAATCTTACTGGTCACACAATTTGTATTTGATTCTTGAACAAAAATGTCCAGAGTTTAATTACTGTGGTATGATGTTTATATTCAAAAGTCCTATTGTCAAAATACATATATCAGTAAACTAAATGCTTCATTCATCACAGCTGGGCTTGATCTTTACCTTTTTACTATAGAAATCTCCAGAACCACACCCATTACTAAATGTGAAATGGAGCAGACAAACTGAATGGCATAATAACAATCATGTACTGGTAGTCTATATTTGGATTGTTTAATTTCAATCTGATTAAAATCAAATGTGTATCGTTAGATATGCCTTATTCTATATTTTTGCCGACTTGGTTGAATAAAGAAGAAATAATATGAGTATACCATAGTAAACGTACTGAATGTGGATTTTACTTCTTTATTACAATGGCTCAGGAGGAAGAAACCTTTGTTGTGATATCTTCCTAACTAAATTAATAATACATGCGTGATATGTGCAAATATAGGATGAACTGTACAAACAGGTACATTGTACATATACACACCAGACCTAACACTTTGTAATAAAAGATATCATTTTTGTATGAATGTGTTATTTTGATTAATTTGTAGGCTGATACCGGTTTTTGATAATGAAGTGTGTCTATTTTCTGTATTCATAGAGGTACGGGCTCGATGAATGAAACTGAAATGCCTGAAAATGTGGTGTCGGTCGTCTGCAAGATGTGAAGGAGCGGAGCTTACTGTGTTGGACACCCTCCCACACAAGCACAACGTTTTGATAAGTATTCTCTTATCGTTGTGCTTGATAACGATAAGAGAATACTTATCGAAACTTTGTGCTTGTGTATAATAAACCAGTGATTGTTGTCCCATATAACTGTGTCAGTTTTGTTACCAAGTGTCATTTTTATACGCCCACATAATTTTTATCCGATTTAAAAAAACGTATTATTATATCACCTTTACACCCTAAGGACGACTGGGTTTGAATTTCGTTAAAATCTGCCCAATATTGACAGACAAAATGGCTGCCGTTCGTTCTCAAATAGCGTAAAAATATGGTATATCAAGGTTGTGGACCCTATAGAGGTCACAATTTTTGTCCGATTTTGTTGAAACTTGAAATGTAAGTTTATAACCCAAAGATCTTAGTTCCTTTGGATATTCGCTCATATCGGACCGTAACTTACTGAATTATGGCCCCTGATTGTACAAAAAATCACGTTTTTAGCTTGTGGACCCTATAAAGGTCATAATTTTTATCCGATTTAAAAAAACGTATTTTTATATCACCGTTAAACCCTAAGGATAGCTGAGTTCGAATTTTGTGAAAATCGCCCCAAAATTGACAGACAAAATGGCCGCTGTTCGTTCTCAAATAGCGTAAGAATATGGTATATCAAGGTTGTGGACCCTATAGAGGTCACAATTTTTATCCGATTTTGTTGAAACTTGAAATGTAAGTTTATAACCCAAAGATCTCGGTTCCTTTCGATATTCACGCATATCGGACTGTAACTTCCTGAATTATGGCCCCTGATTGTACGAAAAATCAAGTTTTTAGCTTGTGGACCCTATAGAGGTCATAATTTTTATCCTATTTAAAAAAACGTATTATTATATCACTTTTACACCCTAAGGACGGCTGAATTCGAATTTTCGTGAAAATCGGCCCAAAATTGACAGACAAAATGGCCGCCGTTCGTTCTCAAATAGCGTAAGAATATGGTATATCAAGGTTGTGGACCCTATAGAGGTCACACTTTTTATTCGATTTTGTTGAAACTTGAAATGTAAGTTTATAACACGAAGATCTCAGTTCCTTTCGATATTTGCGCATATCGAATTGTAATTTCCTGAATTATGGCCCTTGATTGTAGGAAAAATCACTTTCTTGTTAGCTTGTTCTCTATCCATCTCTCGAAAATGTGGGCGTATCCTGCCTGGCAGCCGCTGGTTTAAAAAACTAAACCAATCTAAAAATGTCCGATACTCAAAATTGTGAAACATCATCACTGATGATGGTCTGGTATAGACATTGGCGTAACACCTGTAAGAGGGTTATGCGATTAAATATAAATGGACAGTTGAAACACCCAGGGATTAAGATTGTAGTCAGTTAATGAAACTGTCATTCATCATTGGTGTGTGTTTGTTGAGATTGCTCCTTTGCTTTACTACAGTGTGCACATGCAGTTGCCACTGGAGACAGATCTAGGTTTGAACTTTGGTCATTTCCTCAATTATCTTAAATTTCTTTGATGGCTTGATTCTTTCTTTTCTTTTTTATTCGGCAGACGAACAACTATTTTTTCTGTAAATATGCTGGGCTTTGTATTATGGACTAATATTGGCAAATTTATGTTCAAAAAAAAAAAACTAAAATAATTTTCTTTGTCAATATGCTCCTTTAATGATTTTATTTTATTTTCCTTTAGCTGGTGATTGGCTACAAGGTCCACATGTGTATGCCCTGTATGAGAATTATGGTATGACAACACATCAAATAGACAAATTATTTGTCGCAGGATTTGGTTCCAGTATGATGGTTGGAACAATCGTTGGTTCCTTTGCTGATAGATAGTAAGTTCAAACTGGTATATCACTTTCAAAAATAGTTTACTCATCGAATTCGGGGGGGGGGGGGGCAGATGACCGAATGGTTAGCATGTGCGCGCTGTATCAGAAAGTCTGTCATTGAGTCAACTGGTGTGGTTTCAATTTAACATATTATGGGATTGGTCGGCTAATCACAATGAAATGAAATGAAATAGGGTTTAACGTCCTACTGTTCTGCTCCTATGCTGGGGTAATGAAGGCGGGCATACGCCATACAGTGTGCTATGAGGGAAGTTTTGCTCGGGCAGCGGCACTGTCGCCTACTCTTATATCGAATTCCAACTGCCAAGGGACCTTTTACGTGCATTCTAATGTATACACGGGACCTCAGTTTTTCGTTTCATCCGAAGGACTAGGCAGCTGTCCTTGTCAGGCCCTCCGTCCTGCATCACTGACAAAGGGGAACCACGCCGGAAAATCTGGATGAACTTTCTCGGCCAATGCAGGGATCGAACACACAACCTCCAGGCTAGCGAGCCAGTACTTACCCACTTAGCCACGTGATCTCCCTCGGCTAATCACAAGCAGGACCATGGATTAATTTTATTACAAAGTACATGTAACTGACTCAGTCACATAAACTTTTAAGTGATTAATATATAAAAGTCAGTGCTTCTGAATTTGAGTTCCTGTTCACAAGTTAGACAATAGTATACTTGCACAATAATAATCTTTAAGAGGCATTTAGCAACTGGGTAGAGCAATACACAAAAAACACATACTTATGGAAAAACAGCTACTTATTTATTTGGGCGACGTTTCGAAGAGTATTCTCTCAACGTTATCAAGCTAATACAGTAATACAAGAATAATGAGATCAATATATACAGAAAACTGTAACAACAATTCATGAAACCATACATATAACGTTGAGAGAATACTCTTCGAAACGTCGCCCAAATAAATAAGTAGCTGTTTTTCCATAAGTATGTGTTTTTTGTGTATTGCACAATAATGTACTTCTCTTGTTAAAGCTGTTGGGACATGTAGGTGTTCATAACCTCGGGGGATTGGATTGGTGTAACATGTGAGGTTTCCATCCCAAACTTCCTATGCTCAAGTGAATTAATAGAGAAGTTCCGCAACCAATACGAACTACAAACATGCCTTCATACTTCGTACTTTGTTTTTGACAGATTTCCGTTTCCACCAAAATACAAAGTCTGAACTACGATGTTGTCCTCAGCATCAGTCATGTTTGGTTGTTCACCTGAAACAAGGAATAACACTGTTTAGTTTGTTTAAATAAAAAATATAAAATCAAACCAAATTTTAGTCGTCGAGAAGCTCATTGCAATGTTGATCTCATCACCGACTGTCGATAAAAAAAAAATATTTACAGCCTGAAAATTGACCCAAAATCGGAACAATTGCCGACCACTTTGATCCTGATCAGCCGTCTACTGAACTGTAAAGGACCAAGCTTTCTATAAAACCGCAAAACTACGAATTTCATCCACAAATCCGCGAGAAAATCATGATTTCGGACCTCGTTTTTTAACCAAGAATTTTTCCCTATTTCTTCGTAGAAAATGGACAAACCGATCGCCGATTACATGTATGTCAATAACAACACACAGAGTGATGACGTCAGCACAAAAACACCTTGTGGTTCGGAGTTTATACTGCTTGCGGAACCTCACTAATGAAATAAAGATGTATCATTTGTTAGTCTCACATAAAGTTTTGAATGTACGTTAAACCCTAGTTCAGTTTCACACATACTTAAACATGCATTATGCAAGAGCTAAATCTGCCTATAGCAGGTCTTTCTTTAGGCCTGAAATGTTATCTAAATTATTAATTAGACATTAATTAATTTATCCAAACCATAATCAACTCTTGATGTCATCTCTAGCCTGTGATATTTACTGGATTAGGATCCGATTTGCTGCTCAACTTTGATTAAATCATGAAATGGATAATCGAGACTTATGTTTTTTATTGTACCGACTTTAGTAATGATGAGCGAGGCTAGGCCGAAAATTCAATCGCTAAATTCTCGGTTCAGAGTCGATCTGAACTGCCAGCTCTTTATCTAATCTCCCATAATCTATCTTTAATATAGGATAAGTTAATAATGTATATGAACTCTTTTCATGATCTTCATAGATAAGAATGCCAATAAGCTTAAAGATTTTTTTCAGTAAGAACAATAGATTTATTCCTATAATAGCTTCAATAGTGAGTAATACAATGTACAAAGACCTTGGGAATATACAAAGTTACCATAACTACAACAATAATAAACTATTGTAGGCTTATATATTGTTTATACAGTGATGAAAATAAAATAACACTACAGATATTTTTAAAACCTACACCAGCAGCTTTTACTCATAAATTATTTTATATTTACGAATGATGTAAAATATGCAGATAATATGTTCATTGTTAGTTTAATGACTAAGTTAGTTTCAAGATCTTCGTGTATGGCAGTATTGTAGAAATGATTCCACTACTGATCGATGTCTTACGTCGTTTACTCAAGCCACAGTAGTGTGCATGTTTATGATCATTAGATTAAAAAAAAGTTACAGGCCTGTAACTTCCTATTGATTTGGCCCCAAAAGGTACTACATGTACATATAACTTAGCATACAGTACCTTACCGCATAATTTTATGCAACGCAAGATTTTACATGGGTAAAAATGTTGCTTCTAAAATGTGAAATGCGTTACCACAGAGAGAAAAACTATTAGGTGATGAATGGTATTTTTAGAGCTGGGCGATATTTTCGATATAAAACCGCCACAGAAATAAAAAACGTCAAAAATACTCTCTTCAGAAAAATATCGAAAAACCGAAAATACGGCAGTTTTTATTTCTCTGCATGATATTTAACATAAATATTGAAAAAATGTTTTCCTTTTATGTTATTTACGATATTTTATTGCTTAATGATGAATAAATACTGTTATAAACTCCCGTGTATTCATTCCATGAAGTTTGCAAATGCCGATAAGGAGCTTTGCTGCTTTGTTTATGTCACATGACATCTCTCACACTTTTCCAGCCGTTGTAATTATCCCTGTTTCTGTCCAATTTCTATGTATCTTGACGAATTGTTAATACCGATACTTTGATTTTCCAAAGGAATTGATGTTTTGATTGAAACAAATTTTAATAAAGCAGAAATATAAATAATGCCAATTATATATTGAGAGTTCCGAAAAAACACAAACTTTTTTTTATGTTTTTATGTGCCTCCTTCATATGTAAATATTTTGAATTTAAATAAAATATTATAATTAATATTTTGAAAATTAAAATTGTTATAAACAACAACAACATTTTTAGCAAGTCTTCGTGACTATATAGATCGGATCGAAACTTCATGGATTATGACCCCTGTTTGTACGAAAAATCACGTTTTTAGCTTGTGGACCCTATAGAGGTCACAATTTTTATCCGATTTTGTTGAAACTTGAAATGTAAGTTAATAACCCAAAGATCTCGGTTCCTTTCGATATTCGCGCATATCGAACAGTAACTTCCTGAATTATGGCCCCTGATTGTACGAAAAATCACGATTTTTAGCTTGTGGACCCTATAGAAGTCATAATTTTTATCTGATTTAAAAAAACGTTCTATTATATCACCGTTACACCCAAAGGATGACTGAGTTCGAATTTCGTGAAAATCGGCCCAAAATTGACAGACAAAATGGCCGCCATTCGTTCCCAAATAGCGTAAGAATATGGTATGTCAAGGTTGTGGACCCTATAGGGGTCACAATTTTTATCCGATTTTGTCGAAACTTGAAATGTAAGTTTATAACCCAAAGATCTCGGTTCCTTTCGATAATCATGCATATCGGACCGTAACTTTCTGACTTATGACCCCTGATTGTACGAAAAATCACGTTTTTAGCTTGTGGACCCTATAGAAGTCATAATTTTTACCTGATTTAAAAAAATGTATTATTATATCACCGTTACACCCTAGGGACGACTGAATTCGAATTTCGTGAAAATCGGCCCAAAATTGACAGACAAAATGGCCGCCGTTCCTTCTCAAATAGCGTAAGAAAATGATACATGTATATCAAGGTTGTGGACCCTATAGAGGTCACAATTTTTATCCGATTTTGTTGAAACTTGAAATGTAAGTCTATAACCCAAAGATCTAGGTTCCTTTCGATATTCGCGCATATCGGACCGTAAATTCCTGAATTATAGCCCCTGATAGTACGAAAAATCGCGTTTTTAGCTTGAGGACCCTATAGAGGACATAATTTTTATCCGATTTAAAAAAACGTATTATAATATCATCGTTACACCCTAAGGACGACTGAGTTTGAATTTCATGAAAATAGGCCTAAAATTGACAGACAAAATGGCCGCTGTTCATTCTCAAATAGCGTAAAAATATGGTATATCAAGGTTGTGGGCCCTATAGAGGTCACAATTTTTATCTGATTTTGTTGAAACTTGAAATATAAGTTTATAACCCAAAGATCTCGGTTCCTTTCAATATTTGCCCATATCGGACCGTAACTTCCTGAATTATGGCCCCTGATTGTACGAAAAATCAAGTTTTTAGCTTGTGGACCCATTAGAGGTCATAATTTTTATCCGATTTAAAAAAACGTATTATTATATTACCGTTCCACCCTAAGGACAGTTGAGTTTGAATTTTGTGAAAATCGCCCCAAAATTGACAGACAAAATGGCCGCCGTTCGTTCTCAAATAGTGTAAAAATATGGTATATCAAGGTTGTGGACCCTATAGAGGTCACAATTTTTATCCGATTTTGTTGAAACTTGAAATGTAAGTTTATAACACAAAGATCTCAGTTCCTTTCGATATATGCGCATATCGAATTGTAATTTCCTGAATTATGGCCCTTGATTGTAGGAAAAATCACTTTCTTGTTAGCTTGTTCTCTATCCATCTCTCGAAAATGTGGGCGTATCCTGCCTGGCAGCCGCTGGTTTTATTATTATTTTGTCATTTGTGAATCAATCATTACTAATTACTTCTGCATCGTCTTGTAGTTATATACGTTTTTCTTTGTTCATTAAAAATGGTGCCCGAAACCATAGCGTACACGACTCGTGTACTGATTATAAAATGTTCATTGAGAATTAAATATTTGATATTAGGGTCCCATATTTTCATGGCGTGATATCAATATTGAAATGGACCAATATTAAATTCTAATTCGTGTTTTTAATATCAAATATTATGGCAAATATGGAGTTAGAGGTTCAGCTCTTTTCATTAATAAAACGGTGTAGATTAGAAAGAAGCCTATCAAAATATTTTACCAACTCTTTTACCCAATAAAGGCTTGTGTACATGTATATCGTCTGAAAAGGGGACATGGTGGCTAAGTGGGTAAGACGCTGGCTCACTAGCCTAGTGGTCGGGGGTTCGACCCCTGCATTGGCTGAGAAAGTTCATCCAGATTTTCCGGCGTGGTTCCCCCTTGTCAGTGATGCAGGATGGAGGGCCTGACAAGGACAGCTGTCTAGTCGTTTGAATGGGACGTAAAACCGAGGGCCCGTGTACACATTGGCGTGCACGTAAAAGATCCCTTGTCTGTTAAAATTCGATATAAGAGTAGGCCGTAGTGCTGCTGTCCGGGCAAAATTTCCTTCATAGCACACTGTATGGCCTATGCCCATCTTCATTAGCCCAGTTCGGAGCAGAACAGTAGGATGTTAAACCCCATTTCAATTCATTTCATTTCATTGTCTGAAAAATATGCTATAGATACTGAATGAAGTTGAACTAATTTTTAACTAATATTTCTTTTTAGAGATTCAACTTTCATTGTGGATTTCAAGGGAAGCCAAATCTCTAAATTCATGATCAACAGCTTCAAAAAACCTCATTTAGTGCTTAAATGCCTTAATGACAAGAATAAGTTTGGTTGAAATGACAGGGTAGTGAATTTCATAATTAAAGGGCCGAGTATGAAATTGAATAGTGGCCTGATTCAATATTGACATGTGTGACGATCAGCAGTTTTATTTATAGGATAATTTAACTGTAATATTTGCTTGTTTTCAGTGGAAGGAAGACAAACTGTGTTTTATATGGTGTCCTCTATGGTCTCGCTTGTGTAACTAAGGTATAGATTTCTCAAATTTGTACTTTATTGTACCATTATTTTATATGGTTTCAATTGTTGTTATATATGTGATGAGGGTTAGTGTCACTATCGATTGTCTAAATTGCTTTCTCCAGATTCTCCTGTTTCCCCCCATATTCCTGAAGCAATGGCCATAGAAATGAGGTGTTCGTAGATACAAGACCGTCTTAAATCTATCGATGCTGATGTTGACAGCCCTTTTTTTGGGGGAGACGATATGATAATTGCAGGGTATAACATGTCTTGACTGTTTTTCTGTGTTGACTCTTTTCTGGTGTGACCAACCTTTTAATATTTAGTATATAGAGATAAATGGTGTACTTGTATATAGTATGTTTGTCTTTTAATATTTAATACAGAGAGTCATTGTGTACTTGTATACAAATTAAGTATTATAGATATTTAAGTAAGAAGTAAAAGACTGGTTGTGTATAAAATTATTGAACCATACCATGATTAATGGAAACAGCTGTTTCCGGTTAAATCAATACCAACATCTCTGAATAAACCGAAAATGCTTTTCAATTAGAGCTGTTCAAAAGACATCATGTTAAAAAAAGAAACTTTTTAATCAATTCTACCTAAGCTTATATATAATTATAATACAAGTTTTGAAATTAGCCTTAGTCTAAGACGAATTGAAGTCCCTAAGTTTCAGTCTCTTCCAGACTAATACATGTGATACATCAAAATTTGTTTCTATCAATTCCATGTGATACATCAAAATTTGTTTCTATCAATTCCATGTGATACATCAAAATTTGTTTCTATCAATTCCATTCGCTAAATAAAAAATCTAAAACAAATAGAACATTGGTATTTTTTGAGTCTTTTTAAAATTTTGCTTATTAAAGCTGAAATATGGTACTTTCATGATATACAATTCAAGGGTTAGATCTGGTTTCTATTCACAGCGGGACAAAGGGAAATGCGGTTTAACGTTCACTTGACATAAACTATTTCATTTTGGGACTAACATATTGTTCAGTTTTGTTTCAATAATTTACTGTGCGCAAGGTTTTTAACAGAGGGAGGAAAACCTGAGGACCCAGAGAGAACCCACTTTGTTGGACAGACGAAAATATTCCTTGTCACATACAAGTTCAAACTAGACACCTTGCCACTTGACTCAATGACAGATCTTAGGATCTAAAGCACACACATTTGACCACCCCACCACAAGTTAATTTTGGATAGAACAAAAGGATATCAGGTATCATGTAACATTTATTATTCAATAAATAATAATTTGTTATAATAATGAATTTATATACATGTAACCGTAAGTTGAGTGATATAAGTTTAATTTATTCACATATTTGGTATTATTCAGATATTGATTTTCGGGGGGATTTTTGGTGTATTTTTCAGCATTTTAATAATTTTTGGATATTGATGTTGGGTCGATTATTGGGTGGTACAGCAACATCAATATTATACAGTGCTTTTGAATCATGGTTGATTTTTGAACATAATAAGGTATTTTTTCTATTTATGCAGTTATTGTATGAAAATATCTGTGTTATTGTATTTAGCGTATAAAACAGTTATCACCCCAGAGAAAAAGGTCACCCCCATTTCTTTTGAAGAAAATTACTGAATGGAAATAATATTTATGAAAAAAATATGACACAGTATTTATAAATGACAAATGAGAAAAGGTTTCACCCATTTCTTTTGAAGAAAATTACTGAATGGAAATAATATTTTTAAAAAAGAAATGACACAGTATTTAAAAATGACAAATTTTAAATTTCATAAAGAATAAATCCCAAATATTGTTTTAGTGAATAGAGCTTGACGTGAAAGACCCTCCTTGTAAACATTTATGTAATATTTTCTTTTTATAAGTATGTAGAAATTATCAATATTATTGATAAGTTATCAGCTTACATACCAAATATGTAAATTTTCATTGATTGCATGACACTAGTAAATAATATTGTAGTCATTTCAGCCATATATAGTTTATTTTTATATAATAATAATGAAAAAATATCTCTACAAATTTTTTTAACACATCTTGATTCATTTTTCTTTGCCAGATATAATAAAATAATATATTGACAGTATATTGGTAATCATGTTCGCAATCATATTCTGTAATTTGTAACTGTTATAAATGAAAATTTTATTAGTAATTCCATATTGTTTATTTTTTGTAGAGGAATTTTGAACCGGAACTGTTGAGTAATATTTTTAGTAATGCTGTTTTGGGGAATTCCCTTGTTGCTATTATTGCTGGTCTTGTTGCTCAATACTTTGCTGATATGTTTGGATTTGTGTAAGTCAGATATTTTCTTTAATTTTCATCAGGGCAGAAAAGAATGCAAATAGAATGTGAATAATGAGCCAGATTGTAAAGTTTTTTTCGGGTTTAAATTCAATCTCTCTGGATGTCTTCAAATATCAAGGCATAAATAAAACATTTTCTTATCCCTCTGTTCATACATTGGTCTGCCATACACCATTGCTTCTTGATGTTCTATCAAATTAAGAGTAAGAGTTATCTTTCCATCCACTTTCAAAGCTTCTCATAGTGGTTGTTCCAAACATGCTCAGTGGCGGCGCCAGCCGTCGATGATTGGAGGGGCAAAGTCCAAGGTTAAGGGGGCAAAGGAACGAGCTTCAATTAGGGATAGGGGGCCTCCCCCAGAAAATTTTGAAAAACAGGTTGCCGGAAAGCAGTATTTTAGGCACTGATCGATGAGGTAAAGTGTCAAACGAACAGACTTGCGAATCACGACGATGCCCACTCACGAGCGTCAAAGTAGGGAGTCCTCCCCCAGAAAATTTTGAAAAATAGACTGCCGGAAATGCTGTCTTACAGTATTCTGTCAGGCACCGATTGTTGAGATAAATAGATCTGCCCAGATACCGTTCGTCGCCTGATCACTAGTTTATCTGACTAGAGAACAAAATGTCAAGCAAACTGACTTTCGAACCTCAACGAATTCCCCTGTGAGCGCCAAAGTAGCGAGTCCATTGGGGACCTCGCCAAGAAAATTTTGAAAAATAGACTGTCGGAAATGCTCTACAACATGCAAGTTTATGACTGAGTGGGAATGTGGGATTTATTCACCGTAAAAGGTATTGATTACCAAAACGTATCACAAATACTTTTTTTTATTTTCTAAAATTATTGGGGGGGCAAACATATTAATGAAGGGGCAAATGCCCCCCCCCCCCCCGACCCCCCTCCCTCCCCCGCCCTGGCGCCGCCACTTAACATTCTCTGTAAGATTGGTTGACTATGATATTAGAGCAAGTACAGAAAAGACTAATAACTGCTGGTACGTGTATTTTTGCATGCCGGAGGGGGGTAGAGGGAGTATATTTTTCACTGTCATTGTGAAGTTCTTTAGTCACTCACTTTTTCATTTTGGATTTTCTAGAAAAAGTCCCCAAGTCACTAAAACTATAATATATGGCTGTTGTTTTTTTTATCTACAGGGCTCCGTTCGACCTATCGATGGGTGTTTTAACTGTGATGATTGTTATAACTATATTCACATGGCCTGAAAATTATGGAAACCAATCATCAGATTTGTCGAGTTCATTTAAAAAAGCCATCACATCAATCCGAACAGGTGAGCAGATGATTTATATTGGACTGTCGACTCTGATGATGGATGATTTAACGTAAAAATTAATAATCGAGACATTGTTTATTATCGTACCAATGATGGCGATATTAAATGCAAAAGAAATATCGGCGACTATGAGTCTATCATCGTTGATAATAATAATACTCCCTGTCACAGTATATCGATAGTTATACGTCTCTGCGTAATCCTCTCTTCACCATATGAATAACCTAATGACCCTGTACATGCTTGCAGACAATTGTGAAGCTATCCCGTTTTATTTTGGGAAAGGTCCGACAGATATTTTATTTAAGAGTTCTAATACAGATTTTTATAATAACATTTGTGTATAAAATGTGTTCAGTTTGTTTTAATGCAGTGTTGATTTCAATAAATTTACGAAACTGATTAAATATTGTTTTCATCAGAGTGGTAAAATTATGAGTAGGAGTAGTCATACCAGTACTATTGTACCAGTATATTTTGAAGCTAGTAGAAACATTGGCTTAAAGAATTAAGCGTTGTACATTAAGCCCCCTGCACAAACACATAATGAAAATAAAATAGACCATATGAGTGGATCTTAAATCCCCCTCTCTCTCTCTGCCTAGGGGGGTTGGATGGCCGAAAGGTTAGCACTGTATCATACGGTCTGTTATTGAGTCAACTGGCGGGGGTTTCGATTCCTCGGTTGTACGTGACAAGGAGTAGGGTCGCCTGTCCAACCTCGTGGGTTTTCTCCCGGTCCTCTGGTTTCCTCCAACTGCTAAAGACCCCTAAAGTGAAGCGGATGATTGAAATCAAATTGAACCATGTGTTAGTCCCGAAATGACCTAGTTTGTGTCGAGTGGACTCTCTCTCTCTCTCTCTCTCTCTCACCCTCTCATGTTATCTATTTATCAATGATTTTTTTGTATATTTCAGATCCTAAAGTATTATGCCTCGGTTTGATTCAATCATTATTTGAAGGATCTATGTATATATTTGTATTAGAATGGACGCCAGCTTTGACCCCTCACACACTACCAGTTGCTAAAAACCCGGTCATACTGAGAAATCTTCTAGAAGATAAAATGACAGAAGATGGACATCGTGGATCCATACCACATGGTCATATCTTTGCAGCATTTATGGTAAAACAATCTTGTAAATAACACCTGATAGATATGCCGTAGCGTCGCTGTCTGGCCAAATTATCCCTCATAGCGTATATTGGGCGAGCTCATCTTTTGTTAGCCCAGTCAGTACAGAAAAGTAGGACGTTAAACCGTCTTTCGTTAGCCCAGTCAGTGCAGAAAAGTAGGACATTAAACTAAACCCCATTTCATTTCTCAATAGAAAGTCTTATAAAAAAAGCATATTGGTCCAAACTATTTAAACTTTCCATTACTTTCTTTCGATTTCATGCTTTCGTCTTATTTTTCTTGATGATCATTATTGCCCTTGGTGGTTTTTATCCCTAATTAATTTAATTTGAACAGTGTTATTGTTCTACTTATTCCGGGCATGTAAAAGGTTTAAATGTTTATAATTTCTTTTATTTGTTATATATACAGGTAGCTATTATGATTGGTTCATCTATATTTAAATTATTAACAAAATATACGTCAGTTGAATCTTTTATGAGGTTAGTATTGAATATGTTTTAATTTAAGATTAAAAAAAAATAGATTTCCCCAAAGAGATGTTGAAAGGGGTAATAAGCAAGATTTAGAGGAAGGATTGGCCATTCTTGCTGTAATTGAATGTATATTGAAAATTTCAGTTAAATTACTTTATACAAATTTATATATATATGTTTAACAGTTAGTATGCTTAAGCACTAAATTGATAACATGTTGTTACATGAAAAAACATTCTTTGTAAAAGACACTTGAACCAAACCTACAATTTCACTGTTTGTATTTTTGTAATTTATTTATATTTTAGAATAGTTTTATTAACGTCCGCATTAGCTTTATTGACACCTATATTTTTTGCTGGGGTAAGTTTTTTTTTTCACACATTAAAGATGTATTCCTTTTAGGTTAACTGGGTTATCTATTGCATTTACAATGATTATTTTTTTTTTACCAAAATTATGTATGATATTTGTAATAAACACAATGGACACAGCTGGTTGATAACAGGTGGGAAAACTATATTAAAGTTACCTGATATCTTAGTATTCATATGTACTTTTGAAATGCAGTGTTTTTTAATGGTTAATAAATAAATGTATGTGTAAGCAAACATGACTTACTGTCTAAAATTTATACACAAGGCCAGCAGCATAATTGGTGGGGACAAATTGAATACAAAACTTGAAATTGTTGATTAATGATACAGAAAATTGGAATAAAAACGATATTTTAGCCCCAAAATGATCATTGAATGTTAAATCCTGTTGCTCTAACTTACAAATAGATAGAAATGGGTAAGATGCTGGCTCGCTAGTCTGGAGGTTGTGTGTTCGATCCCTGCGTTGGCCGAGAAAGTTCATCGGGATTTTCCAAAATGGTTTTCCCTTATCAGTGGTGCAGGACAGAGGGCCTGACAATGACAACTGTCTAGTTGTTCGGATAGGATGAAAAACCGAGGTCCCATGTATAGATTCGCTTGCATGTAAAAGATCCTTTGGCAGTTGGAATTTGATATAAGAGTAGGCCATGGTGCCGCTGCCCGGGCAAAATTTCCCTCATAGCACACTGTATGGCATATGCTCGTCTTCGTTAGCCCAGTCGAAGCAGAACAGTAGGGCGTTAAACACCATTTCATTTCATTTCATTTCATTCCGTTCCATTTCATTTCATTCCGTTCCATTTCATTTTATTTTATTTTTTACAGAATCAAACAGTAGTATTTATAGGTTTTCTAGTATTTGAAGCATGTGTCGGTATATTCTGGCCATCTCTTGGTACAATGAGAGGAAAATACGTCCCAGAAGAAAGTAAGTTATTTTACATGTTGAAAGTTGAACTTTTAGAAACTTTTCATTCAAAATGACTAAAATGTTCTATAACAATATGTAACTTAAACAAATTTATTTGTTGTTTTACAGTATGTATATTGCAGTTTGTTGAATTATTTATTCTACTGTATTTTATTTTGTTTTATAGCAAGGGCAACTATTATGAACTTCTTTAGAATTCCATTAAATCTTATAGTTATTATCATATTACTACAGGTAACATTGGTTTATTTTTTTTTTATGTATAATTGTTATTAATTTTCTTTGCTGTGGCTTTTCCATTTAAAATAATTAGCTTTAAATTGACATTAATTAAACAAAGGAAAAATGAGGGGGGTGCCCAAGTTCAGATTTTGTCATTGATACCATATGGTTGGAAAGTTATCAATCTAATGATCCAATGAAGTTCTATGGTGTGTCTATTGGTTGTAGAATTTTGGAGGTCAGGATTGGTACCCAATTTTTTAATTTTTGGGTTTTGATGAAACGTTGAACTTAAACATTTTCCTTCATAATTCTGTTCAGATTCCACGCATTTTACCACAACTGAATTACTTTCAGATTATAATTCTGGTGTGCTAGGATTTGGTTTTGATGAAACGTTGAACTTAAACATTTTCCTTCATAATTCTGTTCAGATTCCACGCATTTTACCACAACTGAATTACTTTCAGATTATAATTCTGGTGTGCTAGGATTAATTAATTTGAGTATATCTTATTGGTGTTACCCATCAATATGTTTTCAATATTATATTTCAGGATTTAAGTATGTCTGTGATATTTAGATGTTGTGCAGTATTTTTATTGATAGCTGCTATGTGTCAACAGTGGTTATACAGGTTGGTTAATAACTTCCTTTCAAATTGTATGTCTTGTAACACTATCTTTGTGTATTTAACTTTAGTCTGTATATTGCATGGACTCAAGCGTCTACATCCACTAAAGCCTTTAAATTTGCTTTTGTTTACTACACAGCAATATAATGAGTTAAATAGCTGCCTTAGCACAGTGGGCCATATTTCTTTGCTCCGGTTTCCTCCCACTGCTAAAGACCCTACGCGCAAGGGAATTATCGAAATAAAGTTGAACCATGTGTTAGTCCCAAAATGATCTAGTTTGTGTCAAGTGGATATTAAACCCCATCTCTCTCTCTCTCTCTCTCTCTCTCTCTCATATTTCTTTGTGGGGGGTTGGATGGCTGAATGGTTAGCGTACGCGCGCTGTATCATAAAGTCTGTCATTGAGACGACTGGCGTGGTTTCGAATCCCTGGTTGTACGTGGCAAGGAGTAGGGTCGCCTGTCCAACCTCGTGGGTTTTCTCCGGGTCCTCCGGTTTCCTCCCACCGCTAAAGACCCCTACGCGCAAGCGAATTATGTAAATAAAATTAAACCATATGTTAGTCCCGAAATGACCTAGTTTGTGTCAAGTGGACGTTAAACCCCATTTCTCTCTCTCTCTCTCTCATATTTCTTTGTCGCACATTGATGAATTTAGGCTATACATGTACTTTGGCAATATATCACTATCAGTACTAAAACAGATATGATCCATATCGACTCCAATAGCTCATTTGATTTACTTCAATTTTTGGGGTTTCAAAATGTAATCATTGTGTATGGGACAAAGAAGCCCACAATAATGGAAATAAAAAATGATATGGAACATTTCTATTGGCAATCCTAAGACTAGCTCCGACCTGACTTCATTTTGCCTGTCATTATTTACGGACTGTGAACCATCTTGTTTGGCATTATTATCACTCAGTGGAAAATATTCGCCCCAAACTTCATGATAGTTTTTATTCACAGTGTTTACATCACATCAATATTACAAGATGGTTACAAATGATGGCTTTTATTGATTTTGCATATTTGAATTGATTCTGTTTTATCTTCTTCATTTTTATGGCAAACCAGCAGTTTTTGAAATAGAAATTCAGCCAAGGTTTATCCCGATATACTAGAAACCTAGGATATTTTTGAAATTTCAATATTTTGTTGATACAAGGGGTAATATAAAAATTGAGAGTAGACGATATTTGTGTGTGTGTGTGTGTTTGGGGGGAGGGGGGGGGGGTATCTTTATAGTTAGGCAAACACAGGAATTATTTGTTGTTACTGGAGAATATGACTTAAAAGCTACTATGCTCAAAAATCACCCCAAACTTTTTATTATTTAAAGGATCCCCTTTGATTTAACGAAAAATATATTGTTGATTTGGGATGGTGTTATGTGTTGTTTTGATTATGGTAATAGGACAAGCCCAATTTGATTACATCCCACTATTGACTTAATCGGAAAATCTGATCTCAGAAAGATTATCACCTTGCAAGACAAATTAACAAAGGCAATCAAATCAATAATTTATTTTCATCAAAATCATATAAACATTTTGCTATTTTAAAGGAAAATAAATGAGTATCTCTTAAAAGCCATATCCAACCTGAAAGCAATGTTCTAAAACATAATTATGTTGTGAAATTAATAGAATTTAATTTCTTGAATGCTCAATGTTATAGAATCTTGTATTTGGATTGTACCTGTGTATTTTGAGTAAGACTCTATCATTGTTTAGAGCATAGTGGCTTTAATTATAAAATTTACCCAACATTTTAAGCAACCTAATCAGGGAATATTTTAACTGGATTCACATCACAATTTGTGACATTAAGCAACCTAATCAGGGAATATTTTATCTGGATTCACATCACAATTTGTGACATTAGGCAACCTTATCAGGGAATATTTTAACTGGATTCACATCACAATTTGTGACATTAAATGTTTCAAATATTAATCAAATTCAAGACTGATCAGCATAAATTTAGTCAAATCCTGTTTCAGAGCAAACCAATTGATTTAAGTCCAAATATTTGCAGAAAATGCTGCACATTGTAGCAGATTTCACATGTTGCACACTCCAAACATCTAACTACTTACACAAACTTGCATACCCATAACAAAAACTACTATCAGTACCCTTTCTGACTGTTCTACATCTGCAGTAGTCTTGACTAACATTATTAAACAAATATACATCACTTGTTGATTGTGACTACATGTAGTTACAAAATGGCAGAGAAAGAAATTATCAATACTTGATACTAGTGTTTCAAAAAGCAATGCATAGAGTATGAAGTAAATGAGAATTTTCCAGTTTTGTTCAAATAATTAGTGTATATTATTATTGTACTTGTAAATTATTTCGATTTATAATCGATAGAATTTTATCATGTGCTAAAGAGAACAGTTGTTTCTTTATTTTGTTGAATTTACTGTTTAATGCAAAATAAAACATTAGGATATTATTAAACCTTACTCACATTAGTATAGACAGCATACATAATAGCAAATAACACCAGCTGTGAAGCACAAATATATTAAACACTGAAAACTGCTAATCACTTGATATAATCTTTTAGAATTTGTACAGGATTCTGCTTATCAGTTGTCTGAAGTTGAAATATTCCCTGAACCTAATATGAAGCTTTCATTTTCATTGAATAACAGATATAAACCTTGGGTATGATCCAACATCTGTATGTGGTAAACAGTAGGTTTCCCTTCCTAATCTTGTGGCTTTCCTCCTGGTTCTATTCTTCCCCTGCTGGACAGCCTTACGTTGTGTTGGGCTCACATTTCATGTTAGTCCTGCATGACCCATTTGTATTGATTTAACATTTCAGGTTAGTCCTGCCGGCCCTAATTGCTTTGGATTGAATTTCATTCTGACCCTGCTTGACATAGATGTATTCTGTGGACTCTGAATTCCTTTTCCCTCTTATTTCTCAATTGAAGTTGACATTTTTTTTGGGGGGGGGGGGGAAATGAAAGTTTCGAGATATCAAACATTGAATTGTGGTATAATATTATTTTTACAGAAAAGAGACTTTTGGTTTACCTAGTAAAAAATATCGGGAAACCCTGGTAAATTTTTATTTCATTTGATAGTCATCCTTTTCAGGGCTCTTTTTTCGGTTATATTTTGCCAGTCGGACACATACACAGTACAATTGACCAGCTGATAAATTCACTCATCAGTTAATTTATCTTTTTTTACATTAATTTGGGTTGATTATTTTTTTTATAAAACACTTATAAAGACACCAAAAATTCACTAATATTGACTGTCTGGCAAAATTTTGAAGGAGAGTCCTGGTCCTTATCAGCTGAATTTTCTGTGTATAATGGAAACACTTTTATTATTGTCATGACGATGTGAATGATTGAACAGAAATATTAGAAAAGTTAATGGTAATGAAGTGTTAACATAATTTAAGATATAAACTGGACTTTAGGTATTCAGTTACTTTTCAAAAAATAAGTGTCATGCCATTGTTTTATTTATGTCCTGTTTATGAGAATCATACACAATGTCATGAAAATAGTAAATAGTTTTATATGACAGAAAGTTTAGTCTAGTCTTAAGCTGGGTGCCCATTGATTCAAATAAACAATAAACAGAAGAAGAAAATTTGTGTAGCCTCTGTGTTTTGTACCACTGTGTGTAGTGTACCACTTTGTTGCGATAAAAAAACAGCTAAACAATAAAGGCTTAAAAAAAACAAAAAAACTAAAGATGCATTAGGTAAGAGCTAATCTGCCTATTTCTATTATACTATTCTTCAAACAGTCATAACTTCACTCAGAATAAAGTAATTTGACTAAATTTTTCACTATATTCAATTTTTGCTAATAATATTTAAACTTTAATAGCAAGCCCAGCTCTTTATCTAAATCTTACATAATGCATCTTTATTATATAATCATTTATTGTTTACCTATACAAGAGACTGTATTGGAATGATTGAGGAAAGGCAGTATAATGACATTCAAAATGGAGACTCCCATTAAGTCTGTGGGCCTATAGGTACCATTTTTATGCGCCCACATTTTCATGTGGAAGTATATTGTTGTCGCCCCTGTCCGTCTGTCCACAATTTCTTTGTGGAAACTCTACAGGTCACAATTTTGATTGGATTGTGCCGAAACATAAAATATAGGTCTATCTCCCAAAGATCTTGGTTCCTTTCGATATTGGCATATATCAGACCATAACTTAATGGATTATTCCTGATTGTACAAAAAATCACGTTTTTAGCTTATGGACAATCTAGAGGTGACAATTTTCCTCTGATCTTTGGGTTATAAACATGCATTTCATGAAATGCATGTTTATAATCCAAAGATCTTGGTTCCTTTCGATATTTGCGCATATTGGATGAATTTCCTGAATTATGACCCCTGATTATACGTAAAAATTTTGTTTTTAGCTTGTGGTCCCTCTAGAGGTCACAATTATGATACGATTTAAAAAAACGTTTGTATATATCACTGTTACACAGTAATGATGCTTGAGTTTGAATTTCATGAAAATCGGAAAAAAACTGCCGGACAAAATGGCTACCCCTCATACTCAAATAGTGTAAAAATATGGTATATCAAGGTTGTGGACCCTCCAGAAGTCACAATTTTGATCCGATTTTGATGAAACCTTGAAATACATGTTTATAACACAAAGATCTTGGTTCCTTTCCAAATTTGCGCATATTGGATCATATCTTCCTGAATTATGACCCTTGATTGTACAGAAAATCACGTTTTTAGCTTGTGGTCACTCTAGAAGTAACAATTTTTATCCGATTTAAAAAAATTGTTTGAATATATCACTGTTACACTCTAATGATGGCTGAGTTCTTGGTTCCTTTTGATATTCGCGCATATCAGATCGTAACTTCCTGAATTATGGCCCTTGATCGTACGAAAAATTGCGTTTTTAGTTTGTGTTCCCTCTAGAGGTCACATTTTTTATCCGATTGAAAGAAAAACATCATTTGAATATTTGACTGTTACACCCTTGTGACTTCTGAGTTTGAATTTCGTGAAAATCAGACCAAAATTGCTTGACAAAATGGCCGCCCCTCGTACACAAATATTGTAAATATATGGTATATCAAGGTTGTGGACCTGCTAGGGGCTATAATTTTGATCCTATTTTGATGAAACTTGAAATACATACTTATAACCCAAAGATCTAGGTTCCTTTTGATATTCCCGCATATCAGATCGTAACTTCCCGAATTATGGCGCTTGATTGTACAAAAAATTGCGTTTTTAGCTTGTGTTCCCTCTAGAGGTCACATTTTTTATCCGATTGAAAAAAAACATCATTTGAATATTTGATCATTACACCCTTGTGACTTCTGAGTTTGAATTTCGTGAAAATCAGACCAAAACGGCCAGACAAAATGGTTGCCCCTCGTACTCAAATAGTATAAATATATGGTATATCAAGGTTGTGGACCCTCTAGAAATCACAATTTTAATTCAATTTTGATGAAACTTGAAATATATCTTTATAACCTAAAGATCTTGGTTCTTGTCGATATTTGCGCATATTGGATCGTAACTTACTGAATTATGGCCCTTGATTGTACGAAAAATCGCCTTTTGTTTAGCTTGTTCTGTATCCATCTCTTGCAAACTGTGGGCGTATCCTGCCTGGCAGCCGCTGGTACAAAATTAACAGACCCAATTACAGTAAAACAAATAGGCAATTTTCGTGCACTGCCATTTGGAAATAAATTGATATTAATTGCATTTGATGACATTTTCCATACATAGTGACATTTGTTTGCTGCTTGTATGTTTTATTTGGCAGTATGCAGTTTCTTTTTATTATTTGTGGCAGTACATGATAGACCCACAGCAATTATTTTCTGTTTAATTGTTAATTTTAATCAATGTGTGCCCAACCTTAGTTTTCTTCAGCAGTGTTTCTTTAGTAACTTGGAGATGGAAAAACTTTAAACTAACACTCACCAATGAAGCACAATCTCATTTTTGTTTCAGTTCACTTTAATTTATATACCCACATCTGATGAGGGATTTAATTGTTATCACCCCTATCCATCTTGTCAGTCTATCCTCTACAGGTCATAATGGTTATTGCTCTTCATCATGAAAGCTGCTTATGAGTATATATTTGATGTCTGGCAACAATTTTTATCCAATTCATATTTGTGTAGTTTTACTGTTAAAACAGTAAAATTTAAGTGAAGGATTTGCATTTCAGAGTACTATAACTTGTTGAAACTTAATTTTCTTTTCGTAAAAACTCATGGTTGTGGAATTTATATATATACTAACAGGATACCCGGCTTCGCTCGGGGGTCATAACTCCGAAACTGGAAGTAGTAGACTAACGCCACCTGGCCTATGTTTTTCCCCAGTCCGAGCTACCCCTATACCCCAAATTTCAGACTCGGGGTAGACCTAGTGTAGCCGCCAACCCCGAACAGACCGACTTCACTCGGGGGGTCATAACTCCGGAACCGGAAGTGGTAGACTAACGCCACCTGGCCTATGTTACTCCCCGGCCTGAGCTACCCCTATACCCCAAATTTCAGACTCGGGGCAGACCTAGTGTAGCCGCCAACCCCGAACAGACAGACAGATACCCGGCTTCGCTAGTGGGTCATAACTCCGAAACCGGAAGTGGTAGACTAACGCCACCTGGCCTATGTTACTCCCCGCCGACTCCCCGGTCCGAGCTACCCCTTTACCATAAATTTCAGACTCGGGGCAGACCTAGTGTAGCCGCCAATCCCGAACAGACCGGCTTCGCTCGGGGGTCATAACTCCGAAACCGGAAGTGGTAGACTAACGCCGCCTGGCCTATGTTACTCCCCGGTCCGAGCTACCCCTATTCTCCAAATTTCTGACTCGGGGCAGACCTAGTGTAGCCGCCAACCCCGAACAGACAGACAGACAGATACCCGGCTTCGCTCGTGGGTCATAACTCCGAAACCGGAAGTGGTAAACTAACGCCACCAGGCCTAATTTCAGACTCGGGGCAGACCTAGTGTAGCCGCCAACCCCGAACAGACTGGCTTCGCTCGGGGGTCATAACTCCGAAACCAGATTTGTTCCATTTATAGTAAATACAGTATATGTACTAATTTGTTTTACAATAGATACAATTTTGTTTGCTTCAAATTTACTTTAAAATGCTTTATTTATTTTTTTACATAATTTTAAAATATATTTTCAGAATTTTATCGGCAGCTAATAAAAAGTTGATATTGACGCTACATTATATAACTTGGCTCTTTTTCATCCCTCTAAATGATGGTAGTGTCGCCTGAGCAAAAATTTATAATTTACTGCAGATCAGTTCTCTTAGCCAGCAATTTTTGTTGTACTAATGTATTTACTCAAGGTACTCAAATATTTAATCAAACACTATTGTTTTTATGAATATATTATTAATATATTTAACTTTTACTTTCAGCTTGTATAGAGAACTGCCTAAACCCTTGGATGAGTTAAAGGATGGGCATAAACTAGGACAAGAGGAGAAGGTCCCACTGAAAGAGGTTGAAGGAGATATGATCATATAGACAAAGAAGTACCGATTGCAAATCTGGATATATCAGGGGGTTACAAGTGGAAATCTCATGCTGTACCCTGATTTTATCATAATCGCCAATTGTATTCTGTATTTTGACTACTGGTTAGAATGAATTGTGCTTGTGTTTTATATTATCATAGCTAAAAACACCATTGAAGTTATATTGGAATAGGTCTACTAAGTGCATTACTTTGATTATAATGATTAACCACACATAATCAGTGATAATTCAGCCATAGAAATTAATGTAACTTAAGTGAATATCCAAAATAGGATCACTGAACATTTCTCTCCTCTCTGATTTTTTTTTCTGATAGTTTACTGAATAAACCTCAAATTTTTCTCTTCAGTAATATCTTTTGTTGATTACAGCCAATGAAGGATGCCATGTTTTTCATGTAAAATAATTAGCTTAGTAATGACCATAACAATTCCTGTATTGTTCACAGAATCATAGTCTTTCATTTGGAAAAAAACATCTTCAATTTTATATCTAAAATCCAAGCACAATTTGTTTATTTTAACATATACTATGGGATTAAGAACCCAATTTTATGGCAGTCCCCAAAAATGTGAAATTTGGGAGTTTAGTTGACTGACTGATTCTAATCCGAATTAGAATTCTGCATAAATCAATGATCATATATTTCTGGATTGACCTCATAATTGACAAATTATTTTTGTGTCATTGAGTAGATATCTTAAAAGATGGATTGTCTCTTTAAAACCTCAATTCAGAATAATCTAGATCCTTTATGGTTGCAATCAGTTTATTATTAAGTATAGAGGTTTGATATCATAATTTATTACAGTTAATAATACATGTAGATGTTTTCTTTGTCCATGTAAAAGTCAAACATTATTTTTGTAAGACTGTATATATGTAAATTTTCACACTCACATACTGCATGTTCATGATGGCAGATCATGTACCCAACACACGATGATAGTACATGAGGTTACATAAAATTACCTGACCAATACTGTCTACTCATAGATGAGTCTAAGTTCACATATTCCAAAAAAAGGATAAAATCCCCAAATTTATTTGTATTTATTTCATGAGCCACATTGACTCAGTGAGTAAGGTAATGGCTCAATAACCTGGAGGTTCCAGGTTCGATCCCAGTGTTATCTGAGAAAGTTCATTGGGATTTTACAGCCCGTCTTCATTAGCCTGGTGTAGGACGTTAAAAACCATTTCATATTTATTTAAAATCATTTCTGTTAATGCTTTAACTCAATAAATATAAACAATATACTAGTAATCATTGGATATTGTCTGCGATATCACCTCGGTGGAAGCGGACGTAAAACACAACTAACAACTAACTAAATCATTGGATAGACAAAACATGTATATACTGTGGTGTCAGATCAGTCGGGACACCCTTATATTTTTACTACTACAACACAGCCATATTCCCCACCCCTAAATTATAATGAAATCTGCAGTTTTACTGAGATAGAAATTTATGATTTACTCATCACATTTAGTAGCTAGTCTCCTATACACTATTAATGCCTTTTGGAATTTCAATTGCACCATTTATATGCCCTTTGAATTGTTTATTGAGCTTTGTTACATAACCACATATATCATTGTCATTATGTTATACCCTTAATTATTCATTGTTGAGTATAAAGAGGTGGACACACTAGTAGTATGATTCGGCCGAATCAATCGGAGTCGAAATTCACCCAGTGTGTCCACTGTCATTCGGCCGAATCAAACATGGTTGATATATTTGCCAAGTGTGTCCGCTTTGCTGAAGCATTTGCCTGATTGTAGAATTAATTAGCCGATCTCCACTCATCATCCAATCATATCGAGAAGTCACGTGATTGTTTGAAGACATGGTCACCGCCAAGTTTAATCATGTGACATAAAGTTGATTCAATAGTCCGGTGAATCGGGTGAAGGATTTGCCTGGTGTGTCCACCCATTCGGCCGAATGATTCGGCTAATGTGTCCACCACTTTTAAGTTTTAAGCATAATAATATGCATACGGAAGGATATGTAACTGAAGAGGTATTAATATAAAATATAGTTAAATTATTTTGTTTTACAAATTTTTAAATATAGTATTAATTACTTTTGAAATATATTTTCAATTATAATTATACATTGTACAGTGGGTTTTTACATTTTTTTAAAATTTGATTATATTATATTCATTAATTTATTTTTCTTGCTTTCTTCAATAATATATACTGATGTCCAAAAGAAAGTATACACACTAAAAGTATGACTAAGTTTTGTTTAGATTAAAAACATTTGATAAAGCATTACTGAGTTTGTCTCTTGCATCCAAACTCAACATTTCTAAGCAAAATAAAAATGTGAAACAAATTGACATTCTACCCAAATACCGTATACCATGGAAAAACGACTTTGGTTGATGCAGCACAAAATGCACAGTGTATACTTTCTTTTGGACATTAGTATATTAATTATGCCAGATTCCATTAGTTAAACATAATTGTTTTCTCCCTGTCAAATCCTCATTGATAATTTATTATTACCTACATTCTTATGGTATCCATGAATGGGTCTAAGCCCTAAAGTTAGGAATTAATATTCTATTGTAATGTGTGGCATTTAATTTTAATTAGCACCATTATTGTTTAATTGTGCAATGGATGGTTGAATATTTTTAAAGATATATTCCCTCAAGCATAATCAAACTGTTCAACCCTAAATCCCAATAAATATATTTTCAACTTTTATAAAGTTTGATAGTTGTAATGGCAACAAAAAAGCCAAATTATAAACTCAAAATGCATGATAATTTATAACCCACAATACGTTCATATGACAGGAAATACATTACTTGGTAACAGAGGTATTCAATTAATACATAAACTTGTAGTAGTACTACATAATTGTGGCTATTTTAGATTGTCAAAAAATCTTGATATCAATTTCTTTTTTTTCTTGATAGTTGGATATCTATGAGCATGTTTTGTCGCTATGTAAATGCACATATTATTATAATGTATGTTGAGGAAATATATCTTTAAACCATCATTGTTAAAGGAGATAGTTCATGCAATTCTATATTTAAACAAAAGATATAAAATGATGACAGCTAGTCAGATTTTCACACCTTTAATTCTAACCAAATGTACTTAATAGTACAGCTAGGTCATAAAAAATAATTTACAGAAACTTCAAATTAATTAAGAATGCAGATGTGACATCATCAGTTTCTTCAGTATTTCGTGGCCAAGAATAAAAATGTGGATGGTTTTAGTTAATCCTTCAACTTTGTTTAATTTGTTGTCAAAATCAACTGTTAGTCATGTTTCTACCCTTTCGTATTCTAACAATTCCATGTTTGGTTACGCCAGCCATGTCACAAACATATCACTTTCACATCATTGGTGATACTGATAATATAAAAGTGTATTTCAATTAAGATCTGTTCAAGTCTGCTTGAATAAGGGCAGTACATATCAACCATATTTAAAATCATGCAATCATATTTGTTTCTGAAAAGTTGTAGGCATCTATGTGGAATTTATTGTTAAGATTATTTGAGGGTATTGTTGTTAAAATATATTTTATTTTTTGTGTTATATTTTTAATATATTACGTTTGTGTCCTACACATGTGGTACATGTTGAGCAATTAAATTGGGATTTTAGAAAAATAAAAAATGTTAATTATTTATTTTGTTTCATACTTTACTGGTTATTGATGACATTGGATATTTTAATTGCACTTCAATATATTATAGAATTGATTCCAATTTCACAGGTTGTGTCTTTCTTATAGTTCACAGTGACATGATACTAAAATTTGAATGTTTGCTAAATAAAGAGTGATGCTTGGCCTATAAGTCTGGGACACACTGAATATGCAGGGGCTTCAGTATAATGCTGATGTTGGAAACGGATTATAGCAAGTCCTAGACTCTATCATCGAAATCTAACATGACTAACATATGGGTTGGGGGCTGAGTGGTGTAACATGTGTACTAAAGGTTAAAAGGCCATTTATCTATACCCGTCTAACATGTTGGTGTTCACCGATTTGTGATCATATAATCATGCATTACAAATTTTATAACATTGTCAAAGAGTCAAATTTTTCAGCTGATATTTCAAAGAGAAATAAATTCAAGAATAGCAGCAAAGATAGCTCAACCACCTCATTATTCCTACAAGATTGTTGACAAGAACAAGCCATTGCCATAAGTATTGTTATGAAGTTGTTGATGTTTGAGGGACTGGCTTGGGCCTGGACATTGATGATATAAGACAATAGAAAATGATATTTTTATACATTAACTTTTACAAAACTAGAAAACAATTAATTTTTCAGGTCATATGTACATACATTTTATTTTGATAACAAGATATCAACTGTATTAACATAATTACTGTACATCCTTGGTACATTTAATTGCAAAATATTCCAACTGAAAAAACATGCTTTCATTACATTGTTTCCTATGATTCATTATGAATTGTTCTGTTAAAAAAGAACAAGTCTTGAATAGAACAGCACTTAAACAAATAAACAATATAGAGTACTTTCCATCTAAAATAATTTTCAACAACCAAACTTTCTTTAAATAAACTAAAATAGTCAGAAATTTTTTCTAATCACACATACTCATCCACATACTTTAACAACAATATGACATATTTCAGGTAAAATTCCAAAATATTACATGTATATGTTGAAGATCTTCAGGCATATTCCTATATCTGTCCATCTTTCAAAATTTTTACATAATTTTATAACATGCTGATAACTTGGAGATATAATTTCATACATGACTATTTTTTCATCTCTTTAGCCAAATGTTACACTTTCCCTTCTGAGCGCCCCCCCCCCCCCACAGTTGCTTGTTGGACAGTCTTACAGTAATAAGAGTGATGACATACATTATAAATGCAGCTTGACATTGAAGAGCACAAATGACACATATTCCTTCTGTCTTATTTCCCAGAATTATATAAATTCTTCAACTGACTTGTGTAGCTGTCATTGGGGTCATAGGGTCATGGTCTACTGACTGATGTAACATTAGACCTAAGACACCCATACGATTAGACATAGATAAACGAATATTGCGCTCTTTCTCAAATAAATCATCCAAAGCCATCCACTGAAAAATGAAAAAAAAATTTAATCAATCTCTAGAAGCTCTAGAAGATAAAGTTAATATCCGATTGACTTTAAATTTATACACTGCCAGAGTTATGGCCCTTGACAACTTTGAAAAACCCTTTGTCACACTAGAGGCTAAAGTTAATATCCGATTGACTTTAAATTTATACACAGTGTATATACACAGACAAAGAAGCCTATTGGTTTTCAACGATTTCTGATAATTGCTGCCAGAGTTATGACCCTTGATTACTTTGAAATATCTTGTGGATGCCTTGGAGACCATAGTTATCATCTGATTGATTTTATATTTATACACTGTGTTTACGGTGATGAGGCAAGGACGCCTATATATAATCATTTTCGATTGACTTTAGATTGATACATAGAGTTTAAGATTTTGAGACGAACAAGTATATTGATTGAACAGCTAAATCTATATTATTAAATGTTTTGTATACTAAACCTTAGCATGGGTCAGAACTAGTAGAAGCCAAACAAATTCTAATTATTTTCTGATAATTACTTAACCAGGTTTTAGTGTATTATAAATGTTTCATTGATGCCAAAGAGTAAAAGTTTGCGACAACTCTAATTAACATCAATAAATGAATGAATTAGGTTTAAAAAAACCCAAACCCCCACAAAACTAGGTTTACCTGTCTTAATCTCTCCATATCTACTTCTGCTCTCCGTAATTTCTCCCAACAATAATGTTTGATACATTTACGTTTTGGAGCTCGACATAGTTCACCTGTTTCATCAAATACATTAACAACTAACGGACAACCACACACTTCATCCTGTCCTATCTAAAACAATAACAAATAAATTAAATTCATACTGTGAAATAATGCTTGAAGTTTAGTACTAAAATACACATTGCCTTCATCCATCACAGACCATTAAAGTGTACCATGATTCGAATACAAGAATAAATTGAACTCTCTTAAACGAACATCTGCACTCATACCCCAACATACTATTAAAAGCGTAATAAGCTATAACTAATGCAAACACTTAATACAAATAATTGAGGCAAATGTTAAACATACATTATGCAATAGCTAGATCTATCTATTGCAGGTCTTTCTTTATTAATTAGACATTAATTAACTTATCCAGACCATAATCAACTCTAGATGGCATCGCTAGCCTGCGATCTTAAGTGGATTGTGAGCCGATTTACTGCATAACTTTCCTTCTCGATTAAATGATTAAATGGATAATCAAGACTATGCTGTTTATCATACCGACTTTAGTAATGATGACCGAGGCTAGGCAGAAATTTCATTCGCTTAGTTATCGGTTCATAGTGGATCAATTTGAATGAAATTTTCAGCAAATTGCCTTTACGTTATTTAGTTTTTAATTATTATAGTGAGAACTGCCAACTCGTTATCGAATCTCCCATAATGTATCTTTAATCATTAGTCAAAAACATAGTTTATAATAAACACTGATAACTCACAACTTCTACCGGTAAATAATAAATTGTTTCAATTAGTATTTAGTAGCTGAACTGGAAATACACTGGTAACAATTCTAGTCTTGTGTCCTGTCGATCATAGAATTGTTGGGGGTGGACTGATAACTCACAATTCACCAAAATAAGAAGTAATATTGCCACTTTATCTGGGTTAAAAATACAAGAGCTATATGATTTAAATGTTAATTTTTCTGTCTTACCTTTGGTTCTTTAGTATGTTCTGGACAGAGAACTTTTAATCTTTTACAGTAAAACTTCTGTTGTGGATTCCAGAAATCACAAAACATAGAATTACCCTCAATTCTAGTTTTATAAATAGAACCAAACGATGTCTGTGATTCGAACTATAGAAATAAAACATACAACAAATAATTATATCAGAAATGTAATAAATATGAAATATGGTTTGTAAAATGTTGATCATTTATACACAGGGGTGTATTCAGGAGTTAGGGGGATGAGGGGTGGAAATGACATCAAGTTTGGCATGATGTCTTATCAGACAATTTTATAAAATCCGAAGCTGTAGAACAATAACTCTGCTCATCTAGGAGCATACATGTATAGGATTAGAGTAGAGTCAGACCAAAATGGCAACAATGCTTTGCATGTTAGCTGGTCCAAACTTACTAGAAGGAAAAAATAAGCTCTGCGCAAGCCTGTTTCAGCTAAAAGTAATCTCTCTTTTATAAGATGTGCAATATAAGAATCCAAGTAAATATATATAATTGTGTGATTTGATCATTTATTCTAGATAGAGTTAAGTCAAGAGGATCAATGGACTATTTGTTATGTTTAAATGGCTGATTGATAACTCAGTAGTAGAGCATAAAAACCACTAACTGTGAAGTGAATGGATTCTGCCAGGAGTTCAATTTCCCTCAGTGCAAGGAAATATAACACCCACACCAAGTGCTTTCTATGGAGGTTTCTACAGAAACCCTCCTAATTGTAACTTAGAAGTAGTCCTATATGTATTTCTATGATCACTCTATGTAACAATATGTATCCATGATATATTCACCTTAGAGAAACATTTTTCCATGTGTCTTAAAGCACCTCGCTGATTAATCTCACTACCACATGTAACACAGTATAATGTTATCTCGGTATCATCTTCTGGTTCAGCTCCCTGTAATCAATAACAATCAATCAATTGGTCAAAGTCAATATCAAAATGGAAACTGCCAAATGGAACTTTCTTGAAATACAACAACTGGTGTTTGATCTAACATGAGAGAGAGAGTTAGAAATGGGGTTTATCGTCCACTCGACATAAACTAGGTCATTTCGGGACTAACATATGGTTTAATTTTATTTCAATAATTCGCTTGCGCGTAGGGGTCTTTAGCAGTGGGAGGAAACCGGAGGACCTGGAGAAAACCCACGAGGTTGGACAGGCGACCCTACTCCTTGTCACGTACAACCGGGGATTCGAAAAAGATCTAACATACACTGACAACTAGACATTTTCTTCATAATCCATCCTATGATTGCCTGATAACCAAAATAATCTTATATGTGAGGGCCTGCTAAAGGAGTTTGTCAGTAAAAAAAACTGTCAGCACATCAGTCAATATGTAAATTAGAACCGGAGCTTTACAGGAGTACTTTGTTCGATTGTAATCGAATGGGGTTTAAAGACTTTTAACACAATTTTTGGGTTATTGCGACAAGCACGTTTTTGTTTTACATTTATGGTTAATGATGCAATGCGAGGAAGTAATTTTTCTCAGACAACAACGTTATGCCTACTCTCCAACTGTCATGCACACTAGTATGTACACAGGTGGACCTTAGTTTATTGCCCCATCCAAATAATTAGATACTTTACTTATAATCCTTGAAGGTGATGACTGGTCTTGAAAAATCCCCATAGTTCTTCTCAGCCCAAGCCAGGACAGTCTTGTTAAGAATCCACTCTACTACTACAGCCCAATATTTAATTAATTTTTTTTACAAGATATTTTACAGACTATAAATGAATGAGAGATGGGGGGAAGAGGCAAAATGCCTATGTCAGACCCCTATAAATACTCTTAATCTATCCTGATGAAGCACAGTGTATCAAGCAACAATATATCATTTCTACTTACACCTTGATTAGGATCTATTTTTAAATGTTTGGCCTTTTCAATCAACAAATCTAATTCTTTATGTCGTAAATCTAAATCATTTAGTCTCTGTTTCGCTACCAATTGTTCTCGACGAATTGATTCCAAAGATTTTTTATTCTTTTCTTCAGCTACACATAAACTGCTCTGCCATTGCTGTATTCTACTGGGTAACATTTCATATATACGACTGGAAAAGAAAGAATAGTAATGTAAATAATCATTGTTATTTTATACAAAGAACCCTTCCTAGAGATTATAGAAACTTGGGATGAACAGGTTGATCTAATACAGTGGAGTTTAACATCTTCTTTTTCTGCACCAATGGGTTAATGACATAAAATTTTACATCCTACAGTGTGGAAAATTCGGCCCAGACAGCGGCATTCCGGCCTACTCTTCTTTCGATTCTAAGTGTACACTGGTTTTTCGTCACATCCGAATAACTTTACGTTGTCATTTGCTGGGCATACCGCCCTGCACCACCGACAGGGGGGAACCACACCAGAAAATCCTTATGAACTTTCTCGGCCAACACCAAGATCAAACACTGGACATCCCGTTTAGCAAGCCAACATATTACAGAGCCACCGCAGATCCCCATGGGCTAATGATGGTTTACACTTTTCCTTGCAAGCCCATCCCTCCCTCCCCTCCAGAACCACTGACAACTAAATTCCAGACTAGAAATCCTGGGGAATTTTCTTGATCAACATTGAAATGGAACCTGGAATTACATCCAGCACCATTCTCATTGTTCCACAATGGTTCCTGCTGGATATTACAAAATTCTCATAACATGGAAACTACAAATTTATGTGTGTATAAAGCAAGGATGGCAATGTAATTATATTGAAGGTATTCCACCATGTTATAAAATATAAAAATTAAGTCACCTTTTTGCTAATTTCAGTCCACATTCATCAGAACAATATTTAGAACCTGATCTGGCACATTCTTTACAACCAGGTCCATAACATTGTTTTGGTGTTTCTTCTTCCATTTCCATTGGTTCTTCTACTTTAAATCGCTTCTTCTTACTGGTTGTTACTGATTTCTACAGTAAAATCAAAGATAAATTTACATACATATTTAGGCGTATCAATTGTTGCAAATGCAGTTTACATTTTGGAAAAATGTTTTTGAGTATTCGACTAACTTCATTAGGAGCTTGAAGGGGAACACTTAATATACATAGTAATTATCCATGTCTCAGGGTATTTATATGAGCTTAAAGGAGAAAGCCCAATAGTAATTACCCATGTCTTATTGTAAATCTTAACTACAATGTGAGTCTGGTTTCCTTGTGTTACTGATGCTTGTACTTACACGTAGCATGCCCAATTTCCACTTTATAACTGTGTCTATATTTCATTAGTTTAAAGAAATTAATGATGTGTCTTAACTATATGGTTATCATTTGAAGACTACAGAGAGATCAGATAGCATTATTACCTGTGTTTTAGATTTTGTTGGATTTTTCTTATGTTTCTCTTTTCTTTTATCTTTTTTACGGTATTTACGAGGTGAACTTGTTTCACTCGAACTAGATCTCTTTTCTTTTTTCTAAAACAGAGAGGTCAATTATAGTAGTTAATTAAACACCCAACATACAAAATAGTCTTTGAATATTTTATTGCATGTACCAGGAATCTTATCCATAGAGTGGGGGATCAAGTGGCTAAGTGACTAAGACGCTGGCTCGCTCGCCTGGAGGTCGGGTGCTCGATCCCTGCATTGGCCGAGTAAGTTCATCCAGATTTTCTGGCATTTTTTCCCCTTGTCAGTGATGCAGGACGGAGGGCCTGACAAGGACAGCTGTCTAGTCATTCGGATGGGACGAAAAACCAAGGTCCCGTGTACATATTGGCGTGCACGTAAAAAAGATCCCTTGGCAGTTGGAATTTGATATAAGAGTAGACCGTAACGCCGCTGCCCGGGCAAAAATTCCCTCATAGCACACTGTATGGTGTATGCCCGTCTTCATTAGCCGAGTTTAGGGGCAGGACAGTAGGACGTTAAACCCCATTTCATTTCATTTCACTATCCTTATTCATAGACTGATTATAGCCATCTACAGTTGTTTGGTACTTTACTGTCATCTTCTATTTGCAAGTGAATATATTCTTTTAAATTGTATACAGCGTTTTCAGATAGTCTGATCATAAATCAATGTTTAGCATGGGTAGTGGTCAAGATTAACTAACCTTTGGTATATAATTATTTTCAGACCAATCATCATCAATTTCTCCATCACTGTAATAAAGAAAGAAAACTTATTATATTCCTGTTCAGTAATTGTTTTTACAATAATTATAAATGTCAATGAAATGAAATGAAATGAAATGGGGTTTAACATCCTACTGTTCTGCCCCGAACAGGGTTAATGAAGACGGGCATACACCATACAGTGTGCTATGAGGGAAATTTTGCCCGGACAACGGCACTACATTCTACTCTTATATCGAATTCCAACTGTCAAGGGATTTTTTACGTGCACATCAATGTGTACATGGGACCTTGGTTTTTCGTTCCATCCGAACGACTAGACAGCTGTCCCCCCTCCGTCCTGCATCACTGACAAGGGGGGAACCACGCCTTGTCAGGCCCTCCGTCCTGCATCACTGACAAGGGGGGAACCACACCGGAAAATCTGGATAAACTTTTCTCTGCCAATGCTGGGAACGAACACCCAACCTCTAGGCAAGTGAGCCAGCATCTTACCCAGTTAGCCAACGTGAGCCCCGATAAATGTCAAATACAGTCACTTATATAATATGTTATTACTGAACGTGGAGTAACTACATCACTATAGGGTATTGGATATTCACCATTTATATGTAGGAAGTCCATTTACAATTATCATGATCTTAATGTATGTTATATGTTTAACTGTCACTGATGTATAATTACGTAGACTATTTGTTTTAATGTATAATGCTTATGCATAAGTTAGAATATGCACACTGCAAACTTACGATAATGCTGGGTTATAATCATCATCTTTTAATTTTGGACCAGGACCAGGACTTGGAGTGGGACCTTGACCAAGACCAAGTATAGCCAGACCCTGAAATCATAAACATAAAATATTCACCACTAGCTCTATAAATCCTGGTTATCAGGTAGTCTGGATTATTTAGTCTCATGTGTCTGTCTCACTTGTATTCAACTCTATACAATAATTGAATATAAACATAAAGTCTTATCTCCATATGCAAATCTACAGATTATAAAATGAACATGCTTGCAGATAAAACCGTGACCAATAAATGCATACATATCTATTTCTTCTTCAATAGACAATCAATACCTGTATGCTCGTCTTCATTTAGCACTTTATTTAATTGGTCTTAAATTGTACAATTCCAATATTCAGGTTTTACTGAAGAATTGTCTTTTTTTTTTAGATTTCGACAAAAAAGAGAGAGAAATGGGGTTTAACGTCCACTTGACACAAACTAGGTCATTTCAGGACTAACACATGGTTTAATTTTATTTTAATAATTCGCCTGCACGTAGGGGTCTTTTAGCAGTGGGAGGAAACCGGAGGACCCGGAGAAAACCCACGAGGTTGAACAGGCGACGCTACACCTTGTCACATACAACCGGGGAATAGAAACCATGCCAGTTGACTCAATGACAGACCTCATGATACAGCGTGCACATGCTAACCATTCGGCCATCCAAACCCTCTAGATTTCGAGAAACATGGGTATTGGATGCTTATAAACTCAGATTAATTAACTTGTTTAAAAATGTTAAAACTATTAAATTCTACTCACAAAATTAGCACACTGTCTCAATCTACATTTTTGTCTCATTTTATTTGGACCACCAAATTTCTTCATATCCTAAATATAAAATATTGATATCAAAATTACATTTCAGGTGGAAAATAGAAATAAACAGCAAGAAGTAGTTTTAATCTCTATCACATGATGTAACTGCTACTTCTGCTACATCACTTTTTCCATGTGGTGGACAAGGTGCTGGGTTGCTGTTCCAACTGGAGAGAACTTTCTAAGGGAGGTAACACAGTATATTAATAGGATGTAGACCACCAATTACTTCCTCTTTCTTGAGTCTCATGAATTTAGTTTGGTCTATTTATAGTCTTTATCTATCTTTTCCTTGCATATCCATATTTGTTGACTTTTTGTATATAGTAGAATAAGAGGCCTTGAATTGACATTTTCTGCCAGACATATTCATCATTTTGATGTGGAAGGATAACAGAGTTAAGAGGCTGGTTATGGTGACAAGTTTAATCTTTAAAATTATGCTACTTCCATTTTATGTATTGCAAAACTTCCATGGTCAATTTAGATTAAAACATTGCTCAAAGAAATTCTTCGTTAGAGCTAGCAAAGCAACAAGAATTAATGTCTATATGAAGATCATTGGAGGTCTTCCTAAAATAACATTACTAGATTTACATACCTTACAATAATCACATCTCCCACAATCTTCTTTTCTATTACAAGCTGTACAATCACCACATCTTCTACTTGATTTCTTCGCTTTACTATTCTGTAATAATAAAAATATTCTAATATCTTAAATGAATAACTAGGGTTAATCAATGTTCTTGATAATATGTGACCCACCGTGTCTAATTGCGTCGCATGTTGCATAATGTCTTTTTTCAGTACAGGTCAAAATAGGTAAGAAACTGCCATCTGACCGATTTTGAGTTTTCACCAAAAATCAATAGTCAAGGGCATAAACTTTTGTACAAACCTGTTTTAACAACATAATAATAATCCCATAGTTCATTAATATGCGATTTACGAAGACTGTCTGAAAAGAAATGCCTTAAAACAAAGAATTTCAACAGCGTTTTACTCAAATTAATGTATTTATGAATTTGCATCTTCAACATGCCCTTGCTCGGCCAATTTTTGTCCGATTTACATGAAACTTGTTTTATTTTGAAGGGAATTATGTGTAGGATCACCTCATACCAATATCTAAAATTGTGACATGTGACTGGTTTTGCCATGGTGGGTCACATTAAAATGTTGTAAATATTTCAAAAACTACTTTTGATCTTAAAGTTCCAAGAAGCCTCTTAGCTGACTAAGACCCCATCAAACAATATGATATACCATGGCAATTTGTTGACACATCATAATTAACCAGTGTCTTACAGTATGTGTTTAGTAGATTGTGTACATATATAAATAAATATTCAGAATTTATTATAACAATATACCCATGTGCCTTGTCAGATTTCAAGACAAAAAGTAGATAATAAGCTCTTTAAAATAACTTACGGTTTCTCTAAGTCGAGGATCACGAGCTGATCTATCTATATCACTGGAGTCACTTTTACCTTTCTCTTTCCATGGCTTCTTGATTTTATATCGAATCTCTAAACTTGGATCTTTACCTAAATTCAATAATATCAAGAATCCACTTACTAATTAAAAAGGATCATGTAGCTCTATATAAAGTCATAAATGTTATTTAAAATTAAGAGCTCTCAAACTCTGTGTTTTAGAATGTGAAGGTTTGTAAGATTTAATAACAATGTTGTTAACTCTACTAATTTATAATAGCAACACCTCATTCATTATAAAATGTATGTCCATTCACTGTGCTTCATAAATAAGGGAGATACATTACAGTTTGGGACCTGAAGCTTCAAGATTTGAAATGAATAGATGCTGTAACACTGGTACAAGCATAAAATATTTGGCAAGAGAGAGAGAGAAATGGGGTTTAACGTCCACTCAACACAAACTAGGTCATTTTGGGACTAACACATGGTTTTAATTTTATTTCAATAATTCGCTTGCACGCAGGGGTCTTTAGCAGTGGGAGGAAACCGGAGGACCCGGAGAAAACCCTCGAGGTTGGACAGGCGACCCTACTCCTTGTCACGTACAAAGGGGATTCGAAACCACGCCAGTTGACTCAATGACAGGCCTTATGATACAGCACGCACGTGCTAACAATTCGGCCATCCAACCCCTCAATATAGTTGCCAAGATGTATCATCCCTTATGTATGTTTTTAAGATCAATAGCTAGCTTGCTTTACTGAAAGCCAGTTTATTTACAGAAGGCCAGTTTAACATATAAGACCAGGTAGTTAACAAGACTAACCTCTACATGCATCACAATAATATTTTTTAATAGATTTAGCATCAATCTGTGTTACACCAATACATACACCATGATACCATTCTTCACATTTATCACATGCTCTGAAAAACAGCAAATCTATATTCTCCAATACATGTATCTTTAAATCAATTTAATGATGGAAAGTCAATTTAACATTAAACTGACTCTAATTTCCATTAATTTAAAATGCTAGCCAGCTGTTATAAGACTTATTAATTCTGCATACATGTATATGGTTTCAACATACATAATGCAAAAGCTAAATTTGCCTATTGCAGGTTTTTCTTTGGGCATGAAATGTTATATAAACTGTTAAATAGACATTTATTAACAAAACAAGGACATAATCAACTCTTGATGGCATCGGATACTCGAGATTTTAACTAGATTAGAACGGTTCGCCATTTAAAAAATTAATTTAAAAATGGGTAAGCAAGGCTAAGTCTCGAATATACCATTGCCCTGGTTACCACAATGCACGCATCTTGTCAAAACTACAAACAGTGATAACTTGGCTCAGAATGAAGTAATTTGAATTTGAATGAAATTTTCAATATTTTCATTTTACATTATCTATTTTTGAGCCATTATGGCAATAACAACCAGCTCTTTATCTAAATCTTACAATATTTATCTTTAATACATACATATATTCAAAATAACCCTAAACTCACTTAAATATATAAATAACATCCAAAACTGCCCTGTTTATTAGAAGAAGGTAAAAGATTTTTACAAGCCTTGTTAAAGATCCATTTTGTAAGATTTAGATAAAGAGCTGACAGTTTTCTCTATAATAGTTCAAAAAAATAAATAAGGGAATATGTTGAAAAATTCAGTCAAATTACTTTATTCTGAGTAGAGTTATTGCTGTCAGTGTAGTCTTGATTGTCATTGCTACCATTGTTACGATAATGAACAAAGTCTTGATTATCTATTTCTTAATTAAATCATTAACTAGCAATCATGTTTAAATCCATTGAAAATCAAAAGCATCAGATGATCTAGAGTGTTGATTATGGGCTTGGCATGTGAATAAATGTCTAACTAATGATTTATATAAAATTTGAGGCCAAACAAAAGATCTGCATTAGGCAAATTTAGGTCTTACATAATGCATCTTTAATGTTAAACTTCTTGAAAACCCCTCAGATATTTGAAACTCAAAGCAAGGACATGGCAGATTTAACTAAAGTTTGAATACAATCCATCAATCTAATTTATATTTTATTATGTATCCATTATAATCAAATTACTTAAAATACAAAATTACTTTTCAACCAATTAATTATACATGTAATGCCACTTTAAATGACCTGGATTAATCTGAAAATACAACTTACATCATAAAAGACGTACAATCTGTTGATTGACAGATACAGTATTTCTGTTCTCCTTCATTCTCCATTGTTTTAATCAATGTGTTCACCTTCGCTTGACGTTCAGGAAGATTAAATTTGTGGGCAATCTCCTCTTGCTGTAAAAATAAACGCATTCAAACTGACAAATACACCTTTGTTCCTTATCCTAACAAGCAAACATTTTAGGTTGAAGGAAAGAGCAAAATGTTTCCTAAAATCAATTAATTTCACAGTGGTTAATATCTCACTAAAAATCAATAAAATGTTACCACTAAATGTATTAATAACATATAAACAAGGTTAAATTTGTGAGAAATATATCCTCCAACTTGGAACTAAAAGATTGGATTTTGGCTATGAAGTGTTATTAAAAACAAAAAAAAGTGTGATTCACATTGTCATCCCGAAAAACAAGTTTCAAAAATATCTGTAGAGAATCCACAAAGATCACCTCAGTTTATAGAGGAATATATTGGTCATTCACATATCTATATGACTCAAGATAAGCCAGTGGAGAGAATTATTAATACAGTGTTAACATCATACATGCTCTTTATCATGTAGGCCTGTTATATTCAGTGTGTGTCATATGTTTAAGCATTTATATAAACATGCGTAATCTATAATATTTATTTACAGCACTGACTCAGTTTCTACTAACTTCCTGTATCTATTTTATTAAATAGGTCACATGACTATGTTTAGATACAATCCACTTACTCAGCTAAAAAATACTGTTATTCAAAATCCATATCAAAATAAAAGATGTTTCTACACAGATCAATTTCGGTAGAAATTCTATGCAGATCTTGAGTGGAAATTTTCAATATTTTACCTCCAATCTACGTTAGGGTGCTGATACCTGCAGTAGCCTAATCAATATCAGTGTGCTACGAGGGAAATTTTGCCCGGACAGCAGGACTACGGCCTACTCTTATATCGAATTCCAACTTTCAAGGTATCTTTTACGTGTACGCCAATGTGTACGCATACCTCGGTTTCAGACCCATCCGAACGACTAGACATCTGTCCTTGTCAGGCCCTCTGTTCTGCATCACTAACAAGGGGGAAACCACGCCGGAAAATCTGGATGAACTTTCTCGGCCAATGCAGGGATCGAACACCCAACCTCCAGGCTGGCGAGCCAGAGTCTTATCCGCTTAGCCACTGTTACCCCCCTCCCCCCGAAATAAAACAGCTTTATAGCGAATCATGAGAAGGTGAATAGTGATACATCAATTCAATGATACAGTGTATATTGTGTCAGCACTATTAACTAGGTTATTAGATATTTTCTTAGTGTAATAGCTGTTATAATTTCATTACCATAAAATGTCAATGTATGTATATTTACTCTCGTTTTACTTATCAATTAAATTATAATCATTTCGCTTATAGACATAATTATAATAATTGTACTAGGCATAATTATAATCATTTTATTTATAGACATAATTATAACCATATTACTTGTAGACATCATTATGATTATAATCATTTTACTTATAGACATCATTAGGATTATAATCATTTTACTTATAGACATAATTATAATCATTTTAATTTAAATGATTATAATCATTGTACTTACATGTATATACATAATGATAACCATTTTTTATAGACATAATTATAATCATTTTTTATAGACATAATTATAATCATTTTAATTTTACTTATAGACATAACTATAATCATTAAACCTTTTATTCTACTTGGCATTATTGGCCTGCATTAATTAGACATTAGACGTAGGGCATTTACTACTGCTACTAGTACTACTAGACTAATACTAACTATTTACACCTAAACTGGAGGTATATAATTGCCATCATCACCACAGTGTTGCATGAGTGCGAACGACACCAGACATTATATTATTTATAACTAAAAAGGTGTAGCCTGTACCTATGCCCAAAACACTGAATAAAAATATGATTCTCACAACTGCTGCCGCAGTAGTGGATAAGTAGTTTATATGTTTATTTATTCATTTTCATTATTGACAAGTTTTACGGTATCTCTTTGTGAGTTCTGTCTTTGATGGCTTGGGAATTTGCCAAGAAACTCACCGAGAGGCCACCTTGATCACTGTCAGTCATTTTGCCAAGTTTCTGTTGTTTTTATTCGCGAAGAACAAATATTGGAAATCTACAAAGAAATTCCAAGCCAAAATGTATTATTTTCCCGGAAGTAAAGACCACCATAGGTGGCACTACGAACTGAACACTGGTCGTTATAACACGCTCTAAAACTATTTTCTTAAAGTTTATTAAATTTGACAATAAGATCAAATTGATATGGATATAATGATTTGCAAATTTACATAAACATAAATTTAACGCCATACATACAAAAAATTCCATGACCTTGCGACTGAATAACCGTCAAAACACGTGACTAGGTCTAATGACTAACACGTTTCCACTCCAGTCATAAAATTGAAACAAAACTAGTATTTCAATAAAGTTTTCGACAGACTTACTTAAACTATTTTGAAATAAAGGATTTTAGAGAAAACTGACCTGATATACTTCAATTTTACACGATTTACTCATTTTCCAAACTTAGAACAAGGTTGGTAATGGTATCTCTCGTTTGCAAGAATTAAACGTCTGGTTAATCAAGTCTATTCTAGACCGGAAGTGATAAAAGAGTCGCTTCCCTTCTACTACCGGTTTCGCCATTGAAAAATTAAAAATTACTGAAAATGGAGGGATTAATTCCCGTTATTAATAAACTTCAGGATGTTTTTAATACTGTCGGAACAGATGTCATCCACATGCCACAAATTGCCGTCATAGGAAATCAGGTTTGGTTGTCATGTCTATTTTTCCACTCCAAAATACCATCTTTTTCTGACCTTCAAAATCAGGAAATAACCGAAATAAACATCAAATGATAAAGTCTAGTTTCATCAGACACTGACAAGTCAGTAAAATAATTGATAATAAAACATCAATCGCAGCATCTACTTGTACATTAACTGACCCTTGTTTTAGATTGATTAATATTAATTTGATCCTATTAAGACCGTGTTAAAACCTACCTCTTTCGTTTCGTCTTTGAATTTGATTGATTGACTATTGAGCCTTTCTTTCATTTGACCATCGGCATCACCATCCGTTACTCGAGAAATGAAATGAAGTGGGGTTTCACTTTCTTCTGTTCTGCACAGACTGGGCTAATGATACACAGGACCTCAGATTTGCATCCCATCCAAACTACTGTTGACCCTTGCCAGTCCCTGCGTCCTGCACCACTGACAAAGGGGAACCCCGCTGGATTTCACGGTCAACACCGGGATCGAAGACGAGACTTCAAGGTTAGTGAGCCAACATCTGACTCACTGAGCCACAGCTTCTCTTCTTGGAAAAGACAGGTTGAACTATAGATTGTTTTATCTCATCTGGCAAAAGCTAACATTACTCAGTCGGTATCACGTCATTTGGGACTCAACATAAACGACATTTGGGACTCAGTTGATGACGTTTGGGACTTGATTGGCGTCGATTGGGACTGAACACAAACGACATTTGGGACTCAATATAAACGACAGTTGGGACTATTTATTTATGAGATATATAGTAACAGCTGTGTTAGTTGTCTTTCGTTTTATTTAGTTGATCGGCGCTTGTTGAGACCGCGATTAACACTGCTAGTTCTCCTTTGTTTTGTTTTATCTGCGAGTATAAAACTTGACAATAATATATTGTTGAAAATTTATGTATATTTAGTAATACTTCGTTGTTTTTCTTTTATCAAATAGTAAACGAGCTTGATTGACCGACCACTGCTAATGTTTTTTCGTGAAACGGTATAACTGCAATCAACACACGGCCGCCATTCTCGATGATTGACAACTCACGTTTTTCCTCACCCACCAAAGAACCGTTAGGTTTCTTTGAACATACTGCAATAACATCAGGATTATCAGTTAATCAGCTTTAATTATCCTGCTTGGATCGTTGCCATTTCATATATTTTCCACCAAAAAAATTTATCGATTGGTATTGCCATCTATGACAAGCATGTCAACGTGCAGCTCACGGATTATCGTTAACAATTGCTAGGGGCTTGAAAAAAGATTGCATGTCGTGTAAATATTTATTTTGTTTTTTTGTGTAGGTCATTTTCAAATAAATTCATCAGCATATTATTCGTTTTAAATAAATATATAACTTTAATGAGAAACGATGATTATCAAAGAACCGTAAGTGCAACTAATGTTTTATCGTTTGGTTGAGCCTTTTACTAACCACGTGTTTCATGTTAATAAATATTTTCTTTCGTGTTTTGAATTGGCCTATTTCTAATAAATTACCCGAGTCCCAAACGATGTATACCCGAGTCCCAAATGTCGTGGTCATATTTTTTTGAGTCCCAAATGACGCGAGTCCCAAATGACGCGAGTCCCAAATGAAGCGAGTCCCAAATGACGTGAGTCCCAAATGACATGTAATCACTCAGTCTGGCTGCAGTGGACATTTGCCACTCAGGTGGCCATTAATGTCCTAGAACAATGTAATGTTATTTTTACCCCAGATTTAAACAATAAACATACTAGGCTACAGTATTGTTTTACTCTAGGAAAAATGTGCCAAAGTTAAAATAAAAGTGGCTAGGCCTATCTTATGAACATGGATGTACATGTACCGTAAACAAGTGCTATATGTATATTGTATTGTTAGGTTTTCCTATTGGGTTAGACTTAGCAAATAACAAACACAGATGTAACGAATTACCAATTTACTCATTCTAATCCCATTTGACTGCAATTACCTTATTTAAATAAGATGTTGCATGCATGAATAAACACAATGATTCTGCAAGTTTTAAACTGCAAGGGGTTTTGCTGTGAATGTACTCCTAGTAGGAAAGTATGATTTGGACTTCAAATCTTAAACCACAAGAAAAACTGAAAGATTTCCATTTACATGTGTATAATGACACAATGTGCTACTTGAGAGTTGGATGTAAAGCAATAAAGAATTCATCAGTTGTCAGTGCATGTAGATTATTCATGAAGTTACCGATCCGTATACACAAGAAATACATGTATCTTAGTCTGTTACATTAGTGAATGTCACCATGTGCACTCAAGCATTTCATTAATGCCATAATTTAAAAGAGAAATAAATACGCTTATATTTGTCTAGTGTGAATCATACTAATGATTTCTTAGGGTGACGAATCCCCATGAAAAATACATGCATCATATTGTTATTATGTCATGTCTTATATTGCTGTATTTCCATGAAATTAAGGATGTTTTAAAATATGGCATTATTCAGTATTCATTATATTATTTTCTTGACGAGAGTATGCATCTTTAGTTTGGTGCTTAACCATTTCAGACTGTAATATTTCAACTCGGTGTAGTTTGTGTTGTAGTCAGACACTCTGTAGATTCTATTGGTTAACCTTTTTATGCCCAGTGGTTTGTAAAACTCAGTGTTTGATAAGAAGACAACTGACTGGCATGGCCATGATGGTGGTATCTTGATAACCATGATTAAAGACATTATTTTCTTGCTAAATGTCTTCCATACAGTTCATTTTATATGTAGGTACATGACAGGCCAGCTATATGTACATGTACTTCAATCAAACTAAAAAATCTCTTCCCCCCCCACCCTCCCAACAAAAAAAGCTGTTATACCATGTACTGTATTATATTGTCAAATTGATTTATTGCAGAGTTCTGGTAAAAGTTCTGTTTTGGAGAATCTGGTTGGCCGTGATTTTTTACCAAGAGGTACAGGAATTGTTACAAGACGTCCTCTAGTATTACAGCTTATACATCTCAGTAAAAATGACACAGAAACACGAATGCATGATGGAAGTAAGTAGGATTGTTGTCACTAACGATTACAGAGTAGTTCACCTTTCTTATGAATGATCGTCATTTGTATTTTTTGGAAAATCTCTAATTTGTCACAGCTGTACTTTCTTGGAGGAGATGAAAAGAAGAAAACCATGATGTGTAGCTTGATACAACTATTTATTTAACAAATAAATTATCTCATTCACTGAAACATGAACAAAATATGTACATCATTATAATATTATAGCATATATTATAGACTGTTACATGTATAATTCAGATTATTTGACTACTTACAAGCTTTGGCACTATGGCTGAAAAATAGAGTAATAAGTATCGATTGTTAAAAACTGATCGATAAAACGTTAACACTGTTTACTAAACAGAGGGGCTAAGTTAAAAACTTAGTCTTGACAGCTAAAGTGTTAGCGCCTGTGCGTGTGTGAAAAACACTTGCGTTCCAGTAGTAAAGCCTCTAACATGATACAGTATACACATTTGTTGTTAAGTAGACTCTTATCAAACTGACACTTACCTGTAGAACATACATGAAAACATCAACCTACATGTATATAATTTAAATGTATATTACATATACATATAAATACTGCGTTTAAATATGATACATGTACATGTACAATAGACATATACAACGAATGGGAGAAACATCAGCTTAATAAGCTTTGCACAAATATCTATTTCTACAAGCAGGCCTTCACGTTTGAGGTGCACTGTCGCTCTCGCGCTCCATCGCTCACCTAAATACCAATCTATGTATTTTATTGCTTTCCTCACTCCTACGAAATCGCTTTCCAAACTGTGCATTTTATTTCCCCATTAATTAGTTCTGTATCAATCTTAATCACGATCACACAATATTTTAATCTGTTATCATTTTCTTTTGGTTTCCATCCAACTATTTTAATAATTTTCCAACCCATAGAAACATTTACTGCGCAACTAAATGTGCCTAATACTGTATACACCAACACTATACGGACTATACCCACCTGAAAGTGGTCTCTATTATTAGCTATTAATAAACACCAGTTAAATTATTTTCTGCTAATCCATAATGGACAACTTTGACTAAGACTCCATTTTTAAATTCTCTGCGATAGCGGCATTAATTATGTCAGCTATTCTAATTTCTGTTCTCTGATCACCGACTTTTACTCAATTAATGGTACATGTAATATTGACCATTTAAACCTAGTTTTAGGGTATTTGTGCTTAATTATTATGTTGTTCATTGTTAAAATTTTTAATGATTTTGATCAAGTCCGACAATTTTTCACTCATAAATTAATTCTGAATTTATTTATGTTATCAGCACGCTACTTTAGGAATTATTATAAAATTTAAATGTTACAGTGTCTTTTATGAGTAACAAAAATGTCACTTGTAAACAAGTTATTGGGTTGAAAAGTCAAGTTAACTTATGCTCATGTATAAATTATTATACAGTAAAACTTATCTACTCCGGATCCACCACTATATTTGTTTTAGGAAAATATTTAGGTATAGACCTAGTTTCTTTTTATAATTTATTTTAGTCTGAAATTTGATGTTTATGTTGGTTAATACTTATGTCAGCAGAGATTAGCCAGGTTTGATTTGATTGTGTTTATTTTTACAGGGTGTTGTTTTGTTTTTTTCAAGTGTACAGTCGTAGGTCTATAGCAGACCATTATGATCAGCTGTTGTTTATTATTTTTGTTCCATAGCTGATATTTTATTTTAATTTTTTTTTAAGAAATGGTCAGAGAGAATGAATTTGGTAAATTTCTCCACACCAAAAACAAAATCTACACAGATTTTAAAGAAATTAAAGAAGAAATAGAAAATGAAACTAACAGACTCAGTGGAACCGACAAGGTAAGATACTTAAACTAATGGTCGACAGTAAGGCAAAGACACAGCGCCAAATTAGTTTATTAGACATAAACAGTCTCTTGTTTATGAACCTTTCTTCAAAACACTATGGTTAACATTTTGTAAGTAATAACTGGTCATGATATATACTGGTTTGGGAATGCCTTCCATTTTTTTAACTTTTCGTTTTGTGTCGATTATAAACTTCCCATGAACATTAAGTGAAGTCAGTGACTCTACAGTGAGTGCTATGTATGGATCCATTCACTTAATCTTTTAGCACTTTTATGTCTGTGATTTGTGTGCTGGGTTTATAGTAGGTTGTGTGTGGTGTTGTTCTCCTGCACTTACTAAAACTTTATGAAGAAATGCCACTGTACTGGCAAAATTCTCTTATCTTTCATTTTGAATAACCATCAAATAGAATGAAAATATAACAATTTAATAAAAATTTTAAGTGATTTCCCATTAAACAAATATAGTTAAGCATATGATAGTGTAATATATGAATCCTGTATTTTCTTTATGCAGGGTATTTGTCCAGATCCAATCAACCTCAAGATATTTTCTGATCGAGTTGTTAATCTCACATTAGTAGATTTACCTGGGATGACAAAACTACCAGTTGGAGATCAACCACCAGATATAGAAATACAGATTCGTGAGCTATGCCTACGCTATATCTCTAATCCTAATTCTATTATCCTTGCCGTTACAGCAGCTAACACAGATTTTGCCACATCTGAAGCTTTAAAACTTGGTCGAGAAGTTGATCCAGAAGGTAAACTATTAATACAAACTCTCACTTGTGAATAAGAATAAGAAAAATTATTTGCAATCGAGTGAATTAAAATGCGAAACTATTATGGGTCATTCTAAAAGTGCATTTTTATTAGTAAATAGTTAAAGTTTAGTTTATAAAACTTCATTAGAACTAGAAACACTGGATCACATTTTGAGAAGAAAAATAGAAATTGAGAGCATCTCCAAAAAAATGTATAGTTTGCCAAGACATTCATTGAAATATGCTTTTTACATCCTGTATTGAGGATATACACTTTTAACTATCAAGTATCAAGGATATACATACACTTTCAACTATCAAATATCAAGGATGTACTACACTTTGAACTATCAAATATCAAGGATATACACTTTTGACATCCTTTTAATTTTGCTTTTCACCAGGAAGAAGAACTCTAGCTATTATTACTAAGTTAGATTTAATGGATGCTGGTACTGATGCCATGGATGTATTATGTGGTAGAGTTATCCCTGTTAAATTAGGCATTATAGGAGTCGTAAATAGAAGTCAAGCTGATATTAAATCTAAGAAGGTAAGTTTTATACATGTACATGTATTTACTGAATTGACATTATAGCTCTTTTAATGGGAAGATGCACATCTATTTAGAGTGCACATGATTCAATTTTGGATCAAATTATGATTTAGTTATTTATTTGAGCAGGAATTAATACTTTAAATGTAAATGATCAACAGTTGAGATTGAATAGATATTTCCGTTCTATCACTTATATATTGAGTACTACTTTTTATTATTAAACACAACATCCATCAAAATAATTAGCAGTAATTATCTAAAAAAAGATTTTATATCTACTGTACAGTATAATTTAGTTATAGCCATTTAAAGTAGTTTACATTGATTTCATACACCCATCTGTGTAGAGACCAATATCAAGCTAATCATTAGTACTTGTTATTATCTAATTCATAACAGCATATGTTTCCCCTTGTCCAGTGTTTAGTCTTTAGGATGGGACGAAAACCAGAGGTCCCGTGTACACATTAGCATGTACGTAAAAGATCCCTTGACAGTTGGAATTCGATATAAGAGTAGACCTTAGCGCAACTGTCCGGACAAAATTTTGTTCATAGCACACTGTATGGCATATGCCTGTTTTCATTAGCCCAATTCGGAGCAGAACAGTAGGACGTTAAACAGCATATGACAACATTACATATTTAGCACGTCTCTATTAACTGGTGCAGAAAAGTAGGCCATTGACCTCATTTTATTTTCATTTTACGTTCTGTTGAGTTTTGTTAACTTTATTATTTAATATTATTTGTATGTTGCATGTATATTTTCAGGAATTAAATGATGCATTAAAAGACGAGGCATCTTTTCTACAGAAGAAATATCCATCAATAGCCAGTAGGAATGGATCTCAGTATCTCGCTAAAACACTTAATAGGGTATGTGTAGTATTTTTAACGTTCTGTAACATTAGCCTTATCCTATTTAAAGTACTGATGTGAAATTACATCCCTAGGTTTGTTGTAAGTTATAAGCAATGTTGAAAACAGCTTTCAAAAAAAAAAAAAGATTTTGACAAAAATTTGTTGTTTAGGTTTATAAGATGGCATTGAGAGAACACTGTTCAAAGTGTTGCCTAAAAAGTTACAGTATTTGTTTTTTCATAAGTTTGTCTTATACTTTAATGCATAATACACTTTAGTATTATTTTTAGTGTCATCATGTGGGCATTATTAGTTACAATACTCTTTTAACATGTGATTAAATGGTCAAAATAGATACTATATTTTAATTAGATTCATCGATTTATAGATTTGATTATATTTATTAGATTGACAGATTTCTTATTGTAAAATGATTTTGTTATATTGTAAAATGATTTTGTTATATTGTAAAATGGTTATTTTAGTTATATGGATAGATTTGTTATTGTAGAATGCTTTTATTATATACTATTCAAAAAAAGTAGGGGATATTTGATTTTTAAATGTTATTAAAGTCACCTAATGAAACTGACGAAGAAACAAATGACAAAATGAAATGAAGTTCACATTCATCGATTTATTCCAAATGATCGTTAGACTAAGTAAGGCACAGACTGACCATTATAAGGGTAAAATGATACCCGGGGTCAAACAGCAAAGTTACCACAGCATCACAACCAAGTCAGTAACGGGTAAATCCTCCTCTGTTTGCCAAACAAGCATTGATCCGACGTGGCATACTACTAATGAGACGTCTAAGGTCATTTTGGTCCAGATTGTCCCATTCCTGTTGCAACGCAGCAGCAAGTTCTTGGACATTGGCAGGACGTTGTTGACGTTGACGTAACCTCTGTCCAAGCATGTCCCAGACATGCTCGATGGGGGAGAGGTCGGGACTCAGTGCTGGCCAAGGTAATGTGGTGATGTTCTGTTGTTGGAGGTAACCTGTAACGATCCTGGCCCTGTCATTCTTGCGTTGTCATCCTGGAAGATGAAACGGCGGCCATGACGTCGTACAAACGGCACAACATGGACTGCCAAGATGTTGTCCCGGTAGTACTGGCCTGTAACACGCCCTGCAACAACATGTAAAGCCGTTCTTCCAGCAACAGTGATGCCTCCCCACACCATAACAGAACCACCCCCAAATCGATCATGTCTGATGACGTTAACGTCTTGGAAGCGCTCGTTTCGACGACGCCACACCCTCCTACGTCTGTCCAAAAAATCAACAGTGAACCTTGACTCATCTGAAAACATCACATTGCTCCAGCGTCGATTATCCCAGTGTTGACGATCCCTACACCAACGACGTCTTGCCTGAATGTGATGATCTCTCAAACAAGGGATCACGCGAGGACGTCGGGCGCGAAGGTGACCCCTATGCAGTCGATTCCGAATCGTCTGGCCATTCACTCTCACACCAGTGTCTGTTTGAAGACGAGCGCTGATCTGATTTGCTGTGATGACACGATTTCTCAAGGCCAAGGTACGGATAAATCGATCCTGGGCTTGAGTTGTCGCCCTTGGTAGACCTGAGCGTGGTCTGTCCTGTACAGATTGTGTATCACGGTATCTGGACCATAGCCTGCTTATGACAGACTGAGAAACATTCATCGTCCGCGCCACAACCACCTGTGTTGTGCCGATCTGTAGCATGCCAAGGGCACGTAACCTTTCATTTTGGGTAAGCCGACGCATATCAAAATTTGTTTTCTGGTCACTAAAACAATTAAACTGATGTTTCCACCCTGGAATTCAATGCCACAATGACTGTAACATTCAAAGTCAGAGTCGTGCAAATCTTGGGTTGGACCCCCATGATGATCCCAAGCATCACCTGCATTCCATGCGGTAGCTATTGGTGCGTTTGGGCGTCACATGTAACTGGAAATGTTTCTTCTGTTAGGTTCTATAGTGACTTTTTTCGTAGTCATTTGCATATTTTAGTATTATGCCCCCAAAATCAAATATCCCCTACTTTTTTTGAATAGTATATTGTAAAATGATTATTTTAATTATATGGATGTATTTGTTATTGTAGAATAATTTGTTATATTGTCGAATGTTTTGTATACTGTAGGTTGATTATTTTTATCTTTTCAGCTTTTAATGCATCATATTCGAGATTGTTTACCGGAGTTAAAAACAAGAGTTAATGTTCTAATTGCCCAGTTTCAATCTTTACTGGCGTCATTTGGTGAACCTATAGACGATAAAGTAAGTACGACAATGATATTTTATTAACATTCTGTATATATTGAAACCTGGAACTATATATTTAAGTGTGTGTGTGTATTTTTGCCGTAGGTTGTCTCCAAACAAAATTGCACCCAATTTTTGGGTTTAAACATTTTAGTGTTTTTTGGGCCATCATGCTAAATGTATGGTGATCAGAAAATGTGTCCTTGCAAATTGTGTTTCTTGCCAGATTGAAAAGGGATCAAGCTGCTGAAGACCATGAACTTCTCTGCATGCATGAGATATTCAATTTGCTTGAACACATTCGCAAACTTACTACAAAAATAAAACATGATTCTATAATTATATTTTAGGCTCAGGTTTTATTACAAGTTATAACTAAGTTTGCTTCAGCTTATTGTAATACTATAGAAGGAACAGCTAAAAACATAGAAACATCAGAATTGTAAGTTACTTTATTTACAGTATTATAACATTACCTTTATGTAACAAGTTGTTTAGGCAGCATGGAATAGTCCGTGTACAGGGCTAGGACTATACATTAAAGCAAACCTAAAACTGGAATAACAAGCAAACACCAAAGGCAGCTGAAGGGTATCAGATTATTTAAAGATCCTGGCATAAACCATCAGTTTCTGATCATAGATTCGATCCCTGCATTGGCCGAGAAAGTTCATCCATATTTCCCGGCATGAATCACCCTTGTCAGTGATGCAGGATGGAGGGCCTGACATTGGACAGCTGTCGAGTCGTTTGGATGGGACGAAAAATCAAGGTCGCGTGTAAACATTGGAGTGCACGTAAAAGATCCCTTGGCAGTTGGACTTCGATATAAGAGTAGGCCGTAGCGCCGCTGCCCGTGCAAAATTTCCCTTATAGCACACTGTATGGCGTATGCCCGCCTTCATTAGCCCAGTTTAGGAGCAGAACAGTAGGACATTAAAATCCATTTCATTTCTTTTCTGATCATAGCACAGACTTATTTTTAGGCATTATTAACAGTATTCCACATATACATTTTTTTTTTCAGATGTGGAGGTGCTAGAATATGTTATATATTTCATGAGACATTTGGTCGAACTTTAGAATCAGTTGATCCACTTGGTGGTTTATCAACGAGAGATGTTCTAACAGCTATACGAAACGCAACAGTAGGTTATTCTTTCTTCATCAACTTGTATTTCATTTTGTACGCGCTACAATTTTAGTTCCAGAAAGATTCGTAATTTTTCAAGTTTTCTTAGATTTTTGCTTAAACACTCTCTTAATTTAAATTTCATTTGAAAACTTATCTGTTTCAATTATGTCATCAGACACTAATAATGTTATATGCATTATAACATCAGACATGAAAAATTAACGTGAAAAAAGATTTTCTAATACAAAATTACAAATATGGTAATTTAAGCATTTGGAACTATGCAAATCAGCATCATATATTTATTGCATTGTAGGGTCCGAGACCAGCTCTATTTGTACCAGAAATATCGTTTGAATTATTAGTAAAACGTCAGATACGCAGATTAGAAGAACCAAGTTTACGTTGTGTTGAGTTAGTTCATGAAGAAATGCAGAGAATGATTCAACATTGTGGTACACAGGTCAGATATTATTTTAACTTTATTACAGTAGATATTTTATTTTAGTTTTCTCTAATACGGTCTTAGGTTTTATACGTTAATTTGCTTTCATACTAAATAAGTCAATCTGATTGACAGCGTTGGTAAGAAAATTGTCTAATAGGTATGTGGTAAAAACTGACACCTTATTGACCAACTCTTTTGCTGGTAAAAGTTAAACAATGTGAATCAACTTTTAAATAATAAAAAACAACTTTTATTTTAAATAGAGGTTAGGTTTCAAAGTTGGACATTTCTAATAAGTTTTTGAATCTCATTAATTATTTTCTATTTTTACAGCAAGAAATGTTACGGTTTCCTAAATTATATGAGAAGATTGTAGATGTAGTAACTAATTTATTAAGAAGACGATTACCTCCAACAAATAGCATGGTGAGAAAATTTAATTTTACAACACGAACATGATTGCAAGAAACAGTAGTATGTTGTTGGTCATTACCTTCAAGTTGTATTTCTAAAGCTGCTCTTCGCCATTTGCATTTTTGACAATATTTGATTTTTTTTCGACTTACTTGCCTATATACTTGGGATTGAAAAGAGGCCTATTATCAGATTTTATGCAACACTTAAAGGTGGCACTGGCTTATTTGTCTGTAGAGGATATCAATTGTTGAAAAATTTCAATTCACCATATCTTTGTAAATGCTAAACAGACTCAAAGCATTTTTGAATGTTTAGTGCTTTTAGAGATAGTGGGGTTGGGTGGCAGAATGGTTAATGCATGTGCGTGTTGGATCAAACGATCTGTGATCAAGTCACGTGGCGCTTGTACGGGACAATGAGTAGGGATGCCTGTCCAACCTCTTGGGTTTTCTCAGGGTCCTCCTGTTTCCTCCCACTGCTAAAGATCCCTATGCACAAGCAAATTATTGAAATAAAATTGAACCATGTGTTAGTCCAAAAATAACTTGGTTTGTGTGTGTGTGTGTCTCTCTCTCTCTCTCTCTCTCTCTCTCTCTCTCTCTCTCTCTCTTATTAGGAAGTCAAATGTCACAATTTTTTTACTCTATAAAAGATTCAAATTCCCTCAAATGACGATGATCGGTTTTCAGAAATGAACGGGGATATCATTCCTGGAAAAAGTTTATTTCAAATTTTTTCTGAGAGACACAGATGAAAATTGACTGTTTGAGGGATATATTTCAGACATTTTATTTAAACTGTTTTTATTTTTGTATTATTAGGTAGAGAATTTAGTATGTATAGAATTAGCATATATCAACACAAAACATCCTGATTTCTCCGAGGCTCAGTCAGTACATAAGATGATGACAGAAATGACAGTTACAGAACTCACTCAGTCACATAAACTGGGTCGTGGAGATGTTTTACATAAACAGCATAATGAAGAAAAGGTTTGTATAATAAGTTTGCTTGTATCAGTATGTTACATAACTTAAAACTAAGGGAGAAAGATGCCTTCCCACCCACAAACTGTGTGATTTGATGATATATTTGGACTAAAAACATATTCAAACTAATTTATGTATCAGAAGTTTGTTTCACATTCCTCTGAAAACATTTTAATCCCCAGAAAATTATCCCATTCAGCAAGAATCTATTTTAAGTAGCCTTGTATGTCACGTGATTGAGGTTTAGATTGTATTTGTTGTTAGTCTCTATCTATTTACGATAAATATCTAAACCTAAGTACATTCTTGGATTATCCTCTGCCAACTCTTTCTGACATTTAAATGCAGAGTCTACTGGATGTTCTCAGTGTGCTCACAACCGTTTGTCAATAGATCAACACTCAAGGAGACGTGCTGACAGTTAAGGAAACCCTAACATGTTTGTCCTGTGGGCACCCCATGGATGTTTTGAGGGAATTCAGTATTTTTCTTCTAGTAAGAGTGAATGTCTTTACTTTCCATATATATATACATGTACCAATATACCATACTTTTATTGGAAATAACGCTGTAACCCGGGTATCATTTAATCTTGTGTATTTAGCACTAATTTCTTTCACATATGTTTAATATCAAATTTTTGTTCAAACAATTGTTTAAAATCACCAAAAATCATCTAATTTGTACTTGTGTTCGGTTTAAAGCTGACCATTTAATTTTCACGATTGTGAAAGAAATTAGTGCTAGATACACAAGATTAAATGACACCCAGATTAGAGTGTAACTACGACATAAATACTTTCATGGGAATGTATATTTTAAGTTTGATTCAGTTGCAATCATTAGCACAGGCACTTGTGAACTGGAAAGTCTCTTTCATTATAACAGTATACCTAAATATTATGGATGTGATGTTATTCAATACAATAGGCAATAATCTAACCCAATCAATGGAGCAAGTCTGAGACAGAAAAAAGACTTGTCTGTACCAGACAGAATGACAGACACACCAGACAGAGGGAGAGGAGAGAGAGATGTCCACTAACACAAACTAGGTCATTTTGGGACTAACGCATGGTTAAATTTTATTTCAATAATTTGCTTGTGCCTAGGGGTCTTTAGCAGTGGGAGGAATCCGGAGGACCCAAAAAAAACCCACAAGGTTGGACATGCGATCCTACTCCTTGTCATTTACAACCAGGGAATTGAAACCAATCTAGTTGACAAACCTTATGATACAATGCACATGCGCTAGCCATTCAGCCATCCAGCCTCCCTGACCATGTTTTTGAGACTGGGGCCTTATTTCCAGACTTGTAAATGCAGGGGCAAATAACTCTTCTGACACTAGCTTTGATGAAGGCAAGAAAAAAACTGTTCTTTACCATACTTGTTTTATATCATGCCTGTTAGTGAAGGCTAGAAAAAAAACTGTTCTATACCATACCTGTTTAATATCATGCCTGTTATAACACAACCTTTACTAACCTTGTAATGTTATGTTACTAGTTGTTACCCTTATTTTAGAACTAACATATTTACTTGGGTCCTAGCTCCATGTTTTCTGCTTTTCTATTTAATTAGGGTGCTCTGTCTAACGCTGCTTTACAAGAAAATTTAAATGGTGGAACATGGAAGATATCCAACTTAATTCGTAGTTCAAAACTTGACATCTCAGCCGATCGGTCTTCAGAGTCTGGTTCACAACCAAACAGTGCTCCATCTAGTGCTGCCCAATCTCCCGCCAGACAACTCAATCCAACCAATCGTCGTAGTGGTATTAATTTACTGCCTGAAGTGGTACGAATTTTATTCTCCATGTTTCTACTTTTATTTTTTTTTATGTAGTTTACTTTTTAACCCTTAACCAGTGATATGTTGACTTTTGGATCTTAAGTCTTTTTTGTTTTTTGGGTTTTTTTTATAAACAATATTTTAATATAGGATGTCTGAATGGGATTGGGGAACAGGCTTAGCCTATGTAAAAGCCCTTTCCAAAAATTTGGATTTTAATTGGGGTAACCCTATGGGTTAATAATGTTTTTTCATGGAAATGCATTATAATAACCCTTATTTTGACAGTGAACATGCAAAGTTTGTGTGATAGCCCCCAGCTTTGTCTTGGTGTGGATTTTATTTTATTTTTGTGTTGATTTGTAAAACGATTAACTTCATGAAATAAATGTTTTATACCATGACTTAAGAGTCTGTGAACATACTAAGCTTTGCAAATTGTCATGGCATGACTTTTTATTTGAAATTTTTGATCATTTGGTGTTTATTTTTTTATTTTTGCAAGTTTATCTCATGTTTTGTACAGATTTTGTGGATATTTATAATAAAGATATAACTTGTTTTATTTTTAGCCAGAACAAGCTCCAGTAATGAAATTATCAACAAGAGAACAAAGGGACTGTGATTGTATAGGTAACAATATTACAGTTTAATATACTGAACACTAGTGTTTCGCCATACTGTGAGACCATCAGATCTTCAAACATAACATAAGCACTTTAGATCATAAGGTCTATTATTGAGTCATTCGATTCCAAACTTGTACGTGACAAGGTGCACGGTTCTCCCACCTCCAACGACCCTTACATTATTTCATATTATTAAAATAAGATTGTACATTTTGGGTTTGCTATAGAGTACCTACTATAAATGAAGTTACTATTAAATACTCCTGTTCACGTAAAATTTACTGATGTCATTCATCACGTTCAGGACTGTACCTTCTGTTTATTCCTACCATGGCAGGTGATATTCAACTGTTTGCTTATTGTCACTTTTGTTTCCAAGTCTTTCTACATAGTTTTAATTAACTAGTATTATAAAAGTAGCAACAACTGACTATGTACACTCAACGATACGATAGTATTTTCAATTCTTGTCAAGTCGGTGACAAAAGTCGTTGGAAGCGGTGCATAGCAGTCACCCTTTATATCTTAAGGATATAACATTTGAACAGTGTAGCCCTATGGGTAGTTAGCGAATTCGATGCGAGACACTGAGTTAGTTGGCAATGTAAATATTTGGGATAAAATCATATTTTGAATAATTTTATTCTTTGTTTCAGAACGATTGATAAGGTCATATTTTTTAATAGTAAGAAAGAATATTCAGGACACTATACCTAAAGCTATCATGCACTTTCTAGTGAACTATGTTAAAGATACATTACAGAGTGAACTAGTTAGTCAACTTTATAAAAAGGAAGAAATAAACATATTATTAGAAGAATCAGAACATATAGCTACACGTAGGAAGGAAGCACATGATATGTTACAGGTATATTCATTTTAAATTATGTTCAGTTCACTTTCATCCTGGGATTATAATTCCAGATTAATTCGAATTTTAGTCGTTCAGGAACAATCTGGTTAAAACACAGATCCTATTTCGTTTCGTTTTTTATAGTTCAAATTTCATTCAACTTGTCTTTATTGCACTAGCATCTGGAAGAATTGTTATATTACCGGCGTTTTGGTTGAAGTGAGGGATAAGCCAATAAAACGGTCTGTTATGACAACTTCTTGGCATGTCATGCATGGAACTGTGGATAAACCACTAGAAACGTCAAAACTGATTGATTAATCAATGTCTGATGACATAGGGGCAAAAGTCCCTCGTATGACCCCTGACGCGACCCTTGAGTACAACTTGTCAGGACTTCATATAGTGTAGGCCTTTGAAAGAATTAAAAAACGAAACGAAATATAAATCTGTATTTTAATCAAATTGATTCAGGAACATTTATTAAAACTTTGTTTCCTTTTTACACTCTCAGATGGAAATGTGGTCGTATATTGCCGTCGCCACCGGTGGTCTCTGAATTCTCTGTTTAAAATAATGCTGCCATTGAATATGCGACAACCCTTGTAAAGTGCTCCCATGATTTAGCTGCTGTGGGCATATGTTTCGTTGCCTGGCAACCTATCTTTTTTGGTCAATAAAAAAATGTTTTGAAATCATCTTGATACATATATTCTCTTTATACTGTGATTTATTATTTCAGGCTTTACAGAAAGCAAGTCATATTATTGGTGAAATACGAGAGACTCATCTGTGGTGATAAAAGTAGACAATATTAGACATTAACTAGGTGTTTAATTTAAACAGACAATCTTATTAACCATTAGATATTGTTCATATTGTGACATAATGTCTATGAATAGTTCAAAAAGAACCATGTGCTTCTCAGATGAAATAAAATATTTGATGATTTTTAATGCAGTTTTTCTCTTACAACTGTTTAAATGTGGCATGATATTCATTTTGCTGTAATTTGTGACTCCATGCCAGTTGATTTAGTATTATTTATATTTCTAACAATTGGTGAAAATTTATTGAAACTTACATTATTTATATAAAGGATGCATGAAATTTTACCTCCAAAAATTTAGAAAGTAAAATAGCCCAGAGAGCTTGCCAAGATCAAGTCATAACTTCCAGAATGATTTAGGCTATTCATTGACTATAAGATATTGCAATAAGAAATAGAGTAAAATGGATATATTTCTGTAATTGTTACTGACTGTGATACTACTACTTCATAAACTATAAATAGAAAATCTCATAGAAATCTTTTTATAATATCAAATATATACACAACCCAATAATGGTAAAATATAAGAGAATCTATCAATATGTTTATTTTTACCCAGTATCATTTCTGAAGCTACAAAAAAATACTGAGAAAATACAAATTTGAGTTATTTTAGAAATAAGCCAAAGTAGCATATGATACAATTTTGGTCTTATTTGGAATATTGAAATTAACCATTAAATTGGGTTGAAGCTATTTGATTTGCTCAAAATTTTAAAAATAAGTCTTGGTCTCATTTGGAATATTGAATTTAACCATTAAATTGGGTTGAAGCTATTTGATTTGCTCAAAATTTTAAAAATAAGTCTTGGTCTCATTTGGAATATTGAATTTAACCATTAAATTGGGTTGAAACTATTTGATTTTATGAATTTTTTTTTTAAAAAGTTCAAATTTCTATCAGTCAGGTAGATATACTAGTATAGTTTTAACCAGATGCCTCAAACTGCTAAAGAAGTTAAAATTTGGTTAATTTAATGTTCGATTGGTGAACTACTCTTGATTGATGAGGCTTTCTGTAAGACCAGAATCACAACAAATGTCAAAGCAATAGACAGTGTTCGTACCAAACGGGCAAAATAACCATACACTGATTATTGTGGTTGGAGTTGGGAAGTAGTGAAAATAATACCTTGACAGTTACACTGATAAACCTCGGTGATTGGCAAACAATTTAAAAAAAAAATGTATGTTGCACAGTATCCATTGGAGGATGGAATATGTAAATAGCAGATTTCAACAAACCTTATATTACAGTCGTGGCCAAAAGAATAGGACCACGCTTGAAAATGGTTGGATTTCTTACATGTAAATTCATTTGATCATATATCTGCCACCTGAAGACCAATTTTCACAAATGAGGTATCAATGGATAGGTTATGTGAAGTATGTTCATTACGCATGCACATGCATGTTTGAATGGTGATGTCATCACGGCTATGACGTCATCAACGGATAGGAGCACGCTTGAAAATGATTGGATTTCTTACATGTAAATTCATTTGATCATTCGATTAAGAACCATTTATTTCATTTGTAAATGATAAGCTAACATGCAAACTAACATCAGTAACGATCAGTAGTCAATACTTTGTGTGTCCTCCGGTGTTGGCGATGACTGCTGCCATGCGTTTCAGCATGCTCTCTATCAGCTCATTGCAGTAGTCTCTCGATATGATAATCCACACCTATTTGATGGCATCTTACAGGCTCTTTGCACTAGATGTATGGAGGTCTGCTACTTTGTCCTTAAGTACTGTCCATAAGTTTTTAATTGGGTTGAGGTCCTTGACTGAATTAAATCTGTTTGATAATAATTTTCTACCACCATTCCGATGTTGCTAGCTGCTAAATCTTTGGTACAATGTGACGATGTCATAGCCATGATGACGTCATCATTCAATGATGCATGTGCATGCGTAATGAATATATTAAGCATAACCTATCCATTGATACCTCATTTGTAAAAATCAGCCTTCAGGTGTCAGATATATGATCAATTTATGAATTTATATGTAAGAAATCCAACCATTTTCAAACGTGGTCCTATTCGTTGATGACATCATAGCCGTGATGACATCATCATTCAAACATGCATGTGCATGCGTAATGAACATACTTCACATAACCTATCCATTGATACCTCATTTGTGAAAATCAGTCTTCAGGTGGCAGATATATGATCAAATGAATTTACATGTAAGAAATCCAACCATTTTCAAGCATAGTCCTATTCTTTTGGCCACGACTGTAACACCAGTTGATTTCAGTAGGTTGAAATTTTAAACACTGTATTGAAGAACAGTAACAGAATAAGAATAGGTAAACATATTAAAACAAAAGTAGATTTAATTCAAAAAATGTGATGAAATTAAAGCTTATCTAATAGTGCTATTATCAGTGGCTCAGTGCAATGATGAAGACTGTCTTGAGTTTATATAAAGCTTCTCACATCAGAAATGTGCTTATTGGTTAAATTAACATTTAATCATTTGATACAAATTTGAGAAAAGTTACATTGATTTATCAATAATTTATGATAAGATAATAAAACTTACTGTATACAAATCTGAAAGTGAAAGTGTGATCTAAATGACATTATATACTATGTTTAATGGTGTTAACTTATAAGAGGGATTAAAACCAAAATTCTTCTCTTATCTGGAAGCTGTGTCACTCACCATTTTTTATTAACAGAAGTTAATTTCAATCATTGTACTATCTTTTACTCATGATAGTCAGGAACTTGCATTTGGTGACTTGGTGATTTCATGACTAGGAGCCACTATGACTCAGGAAGTAAGATGTTGGTGTGCTAACCTGGAGATTCCATGTTCGATCCCTGTGTTGTCAAGAAAGTTTATCAGGATATTCCTGTATGGTTTCCCCTTTGTCAGTGGTGGAGGATGGAGGGTGACGGAAAAACAAGGTCTTGTGTACACATTCTGTGCTTGTAAAAGATCCCTTCATGGTTAGAATTTGATGTAAGAGTAGGCCGTAACGCCGCTGTCTAGGCAAAATTTTACCTCATAGCACACTGTATGGCTTATGCCCGTTTTCATTAGACTCGTTGGATCAGAACAGTAGGACATTCCATTTCATTTTTCGATAGCATAACTTTAAGGAAATGAAATGAAATGGTGTTTAACGTCCTACTGTTCTGCTCCGAACTGAATGAAGACGGGCATACGCCATACAATAACTTTAAGGCAAATCATGTTGAAAAACAAATGGCGGGTAACATACCATCTAGATATCATAGTATAATAGTAATATTTTATGGTTTTAATCCCTTAAAAGTGTATGTGTGTAACTTTGGGTAAAATTATAGAAAATCGTTTAGATGTATGTACTACATAAAGCTATGTGTTCACTGGTCATTTTATTTGAGCAGTTTTGTGTAAAAACTAAAAGCTTTCAACTAAGTTTATTGGATAGATATATCTCCCAAAATATGCTATATTTAGTTAGAGTATTGTAACATTTTGTCATGTTTAAGATACCATACAAGTAAATCTAAGGCAATTTGATATTTCATAAAAATGACTTAAATCACTCTGTTCATTTAAAAATCATCCTTTGAAAAGTATTACACAATAGGAAAATTCTGTTAGTTTTAATAACTCAAGTTATTGATTTCTCCACCTTTAAAATGTCTCCACTTCAACTACAACAAATATTTGTCTTCACAAAATAGTATCATTGACTCTGGCCCTCCAGATATACAGTTTAGGCTGTATAGTTGTAGTAGAGCACATGTGTACTCCGAGGATCCAGACTGGTTCTAAACATGATTTTGTTTGTGTTTAGACTAAATAGAAAATAGAAAAAAAAAACAATACTAAGCAAGGTATTGTTTAAGCCAGTAGACTGCAGACATACTAAATCAACACAAAAAAATATGTCTTGCTACAGTATTGTATAACTGTATATTGATCAAACAAAACATAAGTATTCAGTTTTATTAGAAGTTCGTTAAGGAAAAAAAAATCACTTCTTATTCTTCCTAGTCAGGTTTTCTATTGTATTCTCCAGTTCTATTCTAATGAATTTTATTTAAATATCTTGATGAATGGACTTTTAGGATAGAATTCCACTATGGCCAGTTTGATTGCATTGATATTTATCAAAACAAATTGACCAAAAATATATTTTCTGATTAGACAGGAATGATTTAATTTCTTTTTACCAATTGTCTTTTATCCTTTACAGAGTATACTTATTATACCATAGCATATGTATTATACCATAGCATACTTATTATACCATAGTGTGACACTGTCTTGTATGTATTTTGACAAAGATTTACATGTATATTATATAAACTCAAATAGGTATATGGCCATCATCTTTTTAAATATACTTAAAGTATGGCATCTCTTTTACTTTAAGTTAAAAGGAAGTGTCAATTTCTTTATATATGTGTGTAAGACATCTTGGCAGTAATTGAATTGCAATCTACATTTAACATTGATTTGAATCTAGGGATTAAAAAATTTAAAAAGACCAGACTGTCTATAAATAAAAGCTGGCCTTTGCTAAAATGAGAAAATTTTAGGGAGATAAACCTCAGTCTACATATAATCAGAGAGACATTTTTAATTTTTCTGCAAAGCAAAGAACTGTTCTTTTATTAAGTTTTCCTTTTTTTCGTACTTGTACAATTGCAGACATTACCCAATAGTATTGTTTTTGTTTATAATCAAACTATAGCAAGACCCCTGGTGATAAATATGAATAAATTGTCTGTATTTGTATATTAACTTTGTACATAATAATATTGTGTAGATATTAGTTTTCTTTATAGACCAATACAATCTTCTTCTACTCCAGGTTTTGTCACTGGATAATCTGTAAATTTATAGTGTAGACTTGTGTTATATTATATCCAGACACTTGTATTTTTGTTATTAAAAAAAATGGTTACATGAACTTTAAAAGTGAGATAAGTAATTGAAAAAGTTGCCTTTCTCTTCATATGAATTATTGAAACAGTCGGACGAAAATCAAAACTTGACCTGACCGCTAAATGAAAGGTTAAAGATTCGTATAAAACAGGTACACTTCGGGTTGGCTGAGCTTTGAATCATCCAACAGTTTCGTCTTCAATAAATATTAGATTTTCTTAAACAGGTGAACTTAAAGCAACGGGGGTGGGCCTGGGTGTTGTCTGGACCTGTGAACTCTGCTTACCTCTCGACCCAATTGTAAGTTTTCGAGACCTCTTTACATTGGGTTAATTCTTTTCTGGTATTATGTAAATCTGTGTATCATAATATGTTGTTAAATATTTGTAAAAAGTTTAGATATTTTATAGCATTCCTTATACAGACTAGTAGCATTAGTGTAGAATTGCTAGTTTATATTTCAGTATAGTCATTAATTAATTGATGTGTCTGTGATTGAACAATACTTTAAAACATAAATACAATATTGTTTTCTTATTTATATCAAAGGATTCCCCTTTTGTAACCTGGAAAGATTGTCTACGATCGATCGTTGTGTGTGAAATAATTCTATTTAACTCTATGCAGATTGATTTTTTTAACTTTCGTTAATAAGGAAACAAAATTAAAATACCAACGCTAGATGATTGGATTTTAAATAGACCCAGGGGTTTGGATGGCCGAATGGTTAGCGCGTACGCGTAAGTTATGTCATTGAGTCAACTGGCGTGATTTTGATTCCACGGTTGTACGTGACAAGGGGCGTCTGTCCAACCTCGTGGGTTTTCTCCGGGTCCTCTGGTTTCCTCCCACTGTTCAAGACCCCTACAGGCACGCGAACCGTTGAAATAGAATTGAACTAAATGTTAGTCCCGAAATGACCCAGTTTGTGTCGAGGGGACGTTAAGCCATATTTCCACAGAGTATTTTTACTCTGTGATATTTCTCTCTCCCTTAGATGACTGGCCTTTATAAGTTCAAGTAGGCCTTTTACAGGTGACTTCAAATCGAGGGGCGTCAATCATTGACTCTATGGCGCGTGCATTGTTTACATAAGACGTTGTTGCGTTAACTGGTCCGGGCAGAATGGTGCCTTTTACTCATTTTTATACCTATTTACACCAAACAGGAAAGATTTTTTTTATCTTGATATACTTCAAATACCTTTATTTATTTTTCTAATACTTCAAATAAATGATTTAGAATTTAATTTGCAGATGGAAAAAAGTTAATATCGCGAGCTCATTAAGCCGCACCGATGTCATCCCTCTCAGTGACTGTAGTGAATATTCACTGCTTATCAGTGTGCACAATTAAGTGACTAAAGCCCCGTTCGTGTGGGGGGGGGGGGGCTTTTGTGTTCCAATTTGATGCAGGTGTCAGAAATGCGATTCCACACATGCACGTGACAAGGAGTGTCGTCTATATTATTTAAATAGATAAACAAACCTTACTCCCAAAATGACCTAATTTGTGTTCATTGGATGTTCAACAATCCTTCCTTAACTGGATATTCGGAATCCCCACTGTGGCTAAAGATTTTTTTATCAAAAAATGTGAAAACCGACAATGTCTTTTTTATGAGAATAATTTATCTATATTGTATATACATATCATAGTTTATATCATTTTCTCTTTAAATATAACTTATATGTACAATTTACTTTAAACAGATTATTACATACTCTTTACATTTATCCATAAAATATGTCAGTTTAATTCACACTAATAAGGGTCGTGTTATATTTAGACTGTATACAGTCCTAACATATTTTTTCGTACATATTTCGTTTCATTTTATTTTCATTTCCTTTCAAGCTCTCGGATAAATATAAACCTTGCCGTGCTATAACAGAAATACTAAAACCGGTCATGAAAGACAACATCCGTTCAACTAATATCAATAGTCTCGAGGCTTTAACAAATTCGCCGCACATTTTGTTTATCTACATGCACAAACGGGTGCACGGCCAGCAGTAGTCCACTGCATTGTTCTTTCTTATTTTATGAAAAATAATCTCTTTCATACATGAACATAGATCAATATAACAGCAATTTTCAAAACAATACAAATATATACATTGAGCAATAAATTCATAACTATATACAATTTATCTACATATTTATCTTGCCTCTATTTAAGCAAAATGACCACATACGTTACCGACCACATATAATTGGATACCATCGACATACAATATCGACAATACCCAAGCTGATGACGACTTTAGAAATAAAGCTGTAAGCAAGCCCTGGCATAACCACTAAATTGGGAAATATACACACCATATAGCAATGACCAATATCATGGGGAAATTAAACCTATCACGTAGATCACAATGTAGAACTCTGATTACACGAACCTATTTGTAATTTTCAGAAACAATAACACTATGGCTGATTCGTTCAGATATCGGACGCAGATATTTTATGGTAACTACCTTCTTAGCTGAATATAGTTCACGATGTCAGTTCAATATTTTATCACGGCAAAACAAATTTATCCATCACATAATCGTCAAATTTACGTTTGTCTAATGTGTCGTATTTCGTCTATTATAGTTTCACTTGATATTCTATATCACCCTTATAATTAACTATATACAAGTTTTATGTACATAGTATATTTACACGCGTACATCTGCACGACCTTCCTTTACACATCATACACCGTGTTTACTGAAAGAAACAAATTGTGTTACAATATAGGCTAAAGCAAAGCGTTAAATCCGTCGTATTAGTACGGATACGAATGGGGTTTAACGTCATACTTTTCTGCGCAAACAGAATTAAAGATACATTGTTCCGAAAGTATTTATCGGGTGCTTAAAACACTGGGCAAAATTGTCAGGGTACCACTAACTGGAAACCCGACTATTTGCCAGCTTATTGTGTTCTAGCTTGACTGAGGGAGCGGTTGTTATTTCTTGATCAAATGGTTAGGCGGCTTTGGGAACATTGAGGGGTGTCAACGTACAAATGACTGCAATTGAACTGCGGAAAAAGTAGTTGACAGAGAATTTTACATCTCAGCGAGCTTGACGAAAATTGAGCTGGCCTTAACAAATAGAGTTAACCAATGTCCCAAGCAGAGTTGTCTGCCCTTGCTGGAGAGCGAGACATGTATGGCGAATGGCGCCAGCCAGGCCTCCGTTCTGAGGGAATCCCACTGATCTATATATATATCCACGCAACCAGTACCATATCCGTGGATGGGTATTTTGGAAAATAAATTGTTACAGGAATCTTCCAATGCCGGTTTGTATGCTCGTTCAAAGTCTATTAAATACGAGCATTAATACATACACAGGGTCGTATTTCGTGGGGGTGCAGGGGGTACATTGCACCCCCAGAAAAATAAGGCGCCCCAAGAAATTGAGCCCCCACCCCATCCAAAAAAAAAAAAAAATTATTTGACATTCTTTCAATTATAAAATAATATACTTGATTATGATCACACAGTGATACTCTTAAGGCACTGATCAGTCGATCGGTTTTAAGGTCGCCGACACGCCAATGGGTTCGTTTGCCCTGATCGAAACTTTCTTATATCACATACGTGGAGGCTATGGCGCCCCATCACTATGCTGCATCCCAAATTTTAAAATCCTACATACGGCCCTGTACATACAGTTAGTTGTAGATTACCACAATAATGTAGGATTTAATCCATGTAGCCTACATATCTGATCATGATTTCTTTTATGAGTTAACAATATTTGCTTTAATGAAAGTTTGCTGAAATAACATCAACGTACCGATATATCTTTACGTCTTTCATCTGAATCATCTTCACTAGAATTATTAGATGTAAGTAATTCTAAATTTACAAAACTTGATTCTGGTGCCATCACGTAATCACTTCCTATAGTCTGAAAATTTACACAATATAAATTCATGAAATAAAATGAGTTTTAACGTCCTACTGTCCTTCACCAATCGAGCTCATGTTTGCTTAGAGGTGAATATTGTCTGGACAGCGCCACTACAATCTACTATTTTTTCAGATTCCAACACCCAGGGATTCTTTTACGTACCCACCAACGTGTATATGGGACCTCTGTGTTTGGTCCCATCCGAACGACTAGACATTTTCCCTTGTCAGGCCCTCCGTCCTGCACATCTTGAGGTTCAGGTACCTGTTCGGTGGACACAGGGAACGTGCTTGAGCCTTCGGTTAGTAAACCAGCGACTAACTCACTGAGCCACCGTGATTCCCTTCACACGATACTATCATATTTAATGGGGTACAGAGGTGGAACGAAATTATGATGTTCCTTCTCTCTTTAATAATATAAATATGAAATGACTTGTTTTGGAAGGCACAGCAGAATCTTATTTATTATTAGGTTCCCCCACCCCCTCAACCATCACAACAAAATTATAGAAACTTTAGTTATAGGATTGAATGATTTCAATAATTTCTAGGCCAAAATGTTTTTTTAAGAAAGAGAACCTTTGAATGTGTATGGTCTCAAACTCTATATCTAACCCTTATTCTGATAGTTAAATGTGTTAGACATATATAGCCTGTACAGACTGGGGACGTTTCAATTGTCGTATATGTAAATATCTGATATTTCACTGAACTTACATCCATAGAGGCAGCTTTTTGTCTAAGTGTATGGAACTCTTGATCTGGCGTTAGGACGTGAGATCGTTGAGCTATTCTAACAGCATGATGTATTGTAGCACAAACTTGTCGTCTAGGTACATGTTTATAAAATCCAGATTTATCCAACATTCCTCGTACTGCCGCTAAAAAACAAAACAACAAAAACTTAGTGAATAAAGATTGTTATAAATAAAGTCTATTGTAAATATATCGAATTTTCAGAAGATGCCAAACTGCGTCAACAGGTTTCATGAAATGAAAAGATTTGTGAATCTGTACCTTCAAACTAACAGTTGCTAATGCAGATCAGATAGTCTGACACAGAGCTTCCACGTCCACCACTGAATAAATATAAATCCATGAAGCAACGTCACCGTCAATAACAGCCATATACTCTTGCCTCTAATATCAGATTAATTATAACAAACGATGGATTTCACGAAGCGATATTGAAGTAGCATATAGCACGTACCTTTACATTCTCCTAGAAATACTTCAACATCAACAGCCGCAAATTCCTGTACAATCTGAAATTTAATAAAGGCATTCAAAGATATGCAATATTAACGAGGGTAAGTTATTGGCTGGAGCTATTTGCCACATGTGGTAAGACAATTCGGAGACTATTTGCCACATCTGGCAAGTCTCCGTACCGCAATTATGAACCGATTTCAATGAAACTTACAGATCACGATAACATTAATAATATCTTAGAGTAGCCAAAATTTCGACCATTTCCGGTCAACAGTTTCAAAGACATCGAATTGCCACAAATTTCATGTGGCACGACTGCAGGCCGCAATTACCAACCGATTTCGATGACACTTGCAGATTATAATAACATTAATATTATCTCAGAGTCGGCAAACTTTCGGTCACTTCCGCATAGCCGTTTCCGAGATATCAGGTTACCACACATTTCATGTGTCACGACTACAGACCGCAATTATCAACCGATATCTATGAAACTTACAGAATATGATAACATTAATAATATCTCAGAGTAGCAAAACTTTCGACCACTTCCGATTATTAATGTAATTATAATCTGCAAGTTTCATTGAAATCGATTGGTAATTGCGGTCTGTAGCCGTGCCACATGAAATGTGTGGTAACCTGATATCCTGGAAACCGCTAACTGGAAGTGGCCGAAACTTTGGCTACTTTGAGATATTATTAATGTTATCATGAACTGTGGGTTTCATTTAAATTAGTTGATTATTGCGGACTGTAGCCGTGCCACATGAAATGTGTGGTAACCCCCATATCTCGGAAATCGTGAACCAGAAGTGGCTGAAAGTTTGGCTACTCAGAGATATTATCAATGTTATCATAATCTGCAAGTTTCATTAAAATCGGGTAACAATTGCGGTCTGTAGTCGTAAGGCTATTTTGAAATTCTTGCTTACCACATGTGGCAAATAGCCACTGCCTAAGTTATTCCGACAGAATTTAAAACAGGCCTACATAATATATAGTCCCTTAATCTCTTCTCTCGGAAACTCATTTTAATCAATTCTACAGGCACTACAGCGAAACCTCACTACACAGACCACCTGTTTCAACAGGTCCTATTATATGAATACAGAGTAACAAATGAATTTTAATCGCTGGTCACTGTGCATTAGAACTACCAGTTTCGATATAATACTAAATAATATACCGGCACTTTAAATCTGACGCTAGTAGATATTAGGACGTTCTATTATTAGTTTACAGTACAATTGCTATAGGGGACTATTAGGCCACAGGGGCATCACTGTTGGGGTCTGAGAAATTGAGGGAAAAGATCTAATCATATAATTCATTCCTTACTTCTTTGAGAACTCTAACGGTAACCGAATCTATATACTGTATGGTGGAACCGTCTAGAATAATGGCGTATGGATCAACCTCACGCTCATCCTCTGTATCTGGTTGGTGATCTGTATCACTATGGTTACATGGTTCATCATTCCACGCTGTTTTAGTCGCCATACAAATCTAAAATCGACAAATTCAAGAATAAAATATTATTAGTGTCCCTGTAGGATTTCAAATTAAATGCAAGGTAACGTTTCTCCTTCATGTTAATATTCATCATTTTCTGGAGCGCCGTATCAATCTTGTTTTCAAAAACAATAGTTACGTAGCGGAAATATGTCTACACTGGCACGCCATATTACTCATGGACGGTGAGATGAATCTTATTAGATCCGAATTTGATACCTTGCGAACTTGAAGCGATAGATAATCTCACGGCTAGACTAATACTATCAAAAGATAATATATTCTCTACCCATTAATTCATTTTACTCAACTTGGGATGTCCAAGATAAAATTGGCTCATAACTCAAATGACATTAATTATGTTGTGTTTGTGTTCATGCTAGTATACGTGGTAAATGGTAGCTTTAGATGCTCAAATCCAAGAAAAATCTAATATTTGGATCATATAAGACTTACAAAAGTATGACCCAAACAATAAAACCCCCAAATGTTCGTGAATTCATTTCCATGGAAATAACCAACCTGATTTACGATGAACATACTTTATTCAAACAACATACAACTGTGGGGTTTTCAAATAAATGACAAGAGGTACAAGGTGTTCCAGAGTTAACAATTTATTATCCTACCTCTTTGTGTTGTTTCGCCATATCAGCTTCGGCCTTAGCTTGTTTTAATTGCTTTAAAGCTTTAGGATCCAAGCCCGTATCTTTGATTAATCGTTTACGGAAATGTTGGATATTTCCATAATATAGTGCGGATTCAAATCGGAATATTTTAATACCAGGAATCTCTTTGGCCTAAAAATAAAATCATAAACCAATTATTCTATTTGGTTAATTTTTGTAAACTGCATACATTTACAGAGCTGACTACAACGAAAGCATCTCGAGCCTTGCGCCTCACTGAAAACCCTTTTACCGAAATTAAATATGATTGACCCTGATATTATGTCGTTTGGTGAACACTGTCATAACAGTTGATGACTTATTAGTTTTGTACTATCTGGTAATCAAAAATCGAAAACATGTCAATAACCACTTACCTGTTTATGTAAACTGATATCAGCATAAACATCCGTACCTTCAACATTACCCAGTAAACTAGTGTACGGCCTGTAAGATACCATTTAAAAAAACATATGAGGTTGAAACTACATTCCAAAAGAAGAAGATAAGAGACAGGAGTTCAACTGGGTAACGCCATAAGCAAGCCTACCCAAGTCGAACAAAAATGTATGTTGTATTTACATAATCCAGTGGTGCACATTTGGGTTTATTTTTAATTGATTGTGAACTAAAATGTGATTTAACGTCCTAATTTTTATGCCCCGAGCGGGATAATGAAGACACGGACATCGGCGCTACAGCCTACTTTTATTTAGATTTCTAAATGGCAAAGGTTCTTTTTTAAGTGCACGCCAATGTGTTCACGGAACCTCGGTTTTACTTCCCTTCCGGACGATTAGACCTTGTTTCTTGCCAGGCACCCCGTCCTTCATCACTGACAAGGAGTAACAACGCCGGAACGTTGTTGGCCATCACCGGGAGCAAACCCAAGACTTTTTGTTTAGCAAGTCAGTTCCTTACAGACCGAGATGGCTTCCAGTTGATAAAATAAAATATGTTAACAAAGATTTAACCAACGTTGTTTTATAGACAATTCGAACAGGCCATTTAATATAGGTTTTAATTTAACTAAAAACCGTGGACAAAATTGAAAATCGATAATTGTATACTTACGTTTGTGTCCGTAATAAAACTGGTATTAGGTTAAATATTAGTCCAACTAATAAACCTAAATCAACATCCAATAAAACAGTACTTAAAAATACAACGATCCATACACACTGAAATACCAAATAAAATAGATTTAAAGATACTTTTTCCAGAAAAGTATTTATCGGGTGGTTATTTCCAATAAAAGTATGGTAATTTTGGTATATCTGGAAAGTAGAAACATCCAATCTTAGTACAAAAATACTGGATTCTCTGAAAAACACACATAGGGCGCATATAAGACAAAAATGTATGGGTTACCCTAACCGGGAAAACGACGATAAGGGATGTCTGCTCGCGTGACGTCAAAGGTTGCACGCAAAGAAAACATTGTCTTGCATATATGCAATGAATTCTCCTCGGGCTTCGCACCCATTGTTAGGTAGCGCGTCGGCCAAGTCATGTGACACAAACATGAGTTCTTTTAATAGATTTTTTTTTATAGCAGCTGTATTCCTTCGCAAAACCAATGTTTTGAGAAGGATTTGAAACAAAATTTTGATAGATTAATTAGTTTGAATATGTTTTTAGTCTAAATATATCATCAAATCACACAGTTTGTACACGGAAAAGGTATCTGTAAAGTCTTATTTTTCTGTACTAAGTTGGTTAATAAACACAAATACAATTTAAAGATGCTGGTCAGATCAAAATAAATTGTCGAATTGGGGTTGAACTGATGTGTGATTATGTATGTGAAAAATTATATACAATTAATTTTCGTTTCGCAAAATTAAGATAAACCAAATTTAGTTGAGCATAACCATTTACATCTGGTGTTGTATGCAGAACACGTCAAGTCTAATTAAACAGACACGTCTTTGTTTTAGTCAAAGAAGTATCATCAATCATCATTCTATTAATAAATTAGATAGAGTTTAACATCTTGTTGATAGTGTACTTAGGTCTTTTGGAAGTAACATACCCCTATTCTATTTAGGCCCCTCTGTTGTTACTATTTTTATACTAACTGCGGGCTCTCGCCACTAGAAGTTAAAGAGTTTCAAAAAAAAAATCCTGTGGAAAATAAATAACATTACAGATGGATGAAAAAATTTCCAAATAAAATAGAATAAAACTTTTAAAGACTTACAAAATCTACTTTTGATGTTTTCCACAATCTTCTGAGCTCTTTAAATTGTAGAAACAGACCTTTTAACGACACGATAATGATAGCTGCCAATATACACTGAAATTATAAAAAGTCGATAAAACTGAATTACACGAGAAATATTAAAGTTATAAACTGATTTTTTTATACTTTAAGAGTTTATAGACAATGGTATGAAGAGGTACTATCACTTAAGTTCGGTAAAAATGTCATATAATGCCACTTGGAAATCCTGAGACAATCTACCAAACCCAATCTGGTTAAAACACAGATCCTATTTCGTTTCGTTTTTATAGTTTAAAATTTCGTTTAACTTGTCTTTACTACACTAGGATCTGAAAGAGTTGTTATTTAACTCGTGTTCTGAATGGTGTCGGGGGTAAGCCAATGAAACGGTCTGTTACGACGAGCTTTAGGCGTGTTTTGCACGGAACTGTCGGTAATCCATTAGTAACATCAATGCTGACTGGTTAATCATATGTCTGACGTCATAAGGTCAAAAGTCGGTCTTTTGACCCCTGACGTGACCTATCGCTATAATTTGTCAGATCTTCATGTAGTGTAGGCCATCGAAAGATAAAAAAAACGAAACGAAATATAGATCTGTATTTTAATAAGATTATACCAAACCACATCTGATAGACGATTTATCCCATTGAAGTTCCCATGCAATCGACATTACTTTAAGTAGGCCAGTGCTTTAATGTGCGACAAATAGCTGAGTTTTATATTAACTAAATTGACATTTTTATCTGTGGAAAGTTATCAGTTCTCTGTAAAACTAAATATGTCCATATGATATTCGGTGGTTTTAGAGTTACATTAAAAAGGAGACTTATAAAAATATGAAATGGGTAGTGTAAAAAGTGGAAAATGGACAAGAATGCCAAATAGAGTACAATAATCTAAACACATCTACTTACATTTGGCAGTGTTTCAAATACTGGACCAAGCGAGACTAGAACTATTATCACCAACAGACTAGATACAAGACTCGTCACCTAACAATCAAAAAACATTTCATTAATACAAACATCTAATACAGTCTTAAAGAATCCAGCAAAGGAGGGGGTTGGGGCGTGGTTTATGAAACGGGGACTTTAACATGAGATTCTGGAAAGATGCTTTGTCATTTTCTCCAGCTTAATACAAATAGTCTTGTATTTTGAAATAAGAAATTCATTTTTAGAATATTATCAAATTACCTGAGTTTTACCGCCAACGTTGTCTTGCACCATTGAACGCGATAACGAACTGGCACAACAAAATGACGAAAACATAGAACCAATCATATTAGAGATACCATATGCTAGTAATTCCTGTAACAAATAAAACAATTGGCTCATATAAAGGATTATATCACATGAAAAAATCTAATAATAATCCTGCAGTAGTCCTCGATTGGGATGTGCAACGTACGCAGCGCGACCACAAACGGAAGTGAAATGTTGAAAAAGTTACTTTAGCTTTGAATGGTTGGTCATGGTACATAGATAGCTGAATGGGACAACGTATAGTCGTTCGGATGAGACGAAAAGCCGAGGTTCGGTGTACACATTGGCGTGCACGTAAAAGACCCCTTGACAGTTGAAATTCGAAATAAAGGTAGGGCGTACCGCCGCTGTCCGGGCAAAATTTCCCCCATAGCACACTGTATGGCGTATGCCCGTCTTCATTAGCCCAGTAGGAGCAGAACAGTAGGACGCTAAACCCCATTTTATTTCATTTCAGATAGCTGAAACGTTTTGTTAAATTTATTCACACAGTACATTGTAGCAAGAATCAGGCTACTTTTATATGTGGTCAGTTAGCTTTAAATGGTAGTTTGTCGTCTGCATGTAATAACTTGAATTTAATTTCATATAGATATAATATCAATAAGTACGACATAGGTAAATTGTGTGTCCAAACTATACTACAGAAACTAACATCAATCGATAATGTTGATGATGTTACTATGCAAACTGTAAGTGCAATAAATGATATGATTTTATTAAGGGATCAAACGTTTTGTAAAACGGATAAAAACAATTTAAATGAAATTATTCATCACTTGTCCACATATTAGACATTTAACTATGAGAATGTATATTTTTTGTATATTTATTACTTTTCTCATAGTTTTGTAAGTATTTGTGTATTGTGTACTCAATTTAGTACGAAATAAATATATTATTATTATTAAGGTTAGCCCATGACTAAAAACTTGGGATTTGCAAACTAGAACCTTTTGTGCCTTTCCCTTCAAATATACATGATGGTGTACAGATGTATTCCAAGGCGATCATCACAGTCGAGTGGACAAGAAACCAGTCTCTTGGCTAAAATGTACCGGGCTCGAATCACAGTATGGGCACCCAAGAATCTGCGGAATAGCTTAAGGATGTCAATAACAGGCTATTAGCCTATCGTAAAGAAAAGTTTATCAACCAATGATTCCTTTGATGTATTTCATCAATTTAACAACAGTTCAACCCACCTGATTAGCGTCCACTTCATAATTATGTTTATCAGCTAATATTTTAGCCATGGCGAATGAAATGGCGAAGGCTGTAAAACAAATGGCGAATGATTCCCCAATGAGGTCGGGAACAAACCGTAACTGTTCTACATTCAAAGGTGGTAAACTGAAACAATTAAAAGATACAATATCTTAAAACAAGAGATAAAAACAATAATCCTTGTTCAGATTTCACGCAAAGACTAAAAAAGAATGTAGGTGTATCTAATTGTAAGTTACACTCTGACAGATATAATAGCCCGATGACCTTTGTATATATATAAACGACAATCAAAGCCACTGATCGTATATGTACATTTTTCAGGCAATATTTAATCCACGCTAAAATCTACGCAAATTAATTTATAAAAAAAACTGTCACATAATATCAGATTGGATTTTACCCAAGACTTCTAGGTGACGCTTGTAGAAAATGTTGAATTATGGGAAATGTTCCATTCATCATATCTTTGTAAATGCTGAACGGAATTGAACAACTTTTGGACAGATATTCCTTTAAAGATTCAACGTTCATAATATTGGCAAGCGCGGATCCAGGGAAGGGGGAGGGAGGGAGGGAGGGGGGGGGGGCGGGCAGGGCCCAGTGAGACTGGTCATCACTGTTCAGACCAGCACCTGCAGCCAGCAATGGGATTCCCAGATTTTAATTTCTGTTTAATGAGGCCGCGACGAAGACTCTGGGGACTACACCAAACCACTAATGCATGCGGCACTCTGATGATTACCCTTTGCTCCAATGTATGCCCCCTCCCCCCCCCCCCCCCCCATTCATCTTGCATAACTAACACATTTACTACGGGAAATGCTTAACCAGATCAACTTGTTTTTTTCCATATATAAAATAATATTCTTACCCTCTAGGCACTTCTCCCACGATCTCCACATTAAATTCTTTATTTAAATGGAGGTAAAATGATATTACAGTTCCTCCCACAATCTGTAGAAAACATCAAATTCAACCATCAGACATATTTAAAAGAATTGTTAAGATTTGTGTAAAATGAAATGGTGTTTAAAAGTCTTACTGATCTGCTCCGACTGGGATAATGAAGACCGTTAGACGCCATACAGACGCCAGGGGAAATTTTACCGGATAGCAACACTACGACTTACTCTTACATAGAATTCCAACTGCAAAGGTTTCTTTTACGTGTACGTCAATGTGTACACGGGACCTGATTTTTTGTACCATCCGAACGACTATACGTTGTCCCTTGCCAGGCCCTGTGTTTTGCAACACCGACTTGGGTAACCACGCTGGAAAATCCAGATGAACTTTCTCGATCAACACAGGGATCGAACACACGACCTACGGGTTAGCCAGTCAGTTTTGCTTAAATAACAACTCGATGTGTGCAATGCGGCATTTCACTCCACTATTGGACGAAAATCCCCTTTGGACGTCCTATCCTGTAAACCAGGTCTCTTGCCAGACATATTGTATACACTTTCTATCCAAAGTACTGTACAGAGGCCTAGGTGTTTTGCGGACAAGCAGGATATTATGCTTAATCTTCATGAACACCTAATATCACGTGTCAATGGGTTGATCTAAATTTCCTTTGCTGCATGTCTTTACTGTTTGTCAGTTAATTGATCTACAGTATCTATTTGGTGTGTGTTACTTGGGACAGTGTTAAGTGGGAAGCTGACTGTACCCAGGGAATTTGGATTCACCAGGCGAAGAGAAAGACACTGTGCAAAAACATACCATGGTGTTATCTCCTTTGAGAGATTTATAAGGAATTATTCTGCTAATGTTTATAATAATTTGTATATTGATCCCTTCCACGTTTTAAATTTCCGTCAGCTTTTCCCCAACTTAAGAAATAGTAAAATAAGGAATTCATAGCTATGTGTCCTTCTTATTTTGTTCCAAAGACAATAACCCCAACAAAACAACTGTTTACATCCGTTAATTATACTTACCACTAATAATTCTATAGGGATGGGTATCCTGAGTTTACTTTTAATAGATTTATTATTGTTAATTCCTTCCTTTATGGTTATCAAGGCACAGATTGCTACTATTGTTGCTGTCATGGTTACAAAATTGGCGTTATGTAGATTGTTGAAGAAATCACGATATGCCTAGAAATAAAATTCAACAAAATATGAATTAAATGTTTCATAACTCACTGACTCATCCCAGAACACCTGGTAATGGTAGAGTATTGTTTATTTTTCTACTTCTATTTAGGAAGCCCATATTTCCATTTAGAAAGTCCACTATTGGGGTGTTGATTATTTGGTGTATTTCCATTTAGAATAACCACGTACTACCTGGAGCATTGATTATTTGGTGTATTTCCATTTAGAAAGTCCCCTTACTACCGGAGCATTGATTATTTAATGTATTTCCATTTAGAAAGTCCACTATGGGAGTTGATTATTTGGTACATGTATTTCCATTTAGAATGACCACTTACTACCTGGAGTATTGATTATTTGGTGTCTTTCTATTTAGAACGTCCGCTATTGGAGTGTAGATTATTTGGTGTATTTCCATTCTTACTACCTGAAGTATTGATTATTTGGTGTATTTCCATTTAGAAAGTCCGCTAACTACCGGAGCATTGATTATTTAATGTATTTTTTCTTTATTAGAAAGTCCCTGACTATCGGAGTATTGATAATTTAGTGTATTTTGATTTTAAAAATCCACCCCGATTAGATTGTTGATTATTTAGTGCCAGTCCGTTTAGAAAGTCCTCTTATAATTACTATCGGAGTATTGATTATTTGGTGTATTTTCATTTAGAAAGTCGGCCTACTATCGGAGTATTGATTATTTGGTGTATTTCCGTTTATAAAGTTGGTCTACTATCGGAGTATTGATTATTTGGTGTATTTCCATTTAGAGAGTCGGCCTACAATCGGAGTATTGATTATTTGGTGTATTTCCATTTAGAAAGTCTACTTGTTATTGTCTTCATGCTGTCTTTATTGAATAAAGTTTTTTTGTACTCCTGCACACGTCACTCAATGGAAGCTGACTTTATCAGAAACCGAATCCTTACGTTTTAGTTTAGAAATAATAATAAAATAATGTTCTATTCTCCGTTTACTTGTTTATGAGGTGGTAATTTCCACACGTTGTCTCAAATAATACAATCTATAACTAAATGTTAGGAGCCTCGGCAGACTTATACAAGTATATAGGAATCTATATTAATTCTTTCATGTTAAGTGTATATTTACATAATGTCTGATAAATGGATATACGTTATATTTTAAAATTTTCTCCTAATTTTCATCTAATAATATTGAATTAGAGCTTCGTATAAATTTAATTCACAATTTGTGTTCCGGTTCCGCAGTTAAATGCAGTCCATGTTAATTAAACGTAACTCTCATCCTTATAAACAAAATCTAAACAAATACAAGATTTTTCATATAGACTAATGGAATGGGTGTAGCTGCTGTCTCGGTGAAATTCACATTCATATTATCAATAGATCGATAAACTACATATCGAATAAAAAGGGCGTCAATTTAACTCGAAGATTTACATATCTTCGGCAACAGTTGACAGTTCCTTTAACATTTGTTCATTTACCAATTACTATTCGAAATATTTTATATATTCATCAATGATTGTAAACATTCTAGCCAAGAATGAAACTGGAGATATTTTTTTTGGCAATTTGTTGTCAGTTATTTACTAAAAGTTGTGACTTGAGAAAATGGTGTGTAAAATATATCCCATCATAAACATCCGATAACACTTGTAAATTTCAAGGGAAAGTAAAGACTTCCCATTGTAAAACGTCTGATAACACTGGAAAGTAATAGCTCTGTCTAGTTACGTTTTTAAGAAGAATATGAAAGTGTCTGATTAGCTCATATTCTATTGGAAAATATCTCCCCTCCACCAAATTCGAGGTGCTTCACGGTCTCATCATATCAATCGTTCTTTTGTTGAAAAATTGTAAATCTTTTCTTAAAATTGATGGAAAAAACATCATGTATTCATAACAAATAACCGCCATTAGGCAAAGGTTTAAGGTAGAATAAAAATAAATATATTAATTTCAAATCACCTAGAGCAAGAATACGACCTAACAAATCTAATTACTTTATCTTAAAGATATAATATTAATATAGTATATATATAGGTGTATCTTCTTCACATCAACCAGAGAGAGTTCAAATAATTAGCACTTTGCAGATGGCTGGGTGACCGAATGATCTAACCCATGAACTAATGATCGTAAACCAAGCCATTTACATGACGTGCCGTTGTCTCGATCTCCGGACTGTGCATGACAAGGAATAGTGTTGCCTGTCTAACCTTGTTGGTTTTCTAAGTTTGCATCTCATTGCTAAAGACCCCATATGAACAAGCGAATTATATGGTTTAATTTTACTTCAATAATTCGCTTGCGCGTAGTGGTCTTTAGCAGTTGGAGGAAACCGGAGGGCAAGGAGAAAACCCACGAGGTTGGACAGGTGAGCCTACTCCTTGTCACGTACAACCGGTGAAACGAAACCACACCAGTTGATACAAGGGCATACCTCATGATATATCGCGCACGCGCTAACCATTTGGACGCATTGGTTTTTAGTTAACGATATTCGCTTCAACGTTATTTTGAATATGATATTGTATAAAATTTATAACATTTTTGTTTTTCTAGTTGAAATTGACAATTCCACTTTAAGCCCATAACCACCATTTTCAACCCGATACAAATTTATCTAATAAACCCTAACCGCTGGGAGATAAATTAACGCTTTATGGTTACAGTTGACAATGCATTTAATTGACTTAACACCGGGGGGAGCAAGTTTCTGACAGCTCACTTGTAATATCAATTTTGTTTATCGCCGATGCGCAAGCGAGACCAAGTTCTGTAATTTTATTTTTGATGATACATCGATATTCTTGAGGCGAGAACTGTCATTGTTCTTGGAAAAAATCGCTCGACTCTGAATTTCGATATGCCTTCTCTTTATGTCAAACTGATTATTATCAAAATAACATCTGACACGAAGACTATTTGTAAGATTACGGTGACAGAGACAATCGGCTTAATTTCAATTGTTTTCTAAATCAACTAGGTTTAATGGACTAGTGTGATATGAGAGCGACACTATGGCTTGCATTTATTTTGAATTCAAACAGGCAAGGGTTCTTCTACGTGTACGACAACGTGTATAAGAGATCTTGGGTTTTCCGTCCCATCCAAACGATTAGACGTTGTACCTTGTCGATCCCCTTCCTGCGCCATTAACACGCAAACGTGAGCGAACCCGAGACCTGCTTCGTGGTTAGCGAGCCAAAGTCTTACGCACTGAGCTGCAACAGTTACCGGCATAGGCAATGATTCACACGACAATTGTTACGCGACTATGAATGATGATAGGGTTCCACCTAAAGCCCAAAATAAAACAAAAGGTTCAGAAACTCTAACATGATTTTTCTAATCCAGTAGTTACACAGATCTACCAGCCTGTCCAGCTTTGGTTACTCTTTCAAGGAAGTGTTGCCGTCCCTCTTCTCGTATCCATTATTTGAAAAAGGGTACTGATTCCCGAAACGTTATGAATATTAAAAAATCTCTACTCTAACCTAAGTCTATTGTACTGTTGTTGCGCGGGGATTCTTAAATTTATATGATTTGTAAGAATAGAGGACCGATACTATTTATCCACAAACAAATAAACAAATGAATACTTACATAAACAAGTTTTAAAGGACCACTATATCTACCAACAACAATACCAAAAGCTGACTTGATTTGACTAGAGAAAACATGGACGGCAGCTCCAGTTGTAAAACCACTAATTAAGGGATCGGATAAAAATGTCGTAACAAAACCCAGCCTCAGAAATCCTAGTATCATCTGAAATAAAGACACCAAAATATACTACATGAATCTGATTGGGATGTAATAAACCTTCCTGTAATGGAAATGAAATTAAATGAAATGGGGTTTAACGTCCTATTGTTCTGCTCCTAACCTGGGCTAATGAAGACGAAAGTGAAATTGAAATGAAATGGGGTTTAACGGCCTACTGTTCTGCTCCTATACTGGGCTAATGAAGACGGGCATACGCCATACAGTGTGCTATGAGGGAAATTTTGCCCGGGCAGCGGCACTATCGCCTACTCTTATATCGAATTCCAACTGCCAAGGGATCTTTTACGTGCATTCTAATATATACACGGGACGTCGGTTTTTCGTCTCATCCGAATGACTAGACAGCTGTCCTTGTCAGGCCCTCCGTTCTGCACCACTGACAAGGGGAAACCACGTCGGAAAATCCAGATGAACTTTCTCGGCCAATGCAGGGATCGAACACCCGACCTCCAGGCTAGCGAGCCAGCGTCTTAACCACCTAGCCACCGTAGACGGGCATACGCCATACTGTGTGCTATAAGGGAAATTTTGCCCGGGCAGCGGTGCTACGGCCTACTCTTATATCGAAATCCAACTGTCAAGGGATCTTTTACGTGCACGCCAATGTGTACACGGGACCTCGGGTATTTGTCCCATCCGAACGACTAGACAGCTGTCCTGTAATGGTACAGTGGTATTTTAGGACAATCTGTTCAGAATAACCTGTCCCTATTTCAGTTTTAATATGTTTTACTAAGTATTTTTACGTTTTCTCACAGGCCAATATATGTCTTAAAGTCCCGGTGCTCCATTGGCTAATATCAATTTTCCCACGGCTTAATCCACGTTAATATGTACATTTAATTACAAAGAAAAAAAATTGAAATACCAACGCTAGATAATGTCCCTGCCTATCATTAAGTTTTCGTGGACAATATAATGACGACGGGTTTATTGTATAGCGAGCAGTATAGATCCATGAAATATTAATTCGACATATCCTTGTAAATACTGAACGGAATTGAACAACTTTTAAACTGATATTCCCATTAGGGATTCATATTTCCCAATATGATGGTAGATTGCAAGTGATTGCTATTGCTTAAAATGACGCATAGAGACTTTAATTGATAAATTCATTTTTGACAAAGGGTAGCTACAAGACGGGTTAACATATACAGGGATATCACCGACAGTGCTAATATCAAAATCAAACAACATTGTGACCAAGAGATTTAATAATTCTAAATAAAGTAAAGCACAAAATTTATCAGATGACTCTGTCATCATCATCTCGTGCCCTTGTATGCCAAAGAGAAAGCCAAATTTGCTTCAATAAAAAGACAAAATTATCTAATCCCAGATATTTATAATTAGCAATTCTAATGAGTGAAAGACACAGCCACTATAATAGGTTTATGTGTGTACCAATCAAAAAAGAAGTTTCACAGAGATATTTTGAAAGGTTTATCTTTAACTAAAAAAATAGGTATTTCAGAATTGAAAGTAATTAAACTTCGCCTGTAATTTGGAAGGAAATTGGGAGTTATCTTACTTGTAATGCCCCTACAGCGAATGTAACAGACATGGCATAGGATACTTTAATCTCTTCAAGTTTCTCTAGATGATTTTTACCATCCAGAAAAGTCGTATTTAGCATTGGGTGATCAGACGTCAAATTGGCCGCCATTGCTTCTACGTGAAGTAGTTCTAACTTCTGGTAGGCTACGTGACCTTTATCTACTACAGCACCCACCATCAAACTTATCACAGCAAAGGTACCTTTAATATATAAAAAAATATTCTCATTAGTTTAATGTATTAATGTACAGTGGGCTTTCATAGCCTAATTAATATTTAGGTCTCGAAAGAGGCTATGTTTCCATCTCGTACATTTGCGCAGGAGTTTCGGAGAGCAGTTCACGCCAGCAGGCGGAAAGCAATAGCACATTCTTAAAATCTATTCTTTTATTGACATAACATTCCTGAATATAGTTGTGGAATGATGCTTGGCCTTCATCTGGTCAATGTATGTTGAAATTATTTTATACGAAAGCGTGTATAGGACCATAATTACCACCTTATTTTATTGGGGGAGGGGAGTGGAATGAGCTGTCATATAAATACGTGAATATTGGTACCATTACAAAGTTGCCTGCGATATCATCCTTGGTGGAAGCGGGCGTTAAGACACATTCAATTCCCAACACCATTTTGGGTGGTAAAAGATTTTTGAGTAAACAAAGAACGCAGGCGCATCCCGAAATGACCCCAGCTGAAACCGGGTACAATTTTAAAGGTTTCGCTTGAAGAACGGGCCGGTGGTACGGACCGCTGTCATTCCCTTTAACTCTCTATATTAGCACAGAAAAGTCTTTAGAAGTAAAATTAATTTTAAATCGATAACAATCCTTTGTGCATGGGTTTTGATTGATTGATGACGTCATATTATGAAGAAATGGGTTAAATCGGTCTGTAATTCTATGAATACTATAACTTTGAGTCAAATTATCTAAGCATATTGTGTTTGTTCCATTCTATTATTCCGTAAAGATATCAATTTCCATTCTAAGAAATAGCTTAATTTGAAAATAATTGGAGATTTGTCTAGCATCGATTTCCATCAAAATATGATTCTCGATGTCTTTCCATGGCAGTATAGAGCTAATCATTGTTTTCAACGGTATTAATCTTTGCTATTTGCCGAATAGAAATGTGAATCTCTGAAAAATCTTTCAGTAAGTCCAAATATCGAATATCTTTTATTTAGAATTCTCCTTATGTATATTTATATGTCTACTCTATTCGTTTTTTTTTTGTCCTTTAAATCACTGCTGTACATAATCATACGATATTTTATTTTATTTTGTAACTTTGGGTCCGCCATATATACTTATTGGAATAAACTATTTATTATTTTATTATTATGTATTGTTTAATGGTCGAGAGCGAGACATTAAGTAATATATTGTAACAACAAGAGGACCGTCAGGTCCGAGTGTTTTTACAATATATTACGCAATGTCTCAGCTCGAGACCATTAAACATCTTAAAATACAGACACTCCGCACGTGCGTTTACAGTGAAATACGTCACTCGAGTCTAATATTTGACAAGGTACGATTGGCATGTTGCCCGTACGATTATTTGAAATAATGGTACGCCAACATCAAAGGGTGACGTCACATCTGTATTTTAACTTTAAGTAGAGGTCAGCTTGTTTATTACTTATAGTCTGATTATTGGCTTATTGTCCTGATACGTGGAACATAAAATACGCTATATTTCAACCCATACGTTATTATCTATATGATTAGCCAAAATCATATATATTTCGATCTAGTCATGTTTAAGATCGTAGAGTACTAAAAGGAAGTGATCCAAAACATGCCACTAGAATGACCATGTTCCAGAAATACAAGACCTTGGTATTTGATAGAGATGGAACTGTATCAGGTACTTATCCCATACGGCAACACACACGGAAATTGGAGAACAAATGCATCATAATCCCGACAATCACAAGAAACCAAGTTGGGGACAAGTCTATCTAATTTATATCTAATCAAAGAAGTATACAATTACGAATGCCTCAGGTTTAATTCTGTCCAGATCCAAAATAGAAAGTTCATTAATTCTAATGACAACGATCTGAAACTTGAGATATGCATATTATGTATAATGCCGTCATACTACTGAATAATGTGTGGACTAGTGTAATAGTACGTGGACTTTTGTCAGGGAAACGTACCAACATAACTAGCGTATCCATGGCAAATTAGCATCAGATGTTTTGAAAATCGTAAGGATAATCTGGCTCATGCGCGACACCCACCACTCCTCAAATAATGTATCGATACTTACCAACTGATACATGTCTAGATGTACCAAATAGAAAATATGTTAAAACAGGATAAAACGATGTATATAAACCATAAACAGGGGGAAGCTGAGTTAATAAGGCGTAAGCCATACCTGAAATAAGATAAGTATAAGTATATACCATATAAACTATATAGGTCATTTAGAGTCTAACGGATCAATTTTATTTGCGCTTAGGGGCAGTTGAAGGAAACCGGAGGTCCCGGGGAAAACTGACGAGGTTGGACAGGCGACCCGTATGTTTGTCAAGTACAAACTGGGAATATAAACCACACCACTTGGCCGATTGACAGATGTTGTGATCCCAAGCGCATGCGTTAGACCATTAAGCCGCCCAACGCTCCAGATTTTTAAACACGAGGAAATGAGAAATCGATATGTTTTCAAGAATAGTCTAGTAGTTCATGTGGGACCGAAACTCGAGGTCCTGTGTGCACATGGTGTGCCGGTAACAGAACACCAGCCGATTGCAGGAATTCGTTAAAGAGTAAGCGGAAATACCGCTGTTATGCCAAAATTGTCCCCATAACACACTTGTACCTGGTATAGTATAGTCTTCATTAGCCCAGCTGGGGCCGGAAATTAAGATGTTAAACCCCATTTCATTTCATCACAGGTCGCCCAAAACAAACAAGTTAAAAAGAAAATACTCAATTTTACTGAAGTTTGTTGTAGTATTAAGCTCCGCAGGAAACATCGCGATTTAGAATAGTCCTAGTCAATAAATTGTAAGGTTTATCTGAGCTATCTATTGATGACATGCTTCCATATAATTTCCCTTAATTATGAATGAGTAGGCGAGTTTTTATATTTATTAATCATACACAGATGTAAGGATATTACCTCCTGATCATTTATAAATTGATGTATAATTCTAACTTATTACATGTTACTATATATATTTCTCGCTGGGTTTCGATTGATAAATCTACACGTTTTATAGAAAAATGAATTTGCAAGTTGAGACGAAAGGTGAATATTAGAAAGAATACAGATTTCTGGTATGAAGTAAAACTGGGTGTGGGCCTTTAACGTATGTAATAAAATTGTTTGCTATAATTACGATTATGGTTTATTGTCGCTATATCTGTAATAACGACACAATTTATAACATATCCGTAAAATAAAATACTGGTAGGGGTATGCATTATACCTACAAACCTTATAATATTAGAAATAATATATGGGTAACGTACAGTACCCTAGCTAAGGCGGGATGATGGTCTGAGGTGACGAGAATCTTGGATTTGAAATAAAGTCGTATTTCGGCCAGGAAAGTTAAAGGATAGAATAAGCCCGATAAAGCTTTTTGTCAAAACGCCAACATGTACACGAGACCTGGCATCGGTTTGTCGTCCCATCCGAATGACTACACGCTGTTTCTTGTCAGGCTTTTCGCACTGCACCTGGGAAAACCACGCTGAAAAACCCAGAGGGATTTTCTCGGCCAACACTGCACCGAGATTAAACCAGGGACCTTCTGATTAGTGAGTTAGCGTCTTCCTCAGTGAGCCACGGACCTTATGGAATGGTGGTGGGAGGAGGGGGGGTGCTCCTGAGATACACTTCTCTTAGACAAACTATCTGACCACCAACAAGGGGAAACCAGGACAGGAAAATCCCGAAGACCTTTCTCGAGCATGATCGGCCTCAACTGGATGACAGAGTGCCAAACTCACTGAGGCTGGACGTAATGTAATGGAATGGCACTGTTAGCATTTATTACACATGGAACCAAATAATAATCAATGGTCTTACCTTGAGGTATGTGCATTATTCCGATAGTTAATCCAGCAACTAAATCACTAGGAAAATCATACAATAAACTATATCCTTGCATAATCCTAATAAACGGAAATATCCTACAGAAAAAATTCTTTAAGCACTGAGTGGTACATTCACAAGAATCCGGTAAATAATCGCGACATTTCTCTAACGATCTTTTGATCAAATATGATCGGTTCACCTTAGGCTTTGTCTTTTTCTTCCTGTAAAAAGTTTTTTCTAAGATGTTTCGACTCTGTTTTTTGGGCGATGTGAACCCTAAATCCATCCTGGCTTCGTTCAAGGCTGTTTCAGGGTCCGGACTATCTTTATCTTCGGGTAGAACGGGGTATAATTCTGTAAATATAAGAGAAGAGATTATGTAATATTCAGATATTTCCTTTAAAAAAGAGAAATGGGGTTTAACGTCCACTCTACACAAACTAGGTCAATTCGGGTTTAACGCATGGTTCAATTTTATTCAATACTTCGCTTGCGCGTAGGTTTTTTTTTTAGCAGTGGGAGGAAACCGGAGGACCCGAACAAAAACCCACGAGGTTGGACACGCGACCCTCCTCCTTGTCACGTACAACCGGGGAATCGAAACCACACCAGTTGACTCAAAGACAGTACTTATGATACAGCTCGCACGTGCTAACCATTCGGCCATCCAACCCCGCTTGAATTAGTGTACGATCAAACCAGCAAAAGTAGGGATATATACAAAACGTATTCCAATGTGTATATCATAACGCTTGTATATTAAAGATTTATCGATTACACTTAGTCGGTGCAATTCAGCGTCGAGGTTTACCCATTTTTATTACCAGCTTACAGATTATCCTTAGAGGGTGATGGACTTGACTCCAAATGCATCAACTGGTCTATACTTATTTAACACATTTTAAATGTTTACACTTTTCCCATGAGTGAACTTATCAAAATGTCAAGTCTCTCTTTATTTGTAGGTTTTATTCATTTACAATTTGTGTTTTGGCCAGAGAACACGACAATTTTCATCCCGCGTTATCGACATCTTTATTTTCTGGGGAATTTCCCCGGGGAAATCTTGGCCCGAGCTGTGTTTACTGTGAAATGTATAATGGTGTGTAATACACATACACAGAACATAACTCATGGCAGTTTGAGGGAAACGCCGGTGTCCTGGCACCCTCCCTCTCCCAACCTCTCGCACTGCATTACGGTATATTAGTTTCCGAATGATCTAAATAATGTGTCGGCACATATTCCAATTCAGAACATAGAATATAAAAGTCTCAAAAATAAGATTATAGACTACTGCGTTCATCACATCTATGTTTGTTTTTTTTGATCAAATATTCCCCGCCCCCATCCATACAGTAGCAGCTCTTGACAATACTAGGATAAATCTTAATTTGAATCCAGTTTTTTTTTATTTAGTTAATAAAGCAGTAAACGTTAAAGGCAAAGCTTTATCTATCAAGATAAATATAAAAAATTTTATAACAATAAAAGACAAACATTATAAAGGTTTTTTTTAAAGGGAATCAAATATTTGTGTTGGCTATAAATTACTTTCTGGGTTGATGAAAATGTCGTTTAAAGCCACAGTCCTCGAACGACTCATGGTTAGAAGAGGCTGGAAGATCCTCTCTTTTAAATTGAAAAGCAATCTATTTAGAAAACATGCTCTACCCCAAAACTTGATTCCATGCTTATACTTCTAAACTCCACGAAAGAGTTAATAAAGATTTGAAGATCCTGGAAGGCGGTCGTATTTTGCCACGAGTGAGCAGTCTCTTTTAAACTAGGGTGGTAAGCGCGTTAAGTTCCCACAAAACTTAATTTTAATACAATGCCAGGAAGAAGCTAAACTAAAACGCAAAAAAGGCAGAAAACAACATTGAAAAGAATAACACAATTGCAGGTGTCCAACAGATATTAAAAACATTGACTGTCTTCGGATAAATAAATCTAAATAAACAAAATAACTTTTATATCCTAAATAAACCTTATAAAGGCAGTTATCCAACGTCATTGTCTTGAATTAAGTGGGCGGGGGATTATAATTCCAACAGAATTTCATTGTTAAGCTTGTCTCCCATGCCACTATTGTTGAGGCTGGTGTTACAAGATCAGACCAGATCATTCTCAAAAAGTATATTATTTGTATTTTATGTCGAACCACTTTTGGTGCGTTGCATGTCTAACATTAATAATAGGAATACCATGACAACCACATCAATCACCTGTCAATCACAATACATCAAATAATACATTTACATGAATAATCAATGCGCTTCTTTAAAACTCAAGTAAGATAACAAAACTATGACATATCGGGACTAACCATGTTTAATGTTTAACATATGAGCAGGACTCTTCTTTTAGCAATAATAGGAAATATGGTACCCTCAGAATACACTACGAGGATCACTTACATAGCGATCCTGTTCTTTCGCATAGATAAAATTATCGTAGATTTAATGTCCAACGTCATAAGCTATTTGATCAACTCTACCCTACGTTTAGGCAAAGAATTTTTTTTCCGGAACAATGAAGAATTTACTCAAATTGGTAATGAAATCGGAAACCTGCATAATAATAATAACAAGAAATATGTGAATAAAACAGAAGTTTATCAATTTAGACGAGGCAAATTCGGACACCTATAAATTCTTGCGGCTGGTATTTTAAAAACCACCATGGAAAGCCTCCCTTTGATTTTCTCATAAAATGAATGGGACAAATTCGTTTGAGAAAAAGTTCCTCAGTTGTATCAGTTTAGAAACTACACTGAACCAGCGAAAGCTGTGCTAATTGTATGTTTGGGTGAGATTTTTGTTTGATGAATAATTAATTGTGAATACAGAAACGACATAGAGACGTTTAACAGGTATAAAAACACATTAAATATTCACAGAGCTAAAATAACTCCTAGACATATTTTGTCGAGACAATAGACTATGATCGATTATTAATTCATAAAATATCCATCACATTGTAGAGTTTTTGCAATGGGTCGGCATTCTATCCTATGTTATTTCGAGAACGAGACGTGGTAACCTTTCATTTACAATAATAAAGTGCGCAACACTCGGTGAGGGGTGGGGGAGGGGTGGCGAAGGGGTGGTGCAAAACAATGCTTTTCGATCTTCTGATTTTAATTCTGTTCACATGTTACTTATGCATACGATGGACAACTCTTTTGTTTCGTGCCGTCCGAAGAACTGGGCACACACCATGGTTTAGACTTGTAACACATCTGGTTTGTGTCTCCAAATAAAACATTTCTAATTCTATCCACATGTTTGTTACATTTTGTCCATGGGTTTTATGTTCATAATCAATTTTTTTTAATTCTTTCATGTCCTGTGGATTTCTTTATTTTATTTTTGTACATTGTTAATTAAAATATCTTTAACTAGTTCTTCATCTGTCACATTTTCGTTTTCCGTTACACGTCTTGGTGTTTTATTATGTATAATTAAAGTTTTGTTCAAAAGCTGAGTTTTTCATACTTTCAGCAATGTTGATATATGTTATTTAATCAAATTATAAGTTTTTCATACATTTATTATTGTTATTTTATATCTCTAATTAAAATAAATTTACTAATGATGATATATGTAATCTTTAAAAAGAAATCCACCTGATTTTAATGAACACGTTCGGAGGACGAAAACAAAGAAACATCACCCCTAAAAAGATATTTCACAAATAAGCCAGAAAGACATTATTTTCAAATTAAATACCGTTAAATTAATATTATGAAAGTTTCGAATTTTTTCGAAAATCAGATATTTAGTTATAAAAATGTTCGTACATCCTACATTAATGCCGCACATGGTTTGACTATACACATCGTGTATATAAATTTTATTTATATCTGTCCCGTTGTTGCCAAGACACAGGCGTCTTACTATGCAATCTATGAGCAGTACCCATTGTACATGTGAGGCCATGGTGGCTCTGTGCGTATGATGGTCCCGGGTACTATCGTAGGGGATCGAACACAAGTCGATTATTTAATAAAGATATTTTGAGAGTTTTACTTATCGTACGGAAATATGAAAACATGCGACAATAAGAATTACAAAAGGTAATTATAGTATTGATTTTCACGGCAGCGACATTTCACATTCAGTTGTACCAACGCATCTTTACCAGGTCTTCTATACGGATATACATGCATTCCAAGAATAACGACAGTACCTACTATTCCTCCATTTTATTTGTAGCCAATGACTTACATTTGGTACTAATGATTATATTATATTCATAGTATTTGTTATCAATGACTTAAATCTTGTAGTACTATTCGATCTTTCAGCTTCACGTTGTCTACTCTTCCGTGATGAAAATTATAACCACAGACCAGGTTGGTTTTATTTCTTTCTGTTTTTTATTTAAATAAAGAACTTCTAGCATTAGTCACAAATCTTCTTCGCTCTCAAATTAGTAGATGGCTAATATGTCAGGCAGTGTGAGATCTGCCAAATACTATACCCTCACTTTTTACTAAATTTGGTCAATAGACACATTCCACTCTTGACCATGAAGATGTCATATGACAAAAAATGTGTCTATTAACCTATAGTTCAATTCATGTAGAGATACATTCCATTCCTCATCATGAAGACGACATATTTTTATGACAAATGTGTTATCAACCTATAGTTCAATTTATGTAGATTTCTATTATTTCAGGTGTTATTTTGCTTGACCAAGAATCTATAAACAACTATTTGTCAAGGTCATAATATTATTACAATCAGGCGCTAATCATTACTTGATATCCATGTTTTTGTAATAAATGTGTTTAGTACTAATTATTAGATACATGTATTATCCATTTATTAGTAAAAAATAAATAAATGAAAGGTGTTAAGGAAATATTTTAACTCTTTCTTTTTAGTTTCCTGTTTTAATTTAAAATAAAAAAAATATTCTGAATAGCTATCAAATTCAACATACCTGAAGCTGCCATTATTTCCGTGAGAAGTTAATCCAAGTTTTTGCTAGCTATCCTCCTAATACTGAATAAGTTTCACCTATGTTGATACAATCAACATTTGGTTGTTTAACTGATCACCTGTCATCAACTTAGACAATGACGACAGGTGATTGACACATCTATATACCCTCAAAAATCACAAATATTAGTTTTATAGGATCGGTAAGACAGTTGATTTTGATATACCGACGAATTGAATTTAAAAATCAAAGGAAGGAAACTGTTGTTTTTAAATCGTCAGAAATGATTTTTTTCACTTGCAATAGCAGTACAAATTATTCTTCCACATTCCAGATATTCGATTTCAACCATTAATTAAAATGCCAGCATACGGGAAAAAAGTATATTTATCTAAATT